TTCTTATTTTAAATCAAACTACATTATTATTATTATTGGTTTAATTTTTAAAATAATTTATATTTTTTTAGGAAGGCCTGAATACCACACATTGTAAAATGGTAAGTTTTGAAGTATTAAAAGCAGTATTTAACCTTAAAAACTTGTTATTTTTAAATTAACCTTAAAAACTGACCTTAATAAAAAAAATCCCAAGTATTATTATAATAGAAATTCATATTTTTACTAAATAAAGTATACCATCCATACATTTATAACATATATTAACATGCATATATTTTTGTTTTGTGCGGTATTGCCAAATTTCCAAAAAATCCCAGAATCTGGGTTTTTTTCAAAATCTTCAGGATACCTTCATTAAGTCTTGTTGCAATATTTAGCGGTGTTGCCTAATTTTCAAAAATCCCAAATCAGTGATATTTTACAAAATATACCGAATATCTTACAAAAAATCACAGAATCTGCAAATTTTCCAAAATCTTCAGGATACCTTTGTTAAGTCTTCTTGCACTATTTAACGTTGTTGCCAAATTTCCGAAAAATCACAGAATCTGCAAATTTTCCAAAATCTTCAGGATACCTTCAGTAAGTCTTCTTGGACTATTTAACGTTGTTGCCAAATTTCCGAAAAATCACAGAATCTGCGAATTTTCCAAAATCTTTGGGATACCTATAGGATACTTTATACAGTATCTTGAACTATTTAGCAATGTTGCCAAATTTACAAAAATCCCAAAATCTGTGAATTTTACAAAATCTTCAGAATACCTTTGGTAAGTCTTCTTGCACTGTTTAGCGTTGTTGCCAAATTTACATAAAATCCAAAATCTGTGAATTTTACAAAATCTTCAGTATACCTTCAGTAAGTCTTCTTGCACTATTTAACGTTGTTGCCAAATTTACAAAACAGAATCTGTGAATTTTTGAAAATCTTGTTGAAAATGTTGCCCAATTTTGAAATATAAATTAAACAAAGAAAAGGTACCTAATGTAATGTTGTATTGTTATTTCAAATAATTAAAACAGTTTTTTTGTTTGTTCCTCTTTCATAATTTATAATTATAGTTTTATTTACTTATTTTTATCTAAACCTTTCTTATTAATCAATTCTTAAGTAGACCAGGTAATTTAAAAGTGAAAAGAATTAAAAATATTGTAATAGAATTGTTGTAAATTTTATATTTAAATTAATTGTTGTAAATTTACATCTGGCAACATCGCACATTTTTGTCAAAAAACGTATCAAACATTCCTCAAACCCTTTGTTACTACTACTGTTTTCTTCGTAAATGTAAATAAGATGTAGACTGCAAAAATAAAACTATACATAAGTTTTTATTGACATCGAACTTGAAATAGTTGAACGCATAGATGAGCACTGTAAGCGCCTTTTAAGGCTCTATAGACCGTTTTACGTCGGTACAAATGCCAGGTGAGCACAATTAAATCATTCGAATTTCTCGGGATAGTTAACGGAGCAAATGTGATGGGAATTCAACTGGTATAACAGAAAATTCAAGCGAAATCGCTGTCACTGTTATTTGGAGGTTAATTTTGTACAAATTTGAGGTTATATTGCGTCATATAGAATGACGTCATACTAAATCCAATATGGCGGCCGATATGAAACTGAATGTTCTATATTTTATTGACTACCCATGCAGAAAATTTCACATTGTAAAACATCGTTCTGAAGAACATACAATTGCAAACAGCCCACTTTGTTTTGTTTATCGAAGTAACAAACTAGTGCCTTTATATTTTTTCAATAAGCAACAACAAATAAAATATAAACGAGGTATACGTTTGATGGTCTAAACAGTTAGGTTACGGTGATTGCTGGTAATTGTTGTTAATTGCAATGTTGCCTAATTAATCTTTATTAGGTGGTTTTTATGTTACTACCTGTTTTTTTATTTCCCCTTATTTTTTAAAATATCAACCACCCACAACATCTTCATTTAACACTTCAATCTAACGAGATGCATTCTGTATAAGTGGAATCAATAAATAAAGGCTTATAAGGAAAGCGCGAGAAAAATTAATCATGCAAATCATTTCTAGAGTGCCTAGATGTAGACAGTAAATAAGCGTTAACATGGCATAGCATGATTAATATGAAATAAAAGTGTCTCTTTTATAAACTATTACATCAAATAAATTGTCATACTATCACTTCTTCTTAATTAACGTTTCTCATTAAGATTAATGAAATATATATTACTTAACAGGACAAATTTGACAAAAAAAAACTATAAATACTAATTAACTTAATCTAAAAACTAGACCATATTTTACAATTATCGCTTATCAAATAACTGTAGCAATACCTATGTTTAATTAATTTCAGTAATTAATGTATTTTATCAAAGTTTTTTTCCTTGCTTTTAGGTTAATTGCGTGAGTATCTGTCTTTTAATTAAAATTTGCGTGTTAATCTATATAAACCAGTGTCGACTCGTCAGGGTAGTCGTAAACTATTTACCTACTAATTATCAGGAGCTTGGGATTGATATAATTGGTGGTTTTATATGACATCTGAAGATGTTGTGCCTCATTAAAACATTTCACTTTGTTCATTTAGAATCTGGGTAAAATAATCATTATTTCTTGTGTACGTGCTTGGAATTTAATAAACGTATAATTTATTTATGGTTTGTGCTATCTTTCGCTAGAATAATTGTCATTCTATGAATTCATATATATATTAGAATTTTGTTCCAAATACTTGGATCTTAAAATAAATTATGCATTCTTAACTGTACGTGAAATGATATGTTGCTTACCCATAGGCCACCAAATTGTATTAATATATACATTTTGTTAATTAACTTTAATTCAGTTCATGTACACTATTTATTTTATAGGAAGAAACTTAAAACACGCAGCTAATAATTGCCTATATCTTTGCGTAGATCTTTTCAATACAGTTACATACAAGCTACATGTCCGGTTAAGAGCTGTCGGTTCAATATAATAGGTCAGGATGCTTTTCTACAACTAGTGAATTTTACCGTTATTCTCCAATTTATCCACCTTTTTTACTGTTCATGTATATAGTTCTTCAGTCATGTGTGGGGTGGTTGAAATTAAGTTAAAATGATCAAGAAATGTACTAGGTACACTTAAATGAAAAAAAATATCATTCAAATAGATATCCCGCTATTTCTATTAAGCCCAAAGATATATCTCTAGTTTCTTGACAATATTACATTAAATTATGTAGCTAGGCGATAATTGTAATCTTGTTTATAAAGATAACATGTATAAATCATTGAAAGAAGTTTCTGCGACTTAAAGCCGCATTACATTTAACTGCATAGTACTAAGAAAAGATGGCTATGCGTCATAACGGTTGTTACATATGTACCATATATGGAAAGACCACGTAAAACGTTTGATAAATAAATTAATAGTTGTAAAAAAACTCGAGGCACCACATTGGATTGTAATTCATGGCATAAAACTAAAAATTTCGAAAGAGAAAAATTGCACCTGTAGATACAGTCAATACACATTTTAGTAATGATTTACGTGAAAATTGTTAACATTTCACTTCAGTGAAAATTATAAATTCATTATAAATTCAAACCTTATTAAAAGCGTTTAAAAGAAACCATTCCGATTCTTTGTTAAAAAAACAATACCATTAATATTTTCTTTTAGTCACTGTATTAGTGAGTTAAACTCTAATTTATAAACAGGTATTACCAAGTGATAGTAAAATCATTTTAGGGATTTTTTTTAACAAAAACTAAAAAAAGTAACGAAATAGACATTGGTATCACAACGGACAGGGGTACACAAAGGAAACGTAAAAAAGAAACTATATAGGGTGGTACGATTTTAGAGTAATGCATAAACAAAATCCCTTGTAGTGGTGCTCACATGCGGAATAACAACTTAGATTTCTAAATTATAGACACCCTTTTTCTTTGACTAAGGTCTTTCGTCCCTTTTAGTACTTGTATATTGCGTGGAATTTTTCCCTTGGATGTAATCTATATCATGAGTTGTAACCACAAATAATTTTAAATTGGTTTATAATAAACTACTTTTAATAAAAGCGACGGTAAATATCCACTTTGTTGTCGAAAAATTCTATTGCGTTACCCTAAATTTCATTGCGTTACCATAAGGTGACGTAGTGGACTCGGTAACGCAGTGGAAAAAGTTTTGTGAAACCATATTTAAAAAATAATAATAAGAAATTACAGTCATTAATTACTCTTAATGAGCTTTAGTGCCCTAAAATAAACATAAACATGAAAAATAGTATTTTTTCTTACCTTATTTTTATTATTTTTTTTGAGTAACTTAGCGGACAAACAATTATTACATTCGCGTTACCCGCACCTGTTTCAACCGATATCTTCTTCCTGATTGAATAAATAAATTCAGCTGGGTAATGTGTACGTCCGAACATCATTTTTTGATCACGTGAGTGCCAAAAAAGTTGCCATATGTATGTTTTTTTAAATATTCTATCGGTAACGCGACGGACGTAACGCAACGAAAAAAATGTCTGGGACATGAGTCAAATTTAAAAAATGTAGATTAAAATTAATTAATTTATATACAAATTGTTTACTGTATTAACTAAGGATGTTATGGATTGCTATAAAGCAACACAAAGTTCTGGTTATTCAATATTTAAAAAAAAACATGTATGTAAGTTTTATAAAACGCTAATGGGACTTTGAACAACAAAGTTTCCTTCACTAGGTCAGCGTAAAATCAAAATACCTTTGTCTTTTATAATTTTTTTTAATCATCTCACCTTATGTTACATGTTTAGCGCGAACATATTTACATCTGATAACGGGGTTTTTCTTTTAAAAATGGTACACAATCTTTATGAGTTTATAATTTAAATTTTGTACGATTCATTAAGCATATGGTCTCTATGGGCCGCGGAGCAGATGTCTGGATATGAACAATGAAAAATTTGTGTTGGCTAACGGCTAAATGTTAAAATCGTGCATTAAGGATTATAATTGTGTATATGCACTTTACAATTAAATTTAATGAATCATATGGATAAATGAAACCACAATAAAATATTTTAACATTTATTTAGACGTATTATTCAAAATCTTTTCCAAAGTTGACCCTATAAAGTTGACCAGGATTATGACAACTTTTTGTTTTGGAGCTTTTTTCACCATCTGTTACTATAGCCTCTGGACATTCTTTTTCAAACAAAGATGGAGTATTCATACAAGCTACTACTCTGTTTGACTTTATAATCCTATTTTCTTGTGGACATAAGCTTAATAAATCAGAGTAGCATAGTGTTCCATTGCATGGTTTTTGCGTTTCAATCTAAAACGTAAAAATAAAAGTTTCTATGACAGATTTTTTGGCTGGAAATCATTTGGGAAAAAAGCACGAACAAGCTATTTTCCTTTGCACAGAGTACCCGACGACCTCCTTGTTTCCAGATTTAAATACACTCGACTTGTGTCTTACCCTGATTCTGATATTAAAGCCATTTACTAAGGAAACAGCATAACTATCTCCTTTAGAACTTAATGTTAGTTGAGCTTGGGTTCTAACATCATCACCACAATAACTATGACATGCTGTTATAATACCACTCCATGGTTCCTCTACATTTAAATTATGCTAAAAAAAATATTAAAAACAATAATATTGTAACGTCTTAAGTAATAGGGTTACATTGCTTAAACTGCTCATTTGGATGTCTGAATATCCAGTTACTGAAACAGTAATGCCAGTCATGAAACTATTTGAAATTTGCAACTGTCTACCAAAAACACAAGTTACCAGAATGGCACAACATATGCTTTGAAAAAACATTTCTAAAATGTACTAAGTTAATCAATACTGTGAATTTATTTATACCTCTTAATTTATTTATTGTGGTTTATCTCGTTGATAAAATTAAATGTAAACAAATAATATTGTTATTAGTTATCACATAATATGTGAAAAAAAATATACAGGGCGACATCGATATAAAAAACATCAACTGTCAAATAGTGTTACACTAAAGAGTACATTTTTTTTTCAGGTTCTCCCATGACCAAAAACTGATTATCAAGGCCACGTTGTGACAAAAATGAAATCCAAATGACCCCAAATATTCCAAAAATGGTTATGTGCAATATGGAGCATGTTATGATACCAAGACCTCCTCCTTTAGGGCCTTTGATGTCAAATCTAGGTGAGAATGATGTCTTCTTTTTTTACTGGAATTACCCATATACGTTTCAAACGCGTGTTCATTGATATCATGAGATTTATGTAATTAGGATTTGCTTTCATAGCACGTTGAAATAATAATAAAAGAAAAAGTAATTTTAATGGTATTTTTATATTTTTAAAACAATCATGCTATACCCAACGCACGACTAACAGAATTGAAATCATTATCTACCCCAATTAGCCACAACAAATTTCTATATTCAAGGTCAATTGATTCCTTCACTTGGACCACCACCACTCAAGGCCCAAACAAAAACGTCACGTACTTCTAGCAAAAACAGCACTAGATCTCAAGGTGGATTCAGATTGGTGGAGAATCAGGATGACACAGGAAGTGTATACAGCGTGTACAAGCAAAAAATCGACTCGATGTTTGAATCTGATTCCAGCAGCGCCAAAAACAGCGTACAGGCTAAAATTGAAAAAATGTTCACTGAAGTCGCAATCGATAATGGAATTCCACTGAACGAGATAGGTAGGTTTTCTGTCTCTTACTTATGTATATGTATATAAATTATATATACTGTAGGTATCCACACTTTTTCTGTGGACTATTTGGGCAGCGTACCTCTACAAGACAAAGTAACAAGCTTATCAGGTCTTCAGACACCTCTGCGTCAACTCTACTTCCAATACAAAAAAATTACGAAACACAAAAAAACTTTAACTGGGAGGCTTGAGATATCCTGTCAAGGATTGAAAGTGCAATATCAGGGTGATAAAGGTGATTTGGAGCAGCTAAACTCCTTTCCCACCATAGCTGTGTGGTCTGCGGTAAAGTTTGTCATACAAAATTCGAACAAATATGCTTTTTTGCCATTGATAACGGACCCTGACAATATTGACAAACAAGCTCTGTTCAAATCTTTGAATGATGGTGAAAAAAAATACATCAACGCCGAATCACATTCGCCTCTATTTGCAGTCGTTATGAGGAAAATTGGGGTGCACAAGCAACTAGAATGTCATGGGTAAGGAAACAAAACATAAAAACCTCATATAACATCATTGTTTATTTCAGCTTCGTTTGTCAAACATCAGAAGACGCGATAGTAATAGCAGCTACGTTGTATAAATCGTTGGTTACCCATATGAAAGCCAAAGAAAAAAAGCCCAGGAACAAAAACGGGGTAACGTGTATGTCATTGGCGTCCAGCACCTACCATGATGGTTCCATGCCTGTACGACCACCAAGGAAGAAAAGAAGCACCACATCTTCAATAGTCAGTGAAAGTGACAATTTACAGGTCTCTGATACACAACCACTTTTGTCCCCACCCTCAAAGCAACCAAAAAAGAGCACTAAAACCAGAAGAGCCCCTAAAGCCCCCCTAACACAAGCACACCAAGATTTGGACGCAATAATGCCGTACGAGGAACCAGTCAAAATCCAGGATCTCTCAAACAACTCAAAGGATAAAATTTTGAATGACAGTGGCAATCAGTACAACGAAATTGCCGAAATTAAGCCAAAAAAGTTTTCAGGTTAATATTGTTCGGTGCTAATAATGCTATTAATTAACCCCATGTATTTTTTTTAGATAAAATAAGTACTTACATGAGCAGAGAACAGAAACAGATCACTGAAGAAATTAAACAGGTCATGAGTGAGAGTTCTTCAAAGGGTTTGAAGAAAGTGCAAAACATGAGGAAGTCCGATGATGATACTATGAGAAAAAAAGAAAATTCTGGGGATATTCTTACGAAGGTTACCATACCTAGATCTGGAAGTTTTTTGAACACAGGTGGACTGACCAGATACAAAAACAAAATATCCAGGTATTTTGCAATACTGCAGGTTATTTTAGGTATACTATTTTGTTATTTTAGAAACAACGAACAAGCTAGCGGTGGTTCCCCTCTAGGCTTTAAGGAAATCTTCCACGAACTAAGTATACAAGAAGGGCTACACTCAATGGATGATATTCTAAGCGTTATAATAGACCCTGAAGGAATGTCCTTCAACGATCTAAAACCGATATATAAAGAGTTTTTATTGAAGTTATCCGTAACACTAACAAAAGATGAACTGTATCAACGATCGAAATCCATAATGAGGCGACAAAAAAAGAAGTTATTGAGAAGGAATAGCAATTTGAACAAGTCGCATCACATTAGAGTAGGTGCAAAGATCAAACGTTTGAAGCACATATTCCAGAAGAGTTTCAGATCTAAACTTGTAAAAAACAGTAACAAAAGTAATAAAAGTACGAAAGAAGTTGAAAAACCCAACCCAACCGAAGGCAAACCCCCTGAAAGTAGCATTTCAACGTCCTCATACGATACAAGACAGTTTAGGCCAAAAGACGAAACACCTGGAAACGCGAAGAAACAAAGCTACAGAAAAAAACAAAACGAACTCAACAGAAGCAGACGGGATAGAACTAGCACTTCAGAGGAAAGCGATTTTTTTTCCCTAAAGAGAAACAAAAGCAAATCGCAAAGTCTAAACAACCAGAACAGAAATTCCAGTAGTGGATACGTATCCTGTTCAGAATGCTCGTATGATTCCGATACTTGTACTTGCATATCGGCTGATAAATGCTACTGCTCGCTAGGTAAGTCTAACTCGGAAGTATCTTAAATAACTCATGATGTTTTCTCCATAACAGGTAACAAAAACCAATCGCGCAAATCAAACTGTAACACCTGCAAAACTTCAGATAAGTGTTACTGCTCTCTCAACCCTTCCAGCTTCAGTTTCTGCGGTTGCGACACCGATAGCTGCGCAGAGAGTAACAAGTGCTACTGTGCTTCGACTCCACGCAATTCCACCATCTTGGAGCAACTAAAACAGCGCGGGTTCATGCCTAAAAACAATATGGTGGAAGGTGCGCCAAAGCACAGGAAAGTATGCAAGAACAACTCAAATACTAAGAGCACTAGAAGCTTGGAGTACATGCCCAATCCCAGCGAGAAGTACTATGAGAAACTCAACTCAACAAGAGGTCACCAAATACCACCAACACGAAGAAGTGTAAGCCAAGATAACTTGGCTTTAGACTACGACATATTTGCTATCACCAACGGCATCAGAAACCTTCACAATAGAGCTGCTTTGTACTCCAGGTCAATAAGCGAGTGTGGTCAAATTAACCTGAGAAATCATGAAAGCATGAGGAGTTTTAGCTCACACGCGTATGGAAATAACAGAGGTACGTTGTTAATTCCCTTAACTAATTAATCCATCAACTGATAAGACAATGCTGTGCTAATTGCTGTCGACGTAATTTTAAATGAAGTTTTGTTGGGTTTGATTTTAACGGAGCATCGCGGCGCCATCGTTTCAAAGAAAATCAAAACCGTCTGTGTTTTAATGTAGGCGTGGCGTAGTCTTTGTATAGAGGGACAGAGCCGGCTTCAAAATATCGTATTTAAGGTTAAAAACTGACATTCAAATGAAGTCCAATAAACATTTTGATAGAGAATCGAATGCTCTACAAAAAAGTTATCTTGTGTTTTTTTCGCAAACCTAACCGTTTAAAAGATATCTTGGATCAAAGTTTAAAAAGCAAAAAAAAAAAATCTTCAAGATTGTATTGTAACTTTTATAGTTGGGATTTTAAAATGAGTATAAAAATTTTTGTTGGAAATTAACTGCAAAAAGTTTTTTTTTTTTTGATAAATATAGACTAGACTATATTAAACAGTTATAAAATTAAAAAAAAAAATCAACTTTTAAAACATTAACGTAAGATATCTTTTGACTGGATACCTTTACGAAAAAAACAAAAGAAACATTTTTTGTAGGGAATTCAATTGCCTATTAAAATATGTATTGGGCTTACCTATAAATTTATTAATTGGTGAGATAAAGTATGTTTTTCATTGGACTAACGTCTTGATGCTCTTTTAACTTTTAAACACAATTGTCTTTATTTTCAGGTAGATCAGCCATTTCATCTGGACAATGTACTGAAGCTCTTTCAGTGAAAAAATCGGCTGAAATAGCGGCTTTATTTGCCGACATAAAACTCAGTCAAACCACTGATATAACTCATCTATCGAGGAATTTTGATATGGATAGCTTGTTACAATGTAGAAATACTTACAACAACTACCAATCACAGGGCCCTTATACGAAGTCTAGCAGTAAAAATGGTATTAAAAGGGGGAGTCATAAAATGGTGGAAAATTCGCTATACTCTTCAAAATGTAACGGTGGAAAAAATAACATGTACAGCACCAAGAATGGGTTATACACCATTCAGAGTCAAAGTGAATCTGGTAGTGGGAGTGATAGAAGAAGAAGACGACAGGAGAAACCCAAATATTTTGAGTTGGATCCTAAGTATACGAGGAAACTACAAAATGAGGGAAATAGTTTAGAAAACTCGCTTGGTTATCTACCTTGATTTTTTTATGAATGACTAATCTTAAAACGTCAGTCTATGATTTAACTTTTAGGGTTGGGTATTCTTACTCTATTTTGTTTCGGCAAAATATGACGTAATAATACCTCATACTTCATATTTAATTATGCTATTTTATTTTTTTAAAGGCCATAATTAAAATAATGACAGATTATTATATTATGTATCTCGGGTGAACCTTCATGTTAGGTGTTTTTTTTCTTAACATTATGGACTACTTTAATTAATACATGGTGGAATACTTACGAGCTTGAGGTATTTAATGTTTGGGGAAATGCAATATTTTACAATTTTTTTTATTTAAGTTGTAATAACATAATTATTATTTATTATTTTATAAAGTGATGTCACACTTTTAGTGCAATATATATACAGTGCAATATTTTTTTTTGTGGTTTTTGTCTTCTTTGTGCAATTTATTGTTAATTTTATTTGTATTTACTTGATAATTTAATAAAGTTTTAAAATTAAGTTTTCTGTTATTTCTGTTATTTTACAAAGGTATAAGTATTAAAAAAAGAAAGTGTTATATAATAGGATATTTTACATCGACTATTAATTTCATATGTTGCGAAAGTATTGGAAGCAGCAAATTGAGTGTTCAATAGGATTATCCCAACCTAATCATTTTTCCTTTTATTAGAGCATCTAACACAATTTGTTGGATTCACATTGATAGCTTTGACATAATTCATACAGAAAATCCTATTCTCACCCATAGAAGTGAAAATGCAGTTATTGGAGTGATAATAAGCGAATAACCAAGTTGTAAAGCAAAAATATGTGTAACATAACACATTTTTACGAATATAAAGCTTAATATTGCTCTCACACAAAAATATGTTGTAACAAATTGTAGATCTTTTAATTATCTACAAAAAAGTTTATTATGAATTTTTACGTAAAATTAACCGTTACAGATATATAGCACTTTAAAGTGTTCACTGCAGATTGGTGCCTTGACCAGGATAGTTTTAAAAGGTCGTTATACAGAAAAATTCATTTGACATTTTTTGTAGAGAATCTTACGAACTACAATTTTTGTTGATGACATTTTGACATCGGACCAATAGCAAGCTAGATACAAGCTAAAAACTGACATTGTCAAAATATGATATATGATATGATATACAGATATATGAAGCTACAATCAAGTAGGCTGATATGGCCAAAATTTTGGCAGCATTCTTCTGTCACATTATACTTGCAAAAAAAATGTTTTTTGAACAGTGCGAGACTTGTCTACTTCAACAAAATTGCTCGACTTATCGATCGCTGTTTTCTGGCAGATGGGAAGCGTCTACTAGCGTCGCGGCGCTTGCAACAGGCTGTTCATATCAACAGGCGTCAGTTGTCCGGTGACTTTCACTAGTACAGGCGTCGTATCGTGTATATTAAGCGTCTCGACGTAATCCACGTATTCTTTCAATCAAAATTTAAAAAAAACCAACACCAAGTAAACAACAAAATCAATTTTGTATTACATAGACTTAAAACAATAAGTGAATGCTATTTTGCAGGTTATCTATTTATTATAACACAACACAAAAAATGTAAGTACCTATAAGAAAACATATGTTTAGTAAACATTGTTAATAATAACTTTAAGTACTAAATGAAGCTGGTGAAGTATATATTAATCTACACGTGGTTTCCACGTGATAACATATATGTAGCTATAGCTCTGTCTGCAAACTACCAAACTGCATAGGTATATATTTTTAAACTTTTTTTACTTTATGAAGTATTGCGTGTTTTTAAACTAGAACAGTTGGGTATTGATAAAAGCAATGTTATCTGGACAGGATGGAAGCCATGTTTAATGTTAATATAAATAGTAATTAAAAATCCTAATTAATTGTTTTTGCTATGTCGAGCTATAAATAAAATTGTCATTACCTGTACGGAAATTGGTAAAACGAACATTTTGCTTTTAATTTTCAGTCTTCAGCCTGTAATAATAAACTCAAGTGTATGTTACAAACAGAGAAACCAAAAGAAAAGAAAAACAATACAACAATGGTTGATTGTGGACCCTCAGAATCAAACAGCAAGTTTGTTTGTCCCAATGACAGACAGCTAGCACTTAGAGCTAAGTAAGTAATTACCTTTATTGCTTTAAAACTCCCTCTCATAGTTTGGCAAGAAACTTAGTTCTCCAATTAGAATTTACAAACTACCAAGTAATAGACCCCCCATAACACATTTTTACGAATATAAAGCTTAATATTGGTCTCACACAAAAATATGTTTTAACAAAATTGTAGATCTTTTATTTATCTACAAAAAACTATTAATGAATTTTTACGTAAAATTAACCGTTACGGATATATCGCAGTTTAAAATGTTCTGGGCAGATTGGTGCCGTGACCAGGATATTTTTAAAAGTTATACAGAAAAATGCATATAATATTTTTTGTAGACAATTTTACAACCTACAATTTTCATTAATGACATTTTGACATCGCACCAATAGCAAGCCAGATACAAGCAAAAAACTGAGATTGTCAAATTACTAAATTAAATTTTATCAAAATCAAAAATTATTTTTTTGGATATATGGAATAATTGGCATCCCCACATCATAACATGAGTAAATCGGATTTGATGTAAACCTCAAAATCTAATTATTGATAAACCCAATATTGTGATAGACGCATTAAATAACATATTTACGGGGTGAAATCCATTTGAGGTTATTAGATTTCTCCACCGAAAAAATACAAGCAACAATTTGACAGGTGTCAAGTTGACAGATTGGAGGTGACAGATCAACCTTAAAAATTGACATAACAGTCTAACCTCACTTTAAAGCAACATAACCTAAATTCAATATTAAACAAGTGAAGGTAGCCTGATAGCAAAATTTGATTCTAAGAAGATATAACCCGGAATAATGGAATATTCTTAGAACCTTCCCTTATTGCTAAGAATGTTCTTAGGGACTTTTAAAACATTCAAAAGATACCCTTTTAATGATGCAATTAGATACTTCTAAAAACTTTCTTAAAACCTTCCTAAAAAGCATTCTAAGAACATTTTAAGAATACGTTTTTGGAATGTTCTTAGAAGGTTTCTTATGGAGCTTCTAGGAAGCTTTTGAGAATATTTCCAAATATGTCAGATACCAAGTTCTAATATGTTGTATTCTACATTCGTAAAATTCTTCAGGAGACGACAAATACGCCTCACGGTCATAATATGACAGTGAAATGTATTTGTCGTCCCCTTTGTATTTTGCGACATATTAATATAATATATTAAATAAACAATTTGACCTCTAAACCATAAGTTGAATGAGATTAATTCATAAAAAGTAAAATTGGAAAATTTTGTGGGATAAGTCAGATTAGATTGAAGTTAAAGATAGTTAGGATTATTATACATAAAAATGTTAATTCAGATATAAAAAATCGGTATACAAATTAATAAATATTTATTTTTAACATTTTTAACAAAATATTTTATTATAAAATAATTCTTCATAAAAGAAAAAACCAAATAGTTCTTCATAAAAAAAACATTTTTCATTGTATTTGAGTTGGATAGAAGATTTTAAAATCTTTTTATTTTTAAAAGAGCTTTTACTAAAAGGTAAAAAACAATTAAGCTAAAATAAAGGTAAATAAGACCTTAAAAATTAAATTACAATTAAATTTGAAACGCCCTATAGAAAAAAAACTGAATTTGATCCATCAAATTGAGAATATAGGATTTCTTTTCCCTTAAAATTTTATTTAATTGGTTAGCAACAACTAATTAGATTGCCAAGGGTGGCATTTCTTTGTAACTCGTCCATAAAAAGACAATTGAAAAAGAAGAAGAGGTATTATTTGTCAGTCCTAATTTTATTTAGAAAATCCTCATGTTAAAATACCATTCGTATTCTTATCTTAACATTCAAAGACAAATATTTTTACCAATAAATTTCTCAGCCACTATAACCATTGAAAAAATCAAGGAATTTCTCCGTATTCTCCAGATTTGACCCCCATTGACTTTTTCCTATTTACAATACACTTGTTGTATTAGAATCATATTTCGAATTAATAAGCTCAAAATTACACCTTTGATCATTAAATGCTCGTTGCATAAGATAGATACAATTTTTTTAATTACAATTTCATTTACAACCTGTTTTAAGTAGGAAAAGTTAAATGAGTTTCTTTGGGATATTCGCAGTCAAATAAGTTTCAAGTTTTGCATTCGAAAATCTCATAAAATTTGTTGCCCATTAAATGACGCACAATGGGACAAAGTTTTTTATAGCGATGTTTCAAAATATCCCCACCCTTTTAATAGATGCACTTGGCACTATATAAGGCAGAGTAAAAAGTTTGCTTGATATTGCATGATATACCCTGTATAAGAGCTACAGCAACATTGATTTTTACGTATAAGTTATCTTTTCATTCATATTTTATTATCGGGTTAAGTGTTTGAATTTCAATATACACTTAAATATTAACTATCAGTTTTATGAGGAAAATACTCCGATTTTATTGTAAAATATTCGTAAACTTGTAGAGTGGGAAATTAAATTTAAGTGTGTATAACAACACCAACCGTAATACTAAAACAATACAATACTTTGTGTTACTTTTATAACACAGTTGGATTGTATTGTGCTATCTAAACAGAAAGTGTTTCATATCTTACTGAATGGCTAGTACTGGACTCTTTATGCAATTTTAGGTTGAAAACAGGATGGAGTATGAAAACAGCTTCTTTTCGTTACCCCTCATCAACATCAAAATCTCAAACGCTCGGGCAAGAAGAACAGAACACAATTCTACAAGTCATACAAAGAGCTGAACGGTTAGATCTGACAGAGCAAGAAAGGGTATAATAATATTTTAAGCTCCAGGTAAAGACCTTTAACACTGTTGCTTATATTACAGGTTGGTAGACTGGTGGATAGGTTGGAAAACATGAGAAGAAATGCCTTGGGTAAAAGTTCGTCTCAATGTTTACTCTGTGGGGATGGGTTTGGTATTATGGGTTCCAACAAGGTTGTTTGTGTGGACTGTAGACGACTCGCGTGTCAAAAATGCGCCATAGATCTGTCGCAAGGTAAAACTAACGGGTAAGTCATTGGAAACCAAATCTGGAGAATAAGGGGGATGCCATTTTGAAGCTTTTTCCATAGAACGCACAAGGACCATTGGCTATGCATGATTTGCTCGGAAACTCGAGAGATATGGAAAAAATCGGGAGCATGGTTCTTCAAAAGTCTTCCCAAATATATTCTTCCCTCTGAGAATGCAAGCTTTACCCGACACAGACCAACTAGACTTTCAAAGAACTCTAGAAACATTAAGGAAGAAGATAGCAGTTCAGATGAGGATAAAAGGGTTTGGAACAAAGTTAAAAGAACGAAGTCCAGTTCTGAGAGTACCCACGGTAAGAAACAGGCGATATTAAAAAATATTTAGTACTTTTACCACACAATAAAGTTATTTTCCTTCTTAAGGGATTTCATTTACTTTCATTGAAACTATTTCAAGGAAATATTCCCTGTTGTTAACAAGGTTTTTGATCAAGCTTAATGTATATATCGCAGTAGTAGGTAAAAGAAAAATCACAAAAACCTTTTAGGAAACGAAGTGGGGTCTTGATGCCATTTTGTTCTTAACCAGCTACAGAATTCTAGTCTTGTTCTTGCATTATTTCCCAAACTATATACTTTTGCATAGCAATTCTTCCAGTGTTGTCCCAGGATTAGCGTCAACTACTAAAAAAAAATTATGAGACAATTTTTTTTTAGATCGACCAGATACTCTACAATCGCAGCAGTCTGGCTATCATTTACCATCGTACAGGTATGTAAATTAAATAAAAAAACTGACCCAAATGATTCTTAGTTTTCCTTACATGGCTCAAGGTCCGGGCTATAAGGTGGGCAATATTAATTATTGGTAATAATAATTTATTTTTTTAAGTAGACAGGTCAGTGCCGGTGACCAAACACTGAAGGAGGTCGATCAGATACGAGGTAACATGGGCTCCATGACATTGAGTGAAGCCAGATCATGGGATGACACAGGTATAGAAGGTACAACATTAAAAAATATTAATACACCATATCAATACTGCATATATACTCTTCAGGAGAAAGCTCTGAAGCTTCAAGAAGAGAGTCTATGGCCAGTAGGTCAGCATCTGAATGTTACTGGACAGATACAGCCAGAAGCGATGAAAAAGTATCACCCAGTACTTGCAGCATATCCAGTAGCATATACAAGGTCAGTTTTTGTCTAAAAATGGTGTTAACAGCAACCTTCAATATTTTGTATTCGTATATCAAAATTGTCAAGGTTATACATAATACTATAGATATCATAGATAGTATCTATGTTAATTTGAACAAAAAATTGTCAAGGTTATACATAATACGATAGATACCATAGATATAGTATATATGTTAATTTGAACAAAGTCAGAATTAAGAAATGAGTAAAGTAATTGGCACTATTAAGTAATAATCCCACTTCTGATGCTGTGATGTGTCCTCTATAATGGTTTGTTTCCTGACTTTCTTTATTATCTTCAAATTTCTTCAAACAATAATTAGAAGATCGATAAAAATATAAAAATATCATTCTTGCAGCAATCTCTTTTAAATTGTTTTAATACGGCTTTGAAGGTTTAATTACACAATACAATCGTCTTGGGAAAGAGGATAAAACAATTACGAAGATTTAAGATTGTCAGGATACGTAAATAAAATCTTTTATATGGGATACATCAAAGGACTTTGTTACTACCTTTACGTAGTTGTTAAATAAAAAATTAATTTGACGTCAAGAGAGATTTTTTGTAAATAATATAAATAATAATTCGAATGATTTTTGTACCCATTTTATTTATTTATCAATAATATGAATAATATGCTTACCTATAAATCAAATGATAAATTAGTAAAAATAATAAAAAAAACATTTACATATAAAGTATTTAATTATGTAGTTAATTAATTGTACGTTTATTTCGAATCTAAAACGCATTTTACAAAATTTAAATCCTCAATTTTAACAATTTTTTTATTTCGACGTTCAACCAAAATTCTCAATCTGTCATTTTCGTCTGGAAGACTACCGTAAACTAATGAGAAACTTTCAATGTCAACATAAAATAAATTCTATTTTGACAGAATATAAACTAATTTAAATAATTTTAAAATATATTTTTTTTTATTCCAAAGGTTGAGGTTGTTAGTCACGCGAATGCTTCTTGAATTGATATGTTTACCAATTCAATGGAAATGTACCATATTATGAAAACGTTTTAATTATATACCTACAATTAATATAATTATTAATAAAGTACCAGGTCAGGGTAATGAGTCTAAAGAAAAACTCAATTTTTGATAATAACTGCATTAGAAGGCTGGGGAAAAAGTTCAAGATCATCCATTTTATTTTCAGAACCCTATGGAAGAGCACAGCAAAATTGAGTCGGCCATGGGCACAATAGAATTGTCACTGACATATGATGCAAACAAATCAACCTTGCTATGTACAGTGTACAGGGCCAAAAATCTTATTCCCATGGATATCTCCAGCCTATCAGATCCTTTCTGTAAACTGAACATTCTTCCTAATGCTAAGGTACAAAAATAAGTCTGAAGAGTTTTAGTCCTATATTAATACTTGATTTGATGATGATGATTTTTAGACCTGCACAAGATTGCGGACAAAAACAGTACACAAAACTCGCAATCCAGAGTTCAATGAAAATTTAACATTCTATGATGTTTCTGAGGAAGATCTCATCAAAAAATCACTTCATATTTTGGTGGTAGACGATGATAAGTATGGACATGATTACATGGGTGAAGTGAGAATACATCTTGCCAGATTGAGGATGCAAAACACAATATACGTAAGTGGCAGGAGACAATTGTCTATGGTTTAAACCACTCGTTACCCACTTAGAATGTTGTTTTTAGTTGACTACACCTCTAGAAAACTTCAAAATAGAACAAAAAGGGCCAGTACCGCTAGAACTGAACCAATGGTTTGACGATGATTGGTCAAGAGGTCAAATATTATTGTCTTTATGTTATAGCACGAAAAGAAGGGCTTTATTGGTCACAATAATCAGGTGTGCCAATCTACTTCCGATGGACAATAACGGTTATTCAGACCCTTTTGTAAAATTGTAAGTTTTTGTTACAATGGAACTAAACAACATTGTTAGTAATTATAACTCTTTTCAGGCAGCTTAGACCTGACCCATACCATAGAAAGCACAAATCCACAATCAAATGGAAAAATCTCAACCCTGTATATAATGAAGAATTCGCTTTTGAAACTCGACCTACTGAACTCTACACCCAAAGTCTTCACATAATGGTTTACGACAAGGATTATGGAAAAAGTAACGATTATTTGGGAGGTTTAATCCTAGGAGGCACTGGGTCCAAAGGGCAACGTTTGAAGCATTGGTTGGATATGATCAGGTACCCTGATCATAGACATGAAGCTTGGCATAATTTGACAGAGGATGTCTTGGAGTAGATACAATTTAATGATGTTAACTCGTTAATACATAGACATGCAACAATACAAAAAAGATATTTTTGTAGAAAATTTGACGCTCTACAAAAAAGCTATCTTTTGTTTTTTTCGTAAAACCACCCATTTCAAAGATATCGGGGTCAAAGTTTCATTTTTTTTTTAATTTTTTTTTTCAAAATTGATTACTTCGTTATATAAAATTTAATTTAATTAATACAAAACGCAATGTTGAAACCATAAATAAAGCGGTCTATAAAGGTCAATAAACGACCACAAAATTTTTACAGAAATAAAATGTTCTTAAATTTTAAATTTATTGCGGATCTTGACATTTGCATCTAGTTTTGCATATTATGAATAATTAATAATAAAAATAATTATTTATTGTACTAAAACTATTTTTAACAAAGGCAAAAATGTATATTTTAATAAATGTTTTATGTACACGTAATTTTTTTTTATATTTATGAGCTCTCCAAAAGTATTTACTTTGACACTAATTTATAATATGATATTAGTACATTAAAGATCAAGCGAAGAAATCACATTATCGCTGAGCATACATTTCACTGCCGAGGCGTTAGCTGAGGCAGTAGATTGTGCCGTGTTTTATATACTTTTTTTTTCAAGCATTACATTTTTTAATTTTTTTAAATTCTGTCACATCGTTTTTAGGTGAGATGACGATGACATTTTAGCTTTATTTCGGTAGGAAGTTTAATAATAATATGACCTTTGAACTAGTATTAATATTCAAGTATTTTTATACAGACTTTGAAGTGTTATAATATAAAAATTATTGTACGCTTGAAAAAAAAATTTAATGGAGTTTTTCAATGATTCTGCTCTTATTAATTTATTATATATTCATTTATTTTTACTGTTAATCTCAAAATAAAACTTTGAAGGTCCCTAATTTATACAAATTATTTTTTATTTTATTACTTAATAACCCATTGTAATTTTATAGTTTCCTTAAGTTTTTGTTAAAATGTAATACCCTTGAATAAAAAAAACAATACATTTTTTTTAATCACATAAAACTGTATAATTTTATTTGTAAAAATTTATATGGGAAAAAAGTTAAAACTAACATAATAAAATTTTGTCGTACTTCCACGCAGCATGTTTGTTTTTATTAAATTTACTATAATTAAAAAGCTAGAGGTCAAGGTGTAAATCTTCCAAGGTATATTTGAATCGCGTAGTCTATGAATCAGGGACTACTAGACCAACTTTGGTGACGAATGCATCGACCAGTGCTCACTGTGATTTAGCCTTCCTTGTTTGTTTTTTATTAGTTTTTTTCTGTGAATAGTTTTTTTGTTATATCGGATACAAATTCAAGATGGTAAGTTTTATAGTAATAATTACTACTCATGAGTAATGCATTAATAGGGTTGTTATACATGAAAGTCATTAAAACGTTTTTAAAACTATAGGTGGCCCAAAAAAATCTCACCCTTTTATACAAGGAGCCCAACTCTGAACAGCAAGAAATGATAAACAAAGAACTACAGGGCGATGAAAAAAAAACTGCCCATATGGAGGATTTGATTCATCAATGGATAAAGTTAGATCCTGCCATACCAAATGATATAAGTAAGTAGGAAAAAAAATTTCCTCGACATTTTTTTTTTTCTTTCTTTTTCTTTAGATCACATTCGTGTTAGAAACTATATAAGGACTACCAAACACAATTTGGAGAGGAGCAAAAGAAAAATAGAAAATTATTTGATATGTAAAGTTAATTACCCGGAAATTTACTCTGGAAGAGTTCCCGATTCACCACAATGTTTACAGGCATTCAACACAATGTAACTAAAGATATAAAAACTTAAGGTGAAAAATACTGTATTATTTTTTCAGAAATATGTTCTTTTCACCAAAACTCACCAAAGAAGGGGCTAGACTAGGGTTTTTTGGTATCAGAGATCCCAACTTGGATAGTTTTCATATAAACGCAATTCTCAAAAATGCTTTTATGGTTTGTAAGTACTTTATTTATTATAATACATTGTTGGTAGTATTGTAACATTATTATTTTTACTCAAGGTGATACAGTTTATACAGTGGATTACTCAGTTAGTGGAGAAATAATGATATTCGACTGCAAAGGCATGACATCCGCACATTTACCCAAAGTTTTGATGTTCTTCAAAACACTTAGTGCAATCATGAAGGAGTCTTACACATTTAGGATTAAAACTGTGCACATTGTTCATCCCATGCCCATGATAGAAATAGTTCTAGCGTCTATTAAACACTTGTTTCACAAAAATATTAAAGAATGTGTAAGTATTAATCAAAGTATAAATCATTCAAACATTCACCTTTAAAGTTAGGCTATCCGCCAAGGTTGACAAGATCTCAAAGATGGTCATAACGATACAGTTAATAACCTTCCTATTAATTTGCATAACACTCCAATAAAAATTCATGTGTTATTTCAGATTTTTGTACATAAAGAACCATCCACATTGCACTCGCATATAGATCTAGATCTTCTCCCATCGACCTATGGAGGTACAATGGAAGACTTGAACATTTTGTGTGACAAATTTAGAGACATTTTGATCGAAAACAAAACAGAATTTGCCAAAGAAGAACACATAAAATACAATGGAGGAGTTTTACCGAAACACAAGCAAAAAAGTTTCACTCCTGAACTAATTGAAGGAAGCTTCAGAAAGTTGGAAATTGACTAATAAATTAGGTTAACTCTTGTTATAATATAGTAAAGGCTTCTTATACTACACCACGTGCAAAATCGATCCACACAAATTTTCGATGAATTTCAATCGCAAATAACTTTTTTATTTGATGTCGGATTTAAACGAATATTAAATAATATTGTAGATAAATTAATGGACAATCGCTCACATTTTAAAAAAATACTAAAAATTGACGTACGTTTATAATATACAGGTTTAAACAAAAAGATGTTTTTTACCATAAGTTTAAGACACTCTGTAGAGTGGCAAAACCGTATATTGTTCTAAATTAAGTTTTAATTATCAAGTCACATCTATTCTTAACAGTTTTGTTTTTGGTTCACCTCGATATATTTATTTTTGTGGAAAATATAGATTTTTTTAAAAAACATTGCAATTTCCAATATTTTTCCTGTATGAAGAACTAAGGTTGCTATGGTCCATCCATAGGCTTTGGAGAATGACCATTAATTTATCTACAATATTCTTTAATATTCGTTTAAATCCGACATCAAATAAAAAAGTTATTTGCGATTGAAATTCATCGAAAATTTGTGTGGATCGATTATTTTGCACGTGAGTGTATATTGTATTTATTTTTACATTAAATTTGACTTACATAAATTGTATTTTCATTAAGTTTGCCCAAAAATATGTAGGATATAAAAATAAAACATGTATTTAACTCCAAATCTAATCATTTATTCTTCTATATAAGTAACCTAAACAAAATAAATATGGATAAGTACAACAATTAACTTCAGATCTGCTAATTGCAAAAAAAAAATTATTTATTTAAGTAAAACGCTTAAGTAACATGTGAATAATACTAAAAAAAATAAAAAAGTAACAATGAAGTCCCAACAATTATTAACAATATTAAACCAACGTTTCGTTGGTTTTAATACATTTCACTAAGTCCAATCACTAATTGTCTATACTGACCTATGTTTGAAACAGTTTAATAATACTTAATGGACTAGCTTTAAGCTGATAATAGTTTCAAAAATTCACTTGTAAGGGTCCGATAAACACTGGTTTATAACAGCCATCATAAATCTAACCTAAGAGACTCTAATTTCTTGTTGATTGGACTAGATTGTACCCCATTACATAGCACGTTATCTAGACTTACAGTAGATTTAGTATTTTGATAGTCATCATAGGGGAGATCCGCTATGTTGTCTTGTGAGTTGGCTAAGTCGAAGTTGGTACCATTGGTAACGCTTTTAAAGGTACCGCTTTCGCTTGAGAAATTGTTTGAAGGTAAACTAGAGAACTGAAGATCGTCCTGACTGTAGAAACCGTTCTCTACTTGTCTTAGAGGGCTTGGTATGTCTCCATTAGGGAGATAACCGTTGGGCAATTTATCCCCCACCTTGTTTAAGCTAGTCTGACTATCGCTGGTGTTGTAGAGTTTGTTTAACACATGATTCTTCTCGAACTTTCCTTTCTCATAGACAATTTCAACTGTAGCAGTTGGGGAAGCTATCATAGGGCTAGCTTCAGATATATAATCGGATAGCATAGGCCACTTGGTGTCCTTTTGAAGCTGCCTTTCAATCTCGAGGTATTTTCTTTTAGATTCGTCGTTTTTGTGGTATTTTTTGAAGAGGTAGTTGTCTATAACCACGTACTCCATAAACATGCTAATGGTGAAGTTTATAGCTGCAAATACGACTAAAGTCCACCTAAACGATACATCCGGCACCACGTGAAGTTGGAACAGGTTCGTTATGAAGGTACAAGGCCAAACAGACATGTATACACACGTTACGGTCATTATTAAAGCCCCAATGATGAAGCCGTAGTTTGTTAGAACGCTTTTTCTGTAGGGTTTCCCTTTGGAGAAAACTATGGCTAGTATGATGTATTGGAAGCTCGATATGGTGTACACAGTGTAGTTTTCCATGGAAGCATTATCATCCTTATCTTCTCTACCAGTACCGTTGAACGGTTCATACCATGGTTGCGTTTTAAGGTATTGAAATGAGGCAGTTTGGAAGAGTACAACAAAAACCATATGGCAGAACAACGAGAATATCGGGATGATACTTATAAGACTACTCAACGGAGTTTCCTTAACCAACTTGTTATACGATTCAGTCTTGCCGAAAAAATACGTAAATGTGGCGATAATCCCCAAGTCGATAAACAAGAACTCCATATCCGTTAGGTTTAAATCCATGCTGTACAATATTAACACAGAAGTGAACTGACACATACTGTAAGCAGCCATATATTTGAAAATTCCGAAGCTGGTTACCAAACCAGCGCGGCCTTCTCTTATAACCTGCTCAACGCAGCTAATGTCCGATGTTTGAGATGTAAAAGGTGAGGCGACTGAGGATTCAGCTTCAGACAGAGAAATACCTGTATGGGCAGCTTTAAGAGCACCACAGTCGTTGGCACCATCTCCACACATGGCTGTAATAAAAAATTATTATACTCGTATATGTAGTTTGGAGAGTTCTGAAAGAACAATAAACTCACCAACTATGTAACCAATGCCTTGCAATTCTTGTACAAGCTGCTGCTTGTTTTCTGGCGACATCCTGGCGAAAATGCTGCCTCTAGCGACTATTTTCTGCAGTAATTCTGGGTGATACTCCTTTAGAATCGCCCAGGTTTTCCCCGTCATTGCAAACCTATAGTTGTTGTAGTTAACCGAATCTTTATACTCTTTGACGCTGTTTATGAAAGTCTCCTCTGTTTCCACGTTCACCGACACAGAGTTGGAGAGAATGGAGTGGTCTTTAGGCATTTTGGAGGACTTGGTTTGGGTTAAGGTGTAATATAAATTCGGGGGATTATTATTGTCGGTGTTCACCGTTATGACGCTTTGATTGTCGGTGATCATGTCGCATTTTTTGGCGACGCTTAGAGCCGTGAGAATGTTATCACCTGTCACCATAATCACCCTTATTTTGGCGTCGTTTAACGACCTAATGCACGATTGGGTTATGGGTTTCAGTCTGTTCTCCAAGACTATTAAACCAAGTAGGGTTAAGTCGTTCTCAACGTCCTCTCGGCTCATATTTTTTATTTTGGTGATCTTGGTGGTGGTCAAACGTTTATGAGCCAACGCTATGACTCTGTACCCTTTGTGAGTGTAATCCTCAAATACCTCCTGAAAGTTATCAGGCACGGAATCATCCCTAACAAAGTTCAAAATCATCTCTGGTGAACCTTTGCAGTAGAACTCAAAGTGTGGCGGATAATCCCCCTCCACTCTACTGGCTATAACCCCCATTCTCTGCGAGGAACTCGAGAAAGGGAACTCTTTAATTATACCGATTTCACAACTATCCTCATCAGAAGTCCCTTTTGGAGACTTGAAAACTATCATGTCCATACTTGGTATCTCATCGAACTCCCACTTGGTACTGTTGAACATCTGCAAAAAAAAAATAACCTAAAAAATGTTCGAGAACCTTCCAAAATTACCTTCAAATCCAGAGGATCCCCGACAATCTCTTCCTTGACTCGTTTCAAAGAATGACAACAGACCATACCAACCACAAAGTCTTTTTGGTCCATTTTTTCAACTTCCACAGCAGGTGGCGAAAAGACTTTGCTTTCAATCGGTACCACGCAGTTTAAATCCAAACCGTCTTCAGTAAGAGTACCAGTCTAAAATTGTTTTACAATGTTATAACAAATGTTAGAAATGTTGCCCAACACAAAAACAAAACACAAAGTTTTTTTGCTAGACACAACTTTAGCACTGAATTGCAAAGTTTTATTTCGAGATTATCACTGCAGAAATTTGGTATATAATTATATAGAAGAATTTCCCGATTCGATAGAAATTTTAGTCGCAAAATGGGTAAGAATTGGTTACCTGTACAAAACTACGAGATTTTAAGCTTTCTTTACAAAGAGCCGTACAATTTACACCAATACACCACTTTGTGTTTTGTTTTGGTGGGAAATATTTCTAATATTTGTTTGTTTTATAACCTAAAAAACCAAAAAAACAACTACCTTATCAAAACAGACGCAGTTAAGTGAACCAGCTACATTAATAGTTCGCGGCGATATACAGAAGATTTTGTTCTTCTCCAGTCTCTTTTGCGAGTATAACTGACCAATGGTCATTGCAGTGGGTAGTGCTGGTGGTACTACGATGGTAATAAGATCGCATGCTTCGATAAATAAGTCTCTGAAGTGTCCACCGCGCATTACCTACACAAAAAGTTTTTATTACTTTCACCGAAGACTACCACACCATTTTGGACGCACCTTTGATACAATAGTGTAAATAAACCCACCAAATGCCACCACAGCAAGCATGCCAATAAACTTATACGAATCTTTTTCGAACTTGAAATCTACCGGTGGTGGAAACTGAATACTCCTCACCAAACTACCTTTAGTGGTAGAGTACCCAGTCCGTATAACCACAGCCAGAACTTTTTGGTTTTGTACGTTACGCGACTGAATGATTTTAGTACCGCAGAATAGAGTGTGGCGCGCATGCTCTTTTGCGTCGTAGATTATGTCTTCGTCTGCAACTGGGGTTTTGGTAACCGGTACTGATTCACCTACGAAAAGAGAGTACAACATAACAAAACCCTTTTTGAATTTATCCCTCTCTAAGACAATTAATTCCTCTGAGACCGAAAAAACAATTCAAAAAGGAGATTTACAATAACGGAACGTACCAGTCAACATAGACTCGTTTACAATACAGCTCCCAGTTAATAGTACAGCGTCACAATGCATAATGTTATCGGATATTTCAATTACATCCCCAGGTACTAAGTTCTCTCTTAGTACCTCTTCTGACTGGTAAGTAGACCCCTCACCAGTCCCTTTATCATCATTGCGATCGAATTTCCTCAACACCACACAATTTCCAGTTGTATGTATGGTTTTCTTCAACTTTTTCTCAGTCTAAGCGATGAAAGAGATCATCATTAACCATTAGATGTTTATATTATGATACTTACGTTTCTAGTTTGCCTTACAGATGTTACTATACTTATAGCAGACATGATAATAATAGTCGAGGCGTAAATATAGTAATTATCCAAAAACCATAATATGAAACTCAAAATTTGGAAGATATAGTAAGGATTCAAAACTTCCAGGAACAACAGTTTCGATATAGACGATACTTTAACTTCTATCTCGTTGGGACCAAATATGGTGTTCCTGAAAGACTCATTTTGAAAAAATTATTTAAACATTGTCTATCACCCTTGAGACGCTAACACTTACCTCAATGCTTGCTCATCACTGGTAAGACCTTTATTATCTTTTAACCTCTTCAATGAAACGCCATTGTCCAAACCACTTAATTTTATGAATTCTTGTCTTTCCTCATCCCAGATGTAAATGACTTTTTTGCAAGAAAACGTTATCAATCTAGAATATATATTGTATTACTATAAAAAATAAATTAATTGTTGTTAAAGCTACTTTTCTACTTCTCTGAAAATTCCGTTTTCAAAATGAACAGGGAATGTAGACAACCTTTCTGTAGGTATTTTCGACAACTTTTGCACCATATCTGGTGTTAACTCTTTAATTGTTTCCACATGGTATATTTTATGTTTTCCATTGTACAACTCCTATAATAATAAAAAAAAAACAATTCATGCTGGAAATTTATTGACCTCTTTAAGCATACCAAAACTAATATCGTTTCAGCCTCTTGAATCTTACATCTTACCGACGTGGAGTAAAGGTAAAGGTACGGTATCCAATGATACAAAAGCCTCAATATCCCCGCGGTTAATACAAAAAACAAGTACGTAAGGGTAGTCTTAATTTTGCTACTCTTGTAGCAAAATATCTCCATCTCATCATCGTGATCTCTATTGATGTACATCCGGTTTTCCCGAGAAACGGAACCTACAAGAAAGTACCATCATTTTCATCGCCCGGCACTAATGAGTCTCGAAAGACCGTTGGTATCGAAAAAAGCATCCACGGCCGCCAAAGTCGCCGGATTTAACTCTGTTGGACTTTTTTTCGTAGAATAATTAGGAGAAGATGTTGATGGATATCATAAGACAATTTTAGATATTTATTACTGGGAAAAAAGACCTGGGAAATATAAGAGGGTTGAATTGTGTTTCACGTGTAAAAAAAAAATTAAAAAATATTTTCAATGATAGAAAATAGAGTATGTTGATAGCAATAAAAATGCCATTGTTTTATATTTTGTTTGAAGTGTGTTATATTTGTTTTATAAACAAATAATTTTGAAATATTTATTTGTATTTCAAATTTATATTGTAGTACATTGTGATAATTCAATTAGTCATTTTATAGTAAAAATTATCTCACAGAATTCCTAAAATTGTTCTGTTCTGACAATTTCCTCTGAATAAAATGGTAAAAATAAAACAGTAAATTACTTTTTTTTCATTTTTTTTTACCTTTGAGTAGTTCAACCTCTTGTTCCATCCTCTTTTTATCATCTTCAACACTTTTTCTTGAAAAAGAAAAAAAATCGCGTATTACATTACCCATTGTAACGAAAAAATCGTCCATTTCAATTATTTATAGAAACACCAAAAAACACCGATTTATCAGAACCACGATTTTTTTATCGCGAACCTCAAAAACTCAAAACACACGAAAAATAATATCACATACATGAAATCTTTGTCTTTTTTATTAAACATTTTCCAGTCAGTTATTATTTTCGAAAAACACCGCACACACGCTGGCAACACTGTAGAATTTTCACTTTTTTTTATTTATCCTCTGGAAATTTGTATTTTCTCCTTTTTTAACGCTTTCTCCTATATAAAGGGTTTATGTCATTTTACCTAAAAAAAATATATAAAAAATGTGAGTTAAAAATATTTAATGTTTAAGCCATTTTTGCAGTATTCAAATTGAAATCAGTGCAGGTAACTTTAAAATTACATTACATAACCTATAACGTCAAATGTCAACATTGGAGATAATGTTTATTCAATTGAAAAGTATTGTTTTTAAGAAAATGAAATTCCTGGAAATTATATTTCAAGGTAAAATTAAACAAACATCTCTAACATCTCTACATATTTTAAAATATTATAAATTATTTTAATCTGATCTATATAAAAATATATTTTTTAGTATTTATTTTATTTATATTCCCGACAAATTTAAAATAGGTGGGCAACAGATTTTATGACGAATTTCATTGAAGGTTAAAAAATAATCTATTTTAATAATAATAATTCTATTAAGAGAGCATCAATTAAAAATAAGAAATTTATTAATTATTTTCAAATGCTTCAAAGGCAATTTTAAATTGGCTACAAATGGCTTAAACACATTAGTCTAACCAAATTTATTAAATATATGGGTGCTTCTACAAAAATTAGTCAAAAATGCTCTAATTATGTATACAATTATGCTATCTATGCATTCATTTGAATTCTAACGATAAATTTTAATTAACTAGGTAAGTATTTAAGTTTTTATCGACAAAGTTTTTGTAAAAAAATCCACATAAAACATAACACAAAAAATAATCAAAATACCCATGGCTGTCAACATGACATTTAGCATTGCCAACTAAATAATATGACAGCTGTCAAAGTGGATGACGTGTATTAATGGAGGTTAGCCTACTACACTACTTTATTTAATGTGTTAAAAGGGGTGAATATGAATATGATTTTTGTGTTATGTGCCGTAAAAAGTAATAAAAATGTGTACTCACTTGAAACAAAAATCTATAAATCCTCGGAAAATATCAAATAAACGTCAAATAATCATGGTAGAGATCATTTTTTTTTCGTATGTCAGTCCCCTGGGTCATTCTTTGCCCTATAACCAATACTGCTTGAAACGAACACATTTTCCACATTGTCCATCTTATTCGTGCAAATAGCTGATAATCTATTAATCAATTCCATATACAACACTTTGCTATACTTGTTATCACTTGAGCACATCATTTGAAACTTTAAAGTCACCGCAGAACTAAGAAAGTCACCACAATCGCGTTACCTTAGTCTCTCGTTATGTCACGCGTTTATAACCTCACTTTATTTTAATTCGACGAATTTAGATTAAAATTGACTGGTTTAAGAGAGTTTTGGAGCTTCTAACGACACAATTTAATATTAAAAACCGAAAATACTTCATTTTCATCGTCACCCTGTTAAGTAGCACGTTACACACCGAATTTAACCACTCTATATAGATTTAGCAACACTGTAGGTATATCAAAGCACACTATTTTATTTGTTTAACTGTGTTATATTACAACGGCTTTTGTATCAATGTAACGAACAAATTTTACAAACGATCTGTAAGGAAACTTTTTGCCATCTATTATCGCTGAAATGTCCTTCTACGCGAGCAGAGCGCATGTTCCAGTGTTGCCGGATTTATTGTTTTATTGCTGAGTGAGGAAATTGTTGGCATTTGCAATTAGATGTAATTGTATAGCGTAGGTATATTAAAAAGTATAAATTTGTAACTTCTCTGTAATAAATGTTAATAGTAAAAATATTGTTTAAACTAATAAAGCATCAGTTAAATTAAAACTAGGCACCACTGTTACAAGAGTAGTTATATTCATAATTTCTCGCAATTGTAATTTAATAACATGAGTCATGCGTACCGGGAAAACAAGTGAGAAGACGCGGCAACACGGCGCCGCAGGCCATTAGCAAGTGATGACAGAGTTGCCAAGTTGTGCAAAAAATCCCAGGTGTAGGGACAATGTTGGACAGCTGCTGACGCCGTTTTGTATGGTTTTCAAGGGTTTAAAGTTGGTAAATACACCTCTACAAAGTATTTTTTATCGATTTGACAAAATTTTATGGATTTTTATGATTTATTAAGAGTTTTGTTCGATTAAGAGTTTTCTCCGTTACTTTTTAAAGACAATCCGGCAACAGTGTTGCGACCTCGTGCAACATGGCTGTCAAATTTCGTACTAATTTTTGCCATAACACTGTTATTTCTATGAATTTTTGCAATGTGTTCTTGTTTCGTTTTTTGTAGGTTTTCATGAAATGCATTGGTTATTTATAGAATTTATTGATGAAATTGATACAATTGGGCTAAAAAAATTATTATTTACGCCTGGATTGTTTCTTATTGGTTTTGGATTTAGAAAATCCACAAAAGTGTCTACTATTTCAATATATAAATAAATTTATTATAAATTGGAAAAAAGTTGACAGATGTCAAATTTTTAATAAATTAATTTAAGGTCATTTGTAAACAGTTTTAGGACATCATTTAGATGATTTAGGACTTTTTAGACATTTTAAAATATGGTCATAAGGTCATTTAAAGACAGTTTTAGAATATCGTTTAAATAATTTAGGACATTTTATTCAGTTTCAGGACTTTTTGAACATGTAAAATATGTTTTTAGTTCCAAGCGTTTCAAGACAATTTTAGGTCATTGAAAATGGTTTTTGAATAATTCAAGGTCATTTGGAGACAGTTTTAGGACATAATTTTAATAATTTAGGACATTTTAGTCAGTTTTAGGACTATTTAGACATTTTGAAATATCTTTTCAGTTATAAGGGTTCTATGACAATTTTTTGGCATTAAAATAGATTTGAAATAATTTAAGGTCATTTGAGGACAGATTTAGGACATCATTTTAATAATTTAGGACATTTTAGACAGTTTTAGGACTTTTTAGACATTTTAAAATACGTTTTTAGTTACATCGTTTTATAACAATTTTAGGGTATTAAAAATAGATTTGAAATAATTTAAGGTCATTTGAAGACAGATTTAGGGCATCATTTTATCAATTTAGGACATTTTAATAAGTTTTAGGACTATTTAGACATTTTAAAATATGTTTTCAATTACAAGCGCTTTATGACAATTTTTGGGCATTAAAAATTTAGGATATTTTAGTCAGTTTTAGGACTTTTTATACATTTTAAAATTTGTTTTTAGTTACAAGCGTTTTATGACAATTTTAGGGCATAAAAAATAGAATTGAAATAAGGTAAGGTCATTTAAAGACAGTTTTAGGTTATCGTTTAAATAATTTAGGACACTTTAGATAGTTTTAGGACTTTTCAGGGTATTATAAATAGATTTGAAATAATTTAAGATCATTTGAAGGCAGTTTTAGGATATCATTTTAATAATTTAGGACATTTTATTTAGTTTTAGGACTTTTTAGACATTTTAAAATACGTTTTTAGTTAAAAGCGTTTTATGACAATTTTTGGGCATTAAAAATAGATTTGAAATAATTTAAGGTCATTTGAAGACAGTTTTAGTATATCGTTTAAATAATTTAGGACATTTTATTTAGTTTTAGGACTTTTTAGACATTTTAAAATATGTTTTTGTAACTACAAGCGTTTTATGACAATTTTAGGGCATTAAAAATAGATTTGAAATAATTTAAGGACATCATTTTTAGGATATCATTTAAATAATATAGGACATTTTAGTCAGTTTTAGGACTTTTTAGAAATTTTAAAATATTTTTCTAGTTCCAAGCGTTTAATGACAATTTAAGGGCATTACAATTAGTTTTAAAATAATTTAGGGTCATTTAAAGACAGTTTATAAAATAATTTAGGACATTTTAGTCCTAATTTAAGACATTTTCAAATATATTTTTAGCTAACGGGCTGAAATTGGCTTTATTATAAATTGGGAAAAAGTGAGGTTAAATTCAAGTGACAGTTGACAAATGTCAAATTTTTAACAAATTAAATTGACTTTAAATTCTGTTTTGTGTTCGTCGTAGATTAAGTATGGTATGCAACTCGTTTATAAATTTGTCTAGACACTTGTTTTTATTAAACACTCGCTCGCAGGCTTTGGTGGCGCTTAACATGTTAAAAAATGTTGTCTTAAAACTTTTTTGCCCGTCCAATAGTTAAACAATGTTTAAAAGTAAGCTATGACAGCTAAAACAAATAATTATTAATAACAACATTACATTGTGGTTTAATAATATTAACCTTACTTAATCAGCAAGTTAAATATTTTGTTGTTGTGATGTTAAAACATCTGCATATAAATGCGGGCCTTACAAATTAAGAACAATTAAGTGTTGATGAAAATAATGGCCAAAAAAAATTTCATTGATTAATTTGAACCAAATATTTTGTTAACTGAATTATTGCCTTGGTTATTTTTAGTATTTATAAATTTTAAAATAAATTCAATTTGTTTTGATTCGACATAATTTTAACTTGATACAATTTAGAAAGTTTTGAAGCACATACATTCCCATAAAATGCAGTATTAAGTGAAGAAATGGTCAAAACAATATTTTTATAATATTTAAATTTTTAAAACATAATGTTTTAAAGAGGTTAATATATATAGAATAACTTACTGAATTTTTGTAAAAAAAATAGTTTCATCTTCAAACTAACACCTCAGGTAATAAAAGTCACATACTGTCCACTTTAATATGAAGAACAATGTAAAATTTTATTATTATTTCAATTTTTTACCACATATAATCACATTATTTGAATGTCAACATGTAAGTAAATAGATCAAATTAAGTAATCATAGGTACATAATAGTTATTATGGACGACGTAAACATTCACCTCACAATGGAATTCGTTCGACCTGTATAAATCTAGCTGGGCACCGTAAAAAATCCTTTTTAAATAATATTATTTAAGTTACTTACCCATTTTGTAGGACTTTTTCTATTTAGATTAAATTTCCATGCCAATATTTCAGATAAAACTGTTTTTATCGAACTCCTATTTTTATTATTTTTTGCATATTATTTGACTAACTTTTACACATAACAACTACCTATTAATTTTTTATCATACAAAACAAAATAAATCCCACAAAATTTCGCAGTGACTTCGCTGTGGTTGTATGATTTACAATGGGAGATAAAATAAACTATTATATTATATTACATTGAAATTGTAATTGTCTTATTAAATAAAATGGTTTATCACCTGATAATTGTTTAAAAGATAATAATTTTATTGTAACTAAGTGATTTTAAACTAAACCTATGTGTCCTTGAAAAAGTAGTAGTAGATAATACAACAAAAGTATTACCTACCTAAAAAACTTAATGAGTTAGATAATTTTAAAATTACCAAAAATATTATCTACACTAGACATTCTTAAAAAAAACAATAAAACTTTGTATGCACATAAAACATTCTAAAATATGTTTACAGTTCCAAGCGTTTTAGGGGATTCAAATTATATTTGGAATAATTTAAGACAATTTTTAGTATTTAATTAAGAAAATTTAGGACATTTTAGTCAATTTTGAAACTTTTTAGACATTTTAAAATGTGTTTTTATTTCAAGCGTTTTATAATTTAGGACATAATTTAAATAATTTAGGACATTTTACTCAGTTTTAGGACTTTCCAGACATTTTAAAATAAGTTTTAAGCGTTTTATGACAATTTTAGGTAATTTAAAATAGATTACAAATAATTTAAGGTAATTTTTAGACAGCTTTAGGATACCAATTAAATAATTTAAGACATTTTAATCAGTTTTAGCACATTTTAAAATATGTTTTTAGTTACAAGCGTTTTATGACAATTTTAGGGCATTCAAAATATATTTGAAATAATTTAAGGTCATTTGAAGTTTTAAGATATCATTTAAATAATTTAGGACATTTTTATTAAGTTTTAAGACTTTCCAAACATTTTAAAATATGTTCATTGTTTGAAGCGTTTTATGACAATTTTAGGGCATTAAAAATAGATTTCAAATAATTATTTGTAATTTGTAGACAGTTTTAGGATATCATTTAAATAATTTAGGACATTTTGGTCAGTTTTAGGACTTTCCAGACATTCTAAAATAATTTAGGACATTTTATCTAAATATCTAAATAAAATGTCCTAAATTATTTTAGAATGTCTGGAAAGTCCTAAAACTAAATTTAGGACTTTTTAGAAATCTTAAAATGTTTTAGTTTCAAGGTTTTTATGACAATTTTAGTGCATTTACAATACATTGGGAATAATTTAAGGTAATTTTTGGACAGTTTTAGGATATCATTCAGAAAATTTAGGACATTTTAGTCAGTTTTGGGACTTTTCAGGCATTTTAAAATATGTTTTTAGTTACAAGCGTTTTTTGATAGTTTTATGGCATTCAAAATAGATTTGGAATAATTTAAGGTAATTTCTAGACAGTTTTAGGATATCATTCAGAAAATATAGAACATTTTAGTCAATTTTTAAACTTTTTAGACATTTTAAATTATTTTCATAGTTGCAAGCGTTTTAGACAATTTTTGGGCATTTAAAATAGATTTGAAATAATTTAAGGTCATTTGTAGACAGTTTTAGGGAAAAATTTAAATAATTTAGGACATTTTACTTAGTTTTTAGGACTTTACAGACATTTTAGGACAATTTTAGGACATCATTCAGAAAATATACGACATTTTAGTAAATTTTTGGACTTTTTAGACATTTTAAAATACCTTTATAGTTTCAAGCATTTTATGACAATTTTTGGGCATTTATAATAGATTTGAAATAATTTGGTCATTTGTAGACAATTTTAGGACATAATTTAAATAATTTAGGACATTTTAGTTAGTTTTAGGACTTTTTAGACATTTTAAAATGTTTTTAATTCCAAGCGTTTTATGACATTTAAAATAGACTTTAAATAATTCACGGTCATTTGTAGACAATTTTTGGATATTATTTAAATAATTTAGGACATTTAGTTAGTTTTAGACATTTTAATAGATTTAAAATAATATAAGGTTTTAGTAATAAGGAATAAATAAAAACATTAGCCACATCTTTGTTTGTGTTTGTTTATTATATTATAATATATTTATAAAATATATTTAGATATATACCCACTATACGTAAACTGAGTTGCATATGTTATAAACCATATTTTTTAAACAATTTGAGAAGATTGTCTTTATATTCAATTTAGGGTTTAATCAAGTCGCCCGTACCTAGATACAGAGATTTTGGTGTCTCAGCTTTGAAAAGTTGAAGTAGTTTTAAAACACGAAACATCAAATCCTCCTTGTAAGTGCAGAGCGAGTTTTTAATATTATCCAGCAAGAAATTTCAATCTCCCGCACAAAGTTGCGATGGCCAGGTGTATAGGATCAAGTTACCTTAAGAATAACTAGATTCTCAGTTGTTTCGTGACCTTTCTCTGGGTATCTTGATTTTATTACGAATAAGAATACGAGAGCTATGATATACGTATAAGTTAAGCGGTATAACAGCAAGGAATATCATCAATAACTATAACTTTTTAAGAGTGTTCGATACAGGAGCTAAATAACAAATAAAATGTAAGTTTTATATTTTGTTTTTAACTATATTGTTGCCTATATTGTTGAACAACAATGTAAATATATTGCATACATTTTCTACGTTCATTTTTATTGTCCAGGCATGCCGATTCTTAATTTTAAAAATCGCATGCTGTTTACTGTTATAAGAATTTGGGTTACTTGCAAGAAACAATTGTCACTTTTCCGCATTAAGATTAAATTTTGCGTTCAACAGTCCAACAAGTTTTAAAAAATGTCCTATAAATTGATTTTAAAAATTTTATCTAGAGGAGAGTTCAATTTTTTTTAATTCGCACATAATATCGTATATAATAATATTAATAATTTTGCATATCACAACGCACAGAAGTCGAGTGTATTTAAATCTGGAGAAGAAGATGGCTCTCCTCGTCTTATCTATCTATGTGGAAGATCTTAAGGGTTAAAGCTAGTACTCTGTGTAAGGGGAAATAGCAGTTGTTCCCATTAAAGATAATTTATAATAATTTGTATTCTACCTGTATATATTCCCATCTTGTGTCGGTATATTTGTTGATTATCATGAAGGTTAACAACAATTTTTTAAATAATAAATTAAATATTAATATATACGTTCGTGGAGTGTTTCTTTAAAGGATTAAAAATACTGTGATTTGATAACATTTTATTATATTAATATATTTTCTTATTATTGTGTTTGTGTTTGACCTAAATTTTACATACCTACATACATATTTTTAAATTTAAGAAAATGCATTATTCGCATTATATAGGTAGGTATACGATTGGCAACACTGGCATTAAATCAAAATAGTAAGAATGTGGTAAATTGCAGTCATTAAAAGCAACAAAAATAATATAAACCTACTAGCTTTCCCATATGTTGCTCTCTATTTATTGCAATACCGCACCTGATATGTAATAACTACATAAATATACAGAGTCATTTACTTGAAACTGAAGTATATCAGTTAGTATACTCTTTTGTCGGTTGAACACTCCCGTTTGTAGTAAACTGCTTGACTGTACGGTGAAATGAAGTATGTGATCGATTTTTTTTCGGAAAACGCTGAGCGTAGATATTAATAAGATAATTCCCAAGCAACAATTTAAGTATTTGTTACGTATATGGGACTATTGAAGAAACTTTAAAGTTCCAAAAAGGTAACAAATATATATTGCTATAAATCCTGCTACTATTAACAAATTATTTATTTAATAATGTGGATAAATAAAAAAATCTTAATATTTATTATTAATTATTTATTTAATTATTAATACCGTCTATTACCAACAAAATTACTATTTATTAAAAAGTAAACAACCATTTACAAACAATTAAAATAATTTATTATTTACATTACCACGTGGTACTGTACAGTAAAAAATGGCCGATAAGAAGAATTTTCCTTTGAAGTAGTTTTTGCACCTTAATTTACTTTACGGTAGTTTTGGTTAGTACCATAAACGTTCCAAATACTAAAATAATAACTTTTAAGTTATTAACTTTGTAGTTTTTAACTCATGTTACAGTTTAGAGATTTTAACTTGCAAAGCGACTACAAAGTAAAAATAACTATAAGGTAAACTTTAGGTAGCAACCGAAAGTAACTGCTACAAATTAAATTTACTTGAAAGTTTTATTTACTTATAACACCTTTTTTAAAGTTGCAAAGTCGTCTTGGGAGCAACCAAGTTTTACTTAAATGTTTATTACTTTATAGTAACCATTTAAGGAAAAAAATATTGCCATTTAAAAGTTAGAATTACTTAGTAAAAATTAAAGTAGCTGTTTAGTATACTTAACTAATTTAGTTATCACCACTTTGGTAATGGTTTTTGGAACCAAAAATGCTGCTTGGGTTAGTACCAAAAAAGTGATATTTTTATAGAAAAATGATTGCAGAATTGACAAGGAATATTTTAAACACTTTGTATACCACAGGTCTTACCATTAATACCAATGATCGCAATATTCTGTATTATAGCAAAACTTGAACATTATGTGGGCAATTTAATAGAAACAAGTTTGTCTAGTTTTTTTTAGCATCCTCTAAAGATTCAAGTCGATCAATTTAATTTAATCTAATAAAAAATACATTCTGTTTTGGGTACCTATAAAAAATTAACGTTTTTTGTAAAAAGTAATAATTAGACAAAATCTGATACAATACTTGGTAAATATATAATTATGGCTTGTGTAATAGGATACTTAGCACCTTGGGTAAAAAAAGGCATTAAATATCATGGAATTAATTTCAAAAATTTGAGATATCCAGTTTCATTTTATTAACATAATACCCCATAAAAAAGTCTGTGGGACTTAAATCACTGGGCGTTGGTGGCCAGATCTACCCTACTGATGAAATATGCAAAATGTTCAAAATAGATAAATTAGTCAAGGTATATATTATAATAATTTAAAACTGTAATATTTGTTAATTGACCAATTTTATATTGGTATAGGCTTTCGCACGGCTCATTTAAATATCACCGCACAGTGGGGTGAAAACCAACATTTATTAACAAACAAAAATTTCTAAGAAGATATGACCCGGAATAATGGAATATTCTTAGAACCTTCCCTTATTGCTATGAATGTTCTTAGGGACTTTTAAAACATTCAATAGATACCCTTTTAATGATGCAATTAGATTCTTAAAAGCTTCTTAAAACCTTCCTAAAAAGAATCCTAAGAACATTTTAAGAATACGTTTTTGGAATGTTCTTAGAAGGTTTCTTATGGAGCTTCTAGGAAGATTTTGAGAATATTTCCAAATATGTCAGATACCCACGTTCTAATATGTTGTATTCTACATTCGTAAAATTCTTCAAGAGACGACAAATATGCCTCACTGTCATAATATGACAGTGAAATGTATTTGTCGTCCCCTTAAAAAAATTTGCGACATATTAATATATTTATTTAAAAATATTAAATAAACAATTTGACCTCTAAACCATAAGTTGTATGACATTATTTCTAAAAAGTAAAATTGGAAAATTTTGTGGGATAAGTCAGATTGGATTGAAGTTGAAGATGGTTAGGATTATTATACATAAAAATGTTAATTCAGAAATAAAAAATCGGTATACAAATTAATAAATATTTATTTTTAACATTAAATAAAATACCTAAAGTAAAAGTATTTTTGTTATCGAATATTGTTTTAATTTGACAAATAACTATAAAAAAATATTTTGGATTGTGTTTTTTACTTAGTATTTAATACTAATTACTAATTAGGTACTTAAGTATAGGTAGTTTATGGTATATTTTACTATTATATGGGTAACTGAACTAAATATGCTTAACAGGAATATTCCTAAATGAACTTTCTATAGCAATTACTTTCTAAGCACATGTTTAGAGTAGACTAATTTTTACCACTAAAACTTTGCACCTTCTAAGAACCTGCCTATAGGCCAGTAAGAATATTCTTAGGATCATGCTATACGTCTTATAAGCATGTTCTTTAGAAGAAATATAGCATGATCCTAAGAATATTCATTCATTCTTAGAATATAGTGTGCTATCAGGGATCAGATGTTATTTTCAACTTGACCCAAGGTGTCTTAAGACTGGTTTCTGTTCATTCACTTTAATTTTTAAATTATGGTACCCAAAATTCATTCATAATTCTTTCACAACACCAATTTCTACACGCCGCGCACTGTGGAAGAATATATTTTTGAGACGTTAAGAGATTGTAGCCTTTGGCGAAAATTTGTGATAATGTTTATAAATACCTATATGCAGTTAAAACAAACATGCCGACATATAGATTATTCAAATTTTATACTGATTTTATTCAAGTTAAGAACGGAAGTACTTCAGATAAAATCGCTTCTATGTATACATATCTATTTAATTATATGTCTAGCAGCAGTGGAATGGCCCATATCAGGATAAAACTTGGCCAAGATTTGCCCTTTAACCTTTATAAAGCTTGTTTCTTAGATTTACTATTGTTTTAGGTCTTGTTACAAACTTCTGCACCTATCTATATTTCTCATAGTTGGTCTCAAATTCACCAACTCTGAAAGAGAACATAAGGTAACTTAACGTTTTTCTTGGAGAGTACAATTCATAGAATCAAACTTTTTGTAGGTACACAACATTGTGCTGTACCCCAAAAAGTACTCCTGGTGTCTTACCACACCAATACAACAAATAGTTGCATCACCAGGCTACGAATCCGTTACAATAGACAACAATGTCTGCGTGGGTGCTTGTTACAGCTACAGCATCCCAAAAACACAACCTGCAGAGCCAGGTGAAGTTATAGGACCGTACTGTGACAGTTGCCAACCAGCAAAAATCAAATGTTACCATGTGAACCTGAAAGCCGACGCTCAGAACTTAGACGGCCCGCGTACGACCCAGAAACGAGTCCAGATCATAGTTGATTGCGCGTGCGCGTCGTGTGACGTCATACGCAAAGATGACTGCGATATATCCGATGAAAATACCGTCGAGTTACCATCGAATTTGTTTCTCAACACAACCACCAAACAGGATCCTGAGGAAGTTCCAGAACTTCTTAAAATGCAGAATGGTAAATCTTTGTTTTCATTTGTTGTCATTTGAATGTCATTTGTATTGTTTTTAAAGGTATTTACAACAAAATGAAGGCTCACGATCAATTAAAACACAAAAAAATTATCGATTTGTACAGAAGGATTGAGGATGGGGGTAACAAAGTTAACAATGAGAGTTTTAATGAACTAAACGAGATTTTACACTACAAAAAAGTGAAAGACATCTTAAACAAAAATGATGACGAAGAAGATGATGAAGACGACTCAAGTGAGGAAGATATCATCCCTCTACCTGATGGTGCATTCGAAGAAAGAAACCACTACAATATCGGTAATAATAATCAGCAAATTTGATTGAAATTGGATGTTTAAAATATGTTTTAGTAACGGATCCTCCTGTCATTCACCAAACGACAGAAAAAGTACCAGAAGCGCCATCTTTAACGCCACCAAGTCACCATAATCACCACCACCATCACCAATTAGGTGAAGTGCAACAGGTTGGTGAAACAGTGGAGCATCTTATCAAGGGACCCCACGGTAGTATGGTACTTACACCAGTGGAAAAATTGCACATTGATTCTGACGCCTTGAAGAACAATGATGAAGGTTTGGTGATCTCCTATGAGGATCACCATGCAAAAAAACCCAACCACATAACAGTCAATTAAAATAAAAATTTAACACTTAGTTTTATTTTATAACACAGGTCTGCAATTTTTGACATGTTGTTAATCAAATATCTAGTCTTTTAGATAGGTACTAAATTTTATATATTCATAAAAAATGGTTATTTTTATAATCTTTATACGTAATTAGTTATAATTAATTGTACCTATTTTTTAATCCTAAAAATAAATTTAGATTCTAAGTAAAAAATATTCTTTCCCAAATGAGGCTATAATAACTATTCTTAACATATACAGCAGCTTATTATAAAAATAGTACAAAATTTGTTATTGTCTATAAAATTTGTTGTAAAAAAATCAAACTATATATTTTAGAAACATTGGGGCTGTGTGTTAAAGTTATACCACCAAAAAATATTGTGATATTTTATGAGTGGTATAATATTAGTCAAAAATATTTCTTTTCTTACACGTTTTATAGGTTTTTTATAATATACTAAAGTTTATTAAATATAATATATATCTTCCAAAAACTGACTTCTTTATTACCCTACCTTGATAAATATGCGTTGCACTGAAAAAAGTTTAGAATAAAAAATATAGGGAATTTAATTTTCTACAAAATATGTTATAACAGTTTTTGTCGAAAAAGTCCTGGTAAGCGAGATATTATTATGTTACCTATATGTTACCTTTATATTACTTACTAAAAAATGCATCTTACAATAAAAAGTTTCAGACAAAAAATATAGAGAATTTGATTCCCTACAATAATTGTTATAAGAATTTTTGTCGAAAAATTGCCCTAAACCGAGATATTTAACTTGGTAATTTTGAAGTACTTTTACATAACTTCGTAGATATGAGTTTTACAGAAAAAAGTTTTTAACGAAAAATACAAAGGATTTAATTCTCTGCAAAACATGTTATAACAGTTTTTGTCGAAAAAGTCGCAGTACGCGAGATATTAGTGTGTAACCTATATGTTACCTTTATGTTACTTAGTTAAATATGCATCTTACAATAAAAAGTTTCAGACAAAAAATATAGAGAATTCGATTCACTACATTAATTGTTATAAAACACAGCGTTAAAATGAAACTACATCATAAATAAAAAGTTATATATTTGTTTTAACAATTTAAAGCAATATAACGTATAATAATATTATGAGATAACAATATACATACACATACATACGTATAATGAAATATGAGGTGAACTTTTTAATAAAATATTTATTTTTTAATGTAATGCACAGGGTGTGTATAAAAAATATAACTTTTTGTTAATATTTTTTTGATAGAAACACCCTGTATATCGATAAAAACAACAAATTTAAATAAATTAATAAATTATTTTTTAACATAAAAATTATTGTTAATACTGATATTATATAAATAATTTATTTTTCAACAATAAAATCATGCATCAAAAAAAATCTTAATGTCATACATACAAGGAGGTGAAATATTTTTGAATTAACTGTTTATAAAAATCAGTCAAATTTAGGTACATAGATACAACATTTATAGCAAAAACGTGACTTAAGGGTACAACAGCAAGAATATTTTGACTTACATAAAATGTCAAATGTCTGCTTCCCCACTTAAGAAAAAAGTTTTATTTCGTTTTTTATTGGCCTGACAAAAACATTTTGAAACAAAAACTTTTTGTCCAACGAATAGGAAACGAGATAGACGAGTTTTTCAGTTTGTAGACAAAATCATTAAAGGTTCTTGTTTATTGTACAGTAGGTAATAATTTATCAAAAAATACATTGTGTTTTGGCGATAAAAAGAATTTATAAAAAGATTTGTTTTCTTTATAAGTATCTTTTTTTATAATAAATACATTCATATTTTCCTAGTAGGTATTATTATATTGGTCACTGTATTTTTTCCTGATTTTTCAATTCGCTTTCCAGCCCCTCTTTTTGACTAATTTTTTTACCACTGTTAGTCACTATTTTCGTCGCTCCTTTGAGCATCAACCAAAACCAGTACACTTGAGGCAAAAGCAAGATTGCGATGGAAATTTGGCAACCCCTCGGTAGTGACAGGATCGTCTAAAAACGAAAAATGCAGTTTTGCCACCATTTGCAACCTGTAATACTCACCGAAATAAAATCCAAGCCAATCACTTGACCATAAGCGTACAAAACGTATGGAAACATGGCAACCCTGCATAGGAAGAACGTCACCAGCATTATGATGCCGTTGTAAACGTACAGCGACGAATCTTTCATCCCAATTTTCGACAGTATACCGCGGATTGAAACGAAAGGAGTACTAGCTTCCATTAGGTATACAAAACCGAAAAAGCAGTCTCCAAACCCTCCTCTTAAATGCTGAAAAAAATTTTGCATTTTGATTTTAAATAACCAAAATCACAGGGTCATTAAATTTACAGACTAAAAGTTCTAACAATAATAAAACGCGATATCTTAAAAAATATGCGTTGTACGTAAAAAAGTTCAAAATAAAAAATATAGGTAATTTAATTCCCTACAAAACATGTTATAACAGTTTTTGTCGAAAAAGTCGCGGTAAGCGAGATATTAGTATGTTACCTATATGTAACGTTTATTTTACTTAGTTAAATATGCATCTTACAAAAAAAGTTTCAGACAAAAAATATAGAGAATTTGATTCCCTACAATAATCGTTATATTACTTTGTCGAAAAATTGCCCTAAACCGAGATATTTAACTTGGTAATTTTGAAGTACTTTTAAATAACTTCGTTAATATCATTTTTACAGAAAAAAGTTTGTAACGAAAAATACAGAGAATTTAATTCTCTACAAAACATGTTATAACAGTTTCTGTCGAAAAAGTCGCGTTAAGCGAGATATTAGGATGTTGCCTATATGTAACATTTATGTTACTTAGTTAAATATGCATCTTACAATAAAAAGTTTCAGACAAAAAATATAGATAATTTGATTCCCTACAATAATCGTTAAGAAATATAGAGAATGTTTAGATTACCTTAAACACAAATCATATAATAAATATTAGTCATTATTAAATAAACATATTGATTATTTTTTGCTGTTATTAATTAAACGAATATTACCTTCTGTTGCAATGTTATCAAGGTTGTTATCACAAACATACCATAATTGTACAGTGTGCAGGAAAAAAATTTGAACCCTACTCACCGTTATAACGAGGAATGCAAAAATCCCCACGAACAAGTGATGCCCAACGATCACCCCGTTAGTTCTCAAGTAGCCGACAATTTTTTCCGGCAAATTTTCCTCCCTTTTCCTGATATTCCCGTTTTCCTTAACGTAGGCTTTGCTCTCCACTTTGGCCCTGTGCACGCGGTACATCGACCATATGTCGTAGAAAAAGTACGCTGCGCCAAACCATGCGTACGCCTCTGAAATGTAGTGCGAAGTGCGCAAAATGTTTCGACGACATGAGTACAAGCTACACGTCGCCCCTGTCACGCAACAAAAAATCGCTTGCACGGCTGAGACTTGCCTGGAACGGTTAGGTTAGGTTTGTTCCTGTTCCTAAATGATTTAGACAGTTAAAACAAGTACTTACTTATTACTTATCTCCAGTATATCACTGTTGTTGAGGTTGAAAGACTTGACAATCTTTCTACCGCAATTGGTACCAGTGAAGGCGGCATTTATAGCAAAATAGAGATGTGTAAAAAAGAAAAGCCCTAACACAAACAATATGCTACCCCTTGGGTAGGAAATATGCTCCTCCCAGTGCAGATTTATAACAGTTAATATGGATAGTTTTAGTGAAAATATCACAATGCATATGTAGAATAACATCCGTGGTAACTGTAACAAAAAAACAAAATATTTGAATTATCCAAACGCAATCCAAAGAGAATATCTTAGAAAATATGCGTTGTACAGAAAAAAGTTTAGCATAAAAAATACGGGGAATTTAATTTTCTACAAAATATGTCATAACAGTTTTTGTCGAAAAAGTCGCTGTAAGCGAGATATTAGTATGTTACCTATATGTTACCTTTATGTTACATTGTTAAATATGCATCTTACAATAAAAAGTTTAAGACGAAAAACATAGAGAATTTGATTCTCTAAAATAAACGTTATAACATGTTTTGTCGAAAAATTGCCCTAAACCGAGATATTGAATTACTTTTACATAACTTCGTAAATATAAGTTTTACCGAAAAAGGTTTAAAACAAAAAATACAGAGGATTTAATTCTTTACAAAACACGTTATAACAGTTTTTGTCGAAAAAGTCGCGGTTAGCGAGATGTTAGTATGTTACCTATATGTTACCTTTATGTGACTTAGTTAAATATGCATCTTACAAAAAAAAGTTTCAGGCAAAAAATATAAAGAATTTGATTCTCTACAATAACCGATATAGGACTTTTTGTCGAAAAATTTATTAAAGTTAATATGGACAGTTTTAGGGAAAATATCACAATGCATATGGCTCTTATTTTCAATACAATATATTATTACACCTATGTATCTCAGTCACACTGTAGTATAAGGAATGTTATCAAAATTAGTCATTTTTCAATAGATTATAGACAAACAAAATTCTTGTTTTTAACGATTTTCGTTTTATAAATAATGTTTTTAATTAAATATAACAATTATAAAATTAACCTTCTGAAGCTAAGTACAAAGTTTTTATTAATAATTACATTATTTTGTAGAATAGATATTTTCCAAATAAAAACAAAATATAAATAGACAATTTGAAATTTATTTCAACGGGCTTTCGACAACAGCTGCACATCAAATTTAATTTTAAGATTCATGGGTTATTAATAAAGTTTCATAAAATGTTTACTTTTTACTTAAAGTTCTAAGAGATTTAGGATATTTAATATTTACATTCCCACACACAACAGTTATTATATACTTTGTAAAAAATTGGTAAGAAGTTATTTATAAATGTGAAATTATATAATAATTATATGTGGGTTGGTCACCAATGAACATCATACCTATGGATAATAAAATTAAATACCAAATCAATAGAATTTTAATTAAAGAGTAAATGCTTTATAATATTTTTATTATTATCATGAGATCTCAAACAATTAACAAACTAATAACAAAAATGTATTATTTTTATTTTACGTTTTTATTAAGATGGTAAAATATTACAAAATAAGCTGAGACAAATTAATTAGGTACCTAACAATTATTTTTATAAATGTTTTGTATAGATACAGCAGACAAGGTCAAACAAAAATAATTAATTAATATCAAGTGTTATCTATTTAATTATTTAGAGCGACTGAGCCTAATAATAATTTTTTTATAAAAATCAATATTTATTATTGTAGCTATTTCTCGAAAAAGCGCATTTTTGCGAAGAAAAAATGTCAAAATAAAACAGGTTAAAGAACCTATAAATCTAGGTAGGTATTTAAAATGGTTTACTCTTAGATAATAAAGATAAAACTAAAATAATTTTAAAAGAAAGATACATACTAATAGACTAATCTTTTTATATTAATAGACTAATCTTTTTATATTAAGGTTATATGATTTTAAAGAACAATCAAATATTTATCTTAATTACACTTAAAAAGATAAGTTATTTCTAGTACTGTAGGGATGAAATTTAAAAAATATATAAATCAGTGTATTAAGAAGATACTTACATTAAAGTAGGTACCTACATTATGCTGTAATAAATTGTCTATTACTTAATAAGTCTTAAATACCTATGTCCTTGGTAACAAATAAAATTAGTTAAATAATAAACGTTATATAAAACCATATGTATAAATATTTTAAAACGTAAAAATTTTGTTAATTTGTCAAAACATGTTAATGAACTGTCAAAATCTATAAGAAATGCCAAATAATACCTAATATTAAAATATCACCAAAAAAAATATCATAACATGTCGAAAAATACTCTAATAGAACTAATTGAAGTCAAAAAATCAAGAAAAATTAATATTTCCAATTTTACTTACCTCTGATTTAGCACTAGTTAATTTGGTTTTCGACATCTTATCCCCAATAACAAACCACTTTTTCACTTAAAAACAAATCATCAACCTGCATTATTTAGAATTAAACTAATTGTGTTACATATTTTCTAATTTTTACTCCTGCAACCAAGTTATTTAAGGTTAGGTTCACGCCAAACGACATCTACGAGTGACAGCTGCAACTACTGCACAGCTTGCTGTGCTAGGTTTGTTCGCATACTTCCACTAAAACACTAGTGTACATGGTGTCTATCATTTTCTTTATTTTTGTCATATTAATGTCGGTCAAAAACTTTTTTTTAATAATTTTTAATGGAGTTTTTGAATATGCGACCAAATTTTATTTATCTCATGGTACAAGACTTTATTTCTTTTTATAAAATGTCCTATATATACCTCAGTGTACTCTTTTACAGTTGCACAAGACTATCCGCCGTTGGTCTAGGTGACTGATGCATTGTGGGTTTTCTATGTGTTTATTACGTCACTATTACACTAATGGTGCCGGGTTAACTTTATTTTGTGGGTTAAATATTAGTTTAGTAAGAAAAGAGTACAAATATGGGACAGCATGTCAGTAGAACTGATTTTGAGTGGACTTATACAGAAGAACCTCACGCAAGTCGCCGAAAAATTATTTTAGGTTAGTTTTTGTGTTTATTAAATGATTTTTATTTTCTAAATTAGGAGGAAAGTGACATGATTTCTACAGTTTAATTAATTGATATTCTATGAGGTGGTTATGTTAATAACGGTGTATATATTTGGGCTACAATTTTTTTATTTGTTGGATACGCCTTTATTGTTATTTTAATTAATTAATTAAAGTTGGCCATCAATAAAAAAACATGTGAAAATCGACTATCTTGATTAGATTGTGGTAAATATTTGTTTAGTGTAATTTTTGTACAAAACATGCAAATATTTTTTTTATAAATTATTATAGCAATTAGTCAATATTTACTGAAAATTGTGAAGGTATTAAATTTCTTGATATGATAACATAAAACTATTACAATATGAGTCAACCCAACTAACTAATAATGATTTTTTTGTAGAAAAATACCCGCAAATAAAAAAACTTTTCGGATACGATCCGAATTTTAAATGGGTTGTTACTGGTATGGTTTTAATGCAATTTTTTTTAATGTACATGTTAAAAGATATGTCATGGCCCATATTGCTACTTTTTGCCTACTGCCTAGGGGGAGTCATCAATCATTCACTCATGTTGGGTAAAAATACAAAAAAAATATTTTTTTTTTATTTAATTTGGTCAATTTTTAGCGATTCACGAAATTGCGCATAACCTGGCCTTTGGACATGCCAGACCTTGGCACAATAGACTTTTCGGTTTTTTTGCTAATCTGCCCATAGGTATACCAATATCAATCAGCTTTAAGAAGTATCATCTGGAACACCATAGAGTATGTAAAAATACAAAGGGTCGTAAAAATAGACATCTAAAACATTTTTTTTAGTATCAAGGGGATGAGGAGAAAGATACTGATATTCCTACATATTTGGAGGCAAAATTATTTTGCACGACCTTTGGGAAATTTATATGGGTCATTCTACAACCATTCTTCTACTCTTTTAGACCACTTGTGACTTACCCAAAACCACCTAACAATTTGGAAATATACAATGCTTTAATACAAGTGGGTTTTGATGGTTTGGTGGTACACTTTTTAGGTGGGAGAGTTCTTGGTTACATGATCATTGGATCTGTGATGGCTATGGGCTTTCACCCAGTAGCAGGCCATTTCATTTCTGAACATTACATGTTCAAAAAAGGATACGAAACGTATAGTTACTACGGACCTTTGAATTGGATCACTTTCAATGTCGGTTATCACAATGAACATCATGATTTTCCGGCTGTTCCTGGATCTAGATTACCCGAGGTTAATGTTCATAAAATAATTTTTAAGTCATACACTAAAATGTTCTTTTTATAGGTTAAAAAAATCGCGCCGGAATTTTACGACGATCTACCACAACACCATTCGTGGACAGCGGTCCTATATGATTTTATAATGGATCCTGATGTGGGTCCCTACGCTAGAATAAGGCGTAAAGCTAAAGGATTAAAAACGGATTAAAAAAAATATAAAGCTTCCCACACACGTAAAATTGTTTTTTAGTGTGTGGGTTCCTTTAGCTACGAGCTTTGGACGAATTTTTTGGCACTAAATTAAAAATATTTTTTGTTTGGTATTTAATCAAAATTATTCACATTATTTTAGGAGATATTATATTTTTTGTACAATTTAAAGCCAAACCACGTATTATTGTTGTTTATTAATTTTATACAGCGCATCACCGAATAAGTTGTCATTCTTTAAGGAAAATTATGATGTGTGGATCTTGCCATCATACCCGGGCAAATTATGATTTCATCTGCCGCTGCTGTGACAATTTGCGGAGTTGTTCTAATGTGTCAACTTCGATCTGTACACTAATTGTTGTAAAAACAATGATGATGTATAGGATGAGGATGACAATTTATCAGGTGATACCATGTATATACATAAGTCTGTTTTATAACGGAACTAATGTGATACCTATAGTAAATGTAAATAAAAATACTATTTAATTATTTTGCGATAATAATAAATGTTATTTAAAAAAAAAATTATTTTGTTTAACTCTAATCTACAAAATCTGGCAACTTTTTTGACAGAATCTGGTTGTAATGAAACAAAACACATGTAGAATACCTAATTTATTTATTCAGGAATGACAACATTAAAACCTAGTATGTACAAAATTAAAACAAAATATACACTTCACACAAAACAAAACATAATAGAGGACCAAATTATAAACAAGTTTTGTATTTGTGAATCCCAATTTAAAAAAAAAAAAAACAGTATAAAATGGAATTATTTGCAATACGAACTTTAAATTCATAACCTACAACTGCTGTAAACTAATCTTTCCCAAGTTTGCCAGTCTTTTTTTTGTGTATCCTTTTATGATAACTCTGCGCTAAGGAATTAACTATGGAAATAACAAAGTACAGAATCATCGCAAACACAAAGTATTCAAACACTGAACCCAGAATGTTGCCTTTCTCTTGAGAAGTAGGAGCGCCATCTCCCGAGTTTTTATGCAACCTATTTTTTTGGTTGTCTAGGAAAGATTTTATTGGCGTTTGCAGCCACTGGCCTGCTATTGGGAGCAATTGAACTATTTCCAAAGCCTTACTGATGAGACTTTCGTTAAAAGCGATTATCACAAAAAGCTTTTGTATGTGCATTTTTATAACGGCTTTTCCAATCAGTGTTGCCCCGAAGAAGGTCCAAAAAGGGACCAAAAAGTGACCGCATGTTATACCCGCCAAATCAAACAAAGGATTTGGAATCTGAAATGTAGAATATTCAACCCTGTACTCATAAATTTTGATGCATAATTATATTAAATTATGCATGAAAATTCACTTACACTGGCGCACGCTAGTATCCCCAGGAAGCCCACTTTTTGTACCAAATCTTCAACAAAGATTTTCCCCTTCTCTATCAAAGTTAATTCTTCCTTGTTCTGTTGCTTCTTTTGGAGTTCTTCAAATTCCGCTAACTCGTTGTCTTCATCATCGGGGTCAATACTGAAATTAAGTAGACCTGTAGCCACTTAACTTATTCGGTATTTACCGGTACCATCCCGAACATTTTGTTACGTCGAGAGAAATTACTTACCCCGATAATCTGGCAGCTCTAGCCATGAAATAGGGGGGTAACTCCCCTAAAGCTGTACCAGCTCCCCAACACATTGCTTCCAGCCTAACTTTAGACATTATACTGAAAATTGTCACGGCAATTCCGTCAGATTTCATTGGACAAATAATGCTACAGAAAAAAAAAACAAATCAAGTATCTACCACTCTTTTTTTTTTTTCACTTACTCATCTGGATAGGGCGGCTCAGGAAAATTTAGGCCTCCGCATTCGTAGGCAGCCAGCGTTACACGAGCTATGTGGGGGCCCAAGTATAGCAAAAACGTGTGAAGACCTGTACCCAAACCGACTGAAGATAGTATACCTGAAGAGGATTAAAATGAATACCCAAGATTTAACCTTTTTTTTTTACTCACCCAAACCTATCCAATAAAGGCACCACAGAATTTTTTTGTACACCCCTTGTACTAGATTTTGGTGTGGTCCTTTAGTATTCACTAACAAATACGTAAATAATACTGATATCAAGGTAATTGAAACTAATAATTTGTTGTCTAGAGTTCTAAAAAAAAAAACACAAATAGTAAAGAAAAAAAATACTTTCACAAGGTGTACGATTGGCGAGTAGTACACACCTTGTACAAGAAAAAAACTCACTTTCTACCATACGTTCGCGTTAAGGCTAATATCTCTCTAACTGAGTAATCTACAGTTCTAAAGGGTTTTTTCCACAGAACTAGACATTCCCTGTCTTCGCGTTCGCGACGTCTCTGTTCTTGTTCTTTGCTAGAACAGGCAACGTTGCCGTTTTTAACGTGCTGCGTTGCCGTAGTAGACGACGCATCATTGCCGTTTTGTGTCGCTAAAGATGAGGCGTCTTTCCTACGCCCTACTCCCGTCATTTTGTGTCCCAGTCGTTGCAACTACAATAAAAATTGTCACAACCCAGTGATAAAAACGATTCTACGGATTTGTGAAAGAAAAAATCTATAACAAAGCATCACCAAACAAAAAACAAATATTACACATACAATGCACAATAGTTTTAGTTAACCAGGAAGCACATGCACTTGATTATTTAAATATGTAGGTCCAAAGAAATCTATCTATAGACTTTCATATTTTTGGCCCCATCCCAACCCAACATCGTTTTTAATCTAAAGAATACGTACTAAATCGTCTGATTCAATGTTAATAACAACATCTTGAAGCATTGTAACTTTGTCAAAATAAAAAAAACTGTTTCATAACTGGGCGGATATTTTTAAAACTTCAACCGTTATTTAAAAATGTGTTGGAGAAAACTGTTTTGTTTTTATATATATATTTCCTAGAATCTATAACTCAACTTAATAAATACGCAGGTCAAAGTTCTTGTAAACATAACAAACAGCGTACGTAAGAACCCGAAATTTTAGTTTTAAACTCACTGTTTTAAAAAATCCATTGCAATTGTCTCCTATAAGGTTTATAAAATTCATCTTGAGATACAATGAACACCTGTACTCATGTAGTAAAGAAGTAATGTAACTAATATAATGAGAGACTGTACTAACAATTAAGAAGGAGAAATTTCACCGAAATATCAACTTTTACTTTATTATGAGTGTGTAAAGAAATGGTACTTGTTCTTCCGCTTGAGGCGCATAGTTGTCTAAATTTTTATTTTTATAGTATTTGAAAGTGTGTTGTTTACAATTTTGACATTTAATATATTATCAGTACATAATTTAATTAGTGGATTATCCCACTTCTGATTTTTTCTTAATAAACCACTGTACCTAGCAAACTTTCTACTCATATGAAAAGAGGATACAATGCAAACTAAAAGCAACACATAACTTGCAAAACAAAACAAAAAGACTACTAAAAACACACACACACGTCCATACCAGCTCAAATTTAGTCCCAGACCACTTTTGGCCCCTTTTTCGACACTCGGTCTTCAATTGTTCTTTCGTCATCGACGATAGTTCGTCGGGGGTTTTTTGGGAGGCGGTACCAGACGCCCCCTTAAGGGGCGGAGTTCTATGCCCCCGGTTTTTTTTCGCGCCATTCACCATTATTTCGATTTTTTTTTTGGTTTCTTATGAAAAACAGTAATAAATACGCATGCTGTTAGTCTATGTGTGTTTAAACATGATAAGTATTTTGGCAGGTAAACGTTTTGTAATTTTTCAAACCATTTAACGTAATATTTGAAGAGTTTGATGAATAAATAACAGAAAGAAGGCTCTGACATGACAATTCATTAGTGCCAATGTAGTAAAAATAAAACGTTGTATTTTAATTGACAAATTAATACTTTATTACAAATTCAAGTACCATTAAAAACTATAAACAACATAAAAAGTAAATAATTAAAAATATTAATTGTTAATTTGTTGTTATAAGGGCAAAATTAAGGTTTAAACTGTCATATTTTTGTGTTTATTAAGTTGGCAGCACGAAATTTGAAATGACAATTGTAGAAAGATTTTTATTACAAAATATACTGTAATAATAAATTTATTTATGTACCTAATATATTATATTAGGTACATAAATAAATTAAATAAATTAATTAAGTAATTAATAGCTACAAAAACTATCAAATTATTTTAAAATAATGGTAAAATATAGTTGTATGCTTTTAAAAATAATTACAAACTGATAAGCAAAAATATAGGTAGGTAGGTATACCTATTATTTCCCGAAAATTAACGTTTGATAAAACCTTATCAAACTATAATCCACGCAATCTAATTAAACACGAATTAAAAGCAGTTCACGTCAAATATTTTGCAATCATTGACAAGAATAATATTCAAGCAGAACCATTGCTTGGCATAAAAAAAATCAAACAACTTATTTCAAGTTTCACAATAATTTACGCTTACGTGTCTATTGTGTGTAAAATGTCGCAATAAAAAAGTCTAATCATGTGATGTAGTTAATTAAACAAAGCCACATCCATTTTAAGCCAAAATACACAAAGAAAACCCGTCTTAAGCCCAAAAATGATTAACAAAACTCAACCACATAACCTCAACTTGAGAATAAATTAGCAAAAAAAGCGCTCAGACCCATCGAAATGTAACGAAATTAACGTATAAAGGTTATAAATGGTTAAGTTGATTAAAATTAAGTACTCACTCAGTCACAAATTGAATTAATTATTAATTATTCGACATAACTTCTTTAACAGAGCGAAAATTGTGCACTAGACGTCAACGGAAGATGGCGCTTCGATCGATATCCAATCATACGATTCAAGGCGGGAATTTTGAATGTTTTTTAGATTTTCTTTAATATCTTTTGAAGTGTTAAAGATTTATTATCAAATTTTGCTGTGCATTTATATATAGAATAAATACATTATTTAAAGCATTTTTTAAATAATTAAGTGTATTTAAACAAATTATGTTTTCATTAAATCGTTTATTTAATACAAAAATTTAGTATAATCTTAACAAGTATCTATAATTTCTGATACAGTTTAACAATGTATAAATGGTATTGTGCAGCCTGAGGGTAAAAAAAGGTTTCATAATTTCATCTGTAACTTTAAAATTACAAAATTTTGTTTTGAGTGAATTTTGTAATATTTAAATTAATTTTTTAATGTATTAAGGACTAAATAAATATTAATAATTTTTATTAGAATAAAAACAATAAAATCATGGTATTTAAATTGAACTTAATAAATATTTTATACTTAAATTAATAAAAATAAAAAAATGGCATTTTATATTTTGTATATACCTACCTATATAGTTAAATTATCACAATAAAATTATATTTCTTGAAATTATGGTAATTTCTTATAATAACCTAAAAATATGCTGTAGATCTAAACTAAGATCTAAATTGATCATGACAGTAAAATTAATAATTTTTTTTTATTAATAATGATTTTGGAAATAATTCATCCCAGGCATGGGCATATTTAAGGGCCCAGTGGGGTACGGTACAGAATTTCCTATGGGATAAGGGGGGTTATTTGTAGGTACCCCCGGAAAGTAAGCGGAGTTAATATTAAGTGGGGGGGCGTTGACATAATTAGAAACGCCCCCAGTTAATATTTTAGATAATTTTTCTGCTTTAACAAGCCTCAAATGCATTATTTTACGTTTAAGTAAAAACTGATCGAGATAATCATCTAACTCGACTTCACTGTCAAGAAATTTTCTTGCTATTTTGTCGGATTCTTCCTCCATTTCGCTAGCGGCAGTTTGCAGAAGAGCTAGAGCTGTTTCAAGAGACATATCTCCAGTTTTTGTCCCTAAAAAGCGATGATAACATTTCTACCTAAAGTTCATTTTAAAGGGTTTAAATGTGTCCCAAAAATGAAATACTTACTTAATTCATCACTTTTTTCCTTAACCCTCTTTGTTAATTGCTCCCCTTCTTCAGAAACCCTCTGAATTCTCTCCCTACCCTCGACCAAGTCTGGTTCTTTAGATAAATTATATTCAGCCATGGAATTATTCGTAGCTATAGTATCTTCCTTAATTTGCTCCATTTTCGTCAAGTAACACTAAAAATTAAATAAATAAATCACAAATCCCTTTTATAAATAATAATAACAACCTGATCGAGGCTTGTGAATAGGTTACCAATTTTTTCATCATCATTCATAATTTCGTCCAGTTCCGAGTTCGATAGTGTTTTAAGGTCGTTAACTGCCCTTTTGCAGTCTTGCTGCAGCATTTCAAAGGACATTTTGTTAATTTAACTATGACAAATACACAAAAATACTTTTGACAGGTGTGTCCTTGATTGTCAGTATAGGTTAGGTTAAAAATAATGCAAACTAAACGTTTATTAGCGTCAAATATACTTTAGTTTATTTAAATAAATCATTATATACGCATAATATTATATATTTATCCACAAAACATTGTTAATTACGCCAAAATTAGTTTTTCGTCGTAGTTCTAATGACCAACTTGACAGCGCCCTCTAGCGTTATAACGGTGAAGTTAGCGGGATGCCAAACAAAACATAACCTCAATTCGATATATATTTAATTGTATTTTACTAATTATGTCTTCTCCCACGCATTCTTCAGTGAAAAAGCACAAAAAGCATAAAAGTGACCGTAAAGATCGGCACGATTCGTCGGATAGAGCAGGTGGTTTGAAGTTAATACTGAAAGTGGGTAGTCAGAATACCCCCGAGCATAATACTGAGTTTATGCAGAATATGCAGATGGGGGGTGAAGGTGAGGGTATGGAGGTTGATAAAGGTGATGAATATTATGGTATGGGGAAGTCGCATCACAAAAAGAGTAAAAAAAAGAAGAAGAAAAAGGATAAAAATAAGGATCGAGAAAAAAAGCATAAACACCACCACAGGGATAAAAAACGCAAAAAGGATGAGTCTGAGTTCGAAATTAGCGTCGGAACCAATACAGGTAACATTATTTTACATAAAAAAACCTTCACAAATTCATTTACACTTCAATTACACTTTTAGACGATCTTCCTTGCCCACAATACACTCAACCACTATCGCCTAGCAGAGATCGCGAATTACGCACATGCGTTATAAAAAAAAATCCACGAACGCACCCCCCCTATCAAAGGGCTTGGAACATTTGCTCGGCTTACTGGAAAAAAAAGACCCGCAACAATTCTTTGCCTGGCCTGTGACCGATAATATTGCCCCTGGGTATTCCACCATAATCACACAACCCATGGATTTTAGTACTATGAGATCAAAAATTGAAGAAAACGAATACACTTATTTGAATGAATTTATTGAGGATTTTAAGTTAATGTGCACTAATGCTATGAAATATAACCAGGTAGGATATATGTTTTTTTTTAGTAAAAAAAGTTCTACAAAATTTAAATACTGATTAAACTCGCTCCGCCCATTTCGACATTTAAGCAGTGGTGGGGGTTTCCACTTTCAATATTTGACCAATGGAAACCATTCTGGGCGTGGTTAGCTTTAATTAAAGACAGTTTCATCTAGCTAAGATTTTTAACAGTTATATCTAGCTTAAATTGACATTTTCAAGACAGTAAGTTCTAGTTTAAATTAAAATTCTTAAGACATTAATATCTAGCTTAAATTGACATTTTTATATCTAAAGTTTCTTTATGAAGTTGTATCTAATTAAATATAGTTTAAATTGGCATTTTTAGGAAAGTTAAATCTAGCTGAAATTGACATTAATACAGTTTTTAAGACAGTTATATCTAGCTTAAATTGACATTCTTAAGACAGTTATGTCTACTAGACATTGTCTAGTTTAATAAAAAAATTTAACAATTTTTAATAATAATTTTCAATAAACATTTTTAAGGCAGTTAAATATAGCTTAAATTGACATTCTTAAGACAGCTAAATCTAGCAAAATTTGACATTCTAAAGACGGTTAAATATATGTATGTAGCTAAAATTGACATTCTTAACACTATTTTTATATTGTTTAAATTGACATTCTTAATACAGTTATAATCTATTTTAAATTGACATTCTTTCGTCAGTTAAATATACCTTAAATTAACATTCTTTAAAGTTTTTTTGACAGTTATATCTAGTTTAAATTGACTTTTCTTTTCCTTAACATTTCTAACAGTTTCTAGGACAGTTATGTCTAGTTTAAATTGACTTTCTTAAGACAGTTATGTCTACTAGACATTATCAAGTTTAATTAGACTTTTTAAAGACTTTTCAGGACAGTTATATTTAGTTTAAATTAACATTCTTAACAGTTTCCAGGACTGTTATGTCTAGTTTAAATTGACATTCTTAAAACAGCTAAATCGAGCTAAATTTGGAATTTTAAAGACGTTTATACCTAGCTTAAATTGACATTCTTAACAATATTGTATCTTCTTTAAATTGACATTCTTAACACATTTATGTCTAGTTTAATTACTTACTTAGCAGATTTTAGCATAGTTACATTTTTTAAAATTGGTCATTCAGTTCAGCCAGTTAAATATAGCTTAAATTAACATTCTTAACAGTTTTTAGAGAGTTATATCTAGTTTAAATTGACTTTCCTTTTTCTTAACATTCAGCAGTTTCTAGGACAGTTATGTCTAGTTTAAATTGACTTTCTTAAGACAGTTATGTCTACTAGACATTATCAAGTTTAATTAGATTTTTTTAACAGTTTTTAAGACAGTTATATCTAGTTTAAATTGACTTTCCCTTCCCTTAACATTCTTAACAGTTTCTAGGACAGTTATGTCTAGTTTAAATTGACTTTCTTAAGACAGTTATGTCTACCAGACATTATTAAGTTTAATTCGATTTTTTTAAGAGTTTTTAAGACGGTTACATCTAGTTTAAATTAACATTCTTGACAGTTTCTAGGACAGTTATATCTAGTTTAAATTGACATTCTTAAGACAGCTAAATCTAGCCAAATTTAAAATTCTAAAGACGTTTATACCTATCTTGAATTTACATTCTTAACACTATGTTCAGGACAGTTGTATCTTGTTTAAATTGACATTCTTAAGACAGTTATGTCTAGTTTAATTACTTCCTTAACAGATTTTAGGACAGTTACATTTTTTTTAAATTGGGCATTTAGTTAAGTCAGTTAAATATAGCTTAAATTAACATTCTTAAAACAGTTTTTAGACGGTTATATCTAGTTTAAATTGACTTTCCTCTCCCTTAACATTCTTGACTGTTTTTAGGACAGTTATGTCTAGTTTAAATTGACTTTCTTAAGACAGTTATGTCTACTAGACAATATCAAGTTTAATTGGATTATTTTAAGAGTTTTTAAGACAGTTATGTATATCTAGTTTAAATTAACATTCTTAAAAGTTTCTAGGACATTTTTAATTCAGCTAAATCGAGCTAAATTTGGAATTCTAAAGACGTTTATACCTAGCTTGAATTGACATTCTTAACACTATGTTCAGGGCAGTTGTATCTTCTTTAAATTGACATTCTTAAGACATTTATGTCTAGTTTAATTACTTTCTTAATAGATTTTAGGACAATTACATTTAATTTTAAATTTGCATTTAGTTAAGTCAGTTAAATATAGCTTAAAATTTAATTAATTATTAAAATTTAATTAATTATTTAATTTATTTTTTTATTTAATTTAATTGTTAATTAAACATTCTTAAAAGTTTTTTGACAGTTATATCTAGTTTAAATTGACTTTTCTTTTCCTTAACATGCCTAACAGTTTCTAGGACAGTTATGTCTAGTTTAAATTGACTTTCTTAAGACAGTTATGTCTACTAGACATTATCAAGTTTAATTAGATTTTTTTAATAGTTTTTAAGAAAGTTATATCTAGTTTAAATTGACTTTCCTTTTCATTAACATTCTTAACAGTTTCTAGTACAATTATGTCTAGTTTAATTAAACATTCTTAACAGTTTTTAGGACAGTTATGTCTAGTTTAAATTGACATTCTTAAGACAGTTAAATCTACTCAACACAGTCTTTAAGACTAATTGACATTCTTAAGGCAGTTATGTCTAGTTTAATTAAACATTGTTAACATTTTCTACGAAAGTTATGTCTAGTTTAAATTGACATTTTTAAGACAGTTAAATCTGGCTAAAATTGACATTCTTAAGACGGTTATATCTAGCTTAAATTGACATTATTAACACAGTTTTTAAGACAGTTATATCGTTTAAATTGACATTTGTAAGACAGTTATATCAACACGGTTTTTAAGACAGTTAACTCTAACTTAAAAATAAAAATACATTTTTTAAAATCATAGCAGGCTGTGTAGTTCAACATAGCTCCGCCCATTTAGGCCTATGTACGCACTCTGATATGTGGGTTACAAAACGCCACGCCCATTTAAGAACTGCATTTAGAGTTTTTACGGTTCAAGGTCGACACAGTCTACTATAAAGCCAGCAAAAAGCTACTGCACGCCGGTTTGAAAATAATGGTCCCGGAAAAGTTGGGTTGGATGTTGAATTTGATACCCGAGATAACCAGTGAGGATGTAGGGTTCGAGATAACGGCGGAATTAAGACAAATTCGGTCTTCAGACGAACACGAGGATGATCAGTTTATGGATTCTAAACGTAGAATGCCTGCAAGCAAATTTGAGGCTATCACTGATGATTTGAGTGCTGAAGAGATTCTAGCTAAGTCTCAGATTGCGGCTAGGGAAGCGAGGGCTAAGATATGTAGGTGTTTTATGTAAAATACAGGGTGTAGTAGGTTTACGTTGGTGTTTTTTAGTCAATAATCGCAACAGTCCAGGTATGGGTTTTTTGAAGCAAAAAAAAGATGGAACAACGCATTTAAACATATTGGTTGGGGGGGATGGGGTTATACCAGGTACCAAAAAAAGGCCCGTACTTTTGGGACAACTGACAGGTAAACTTACGGAAGGTACCAGTCAGATAAGCGGTTTCAGAGAGGACAGAAGAAATGTTGCAAAACCAGTTAAACCGTTATATTACGGCGCCTTTGGTAAGTAAAAAAAAAACATTATCCACCATGTTACCATTGAGAATTTAGGAAGCTACGCCCCAAGCTACGATTCCGCCTTTTCCAACCTATCAAAGGAAGAATCCGATCTCGTATATCAAACGTACGGATCTGACACTGCGACTCAATACGCAGAGTCGATTCAGGATTACGTCAAAGACAGCGACTATGCAACCCACTTGGCGGATAGCTTGCTAGATCTGCTAACAGGTGGCGATCACAGCAAAACAAAAGACGTTCTCGAGGAAAACAAAAAGTTCAGAGAGGAGGAGGAGGCGTTTAAAGCCATGTTGGAGGTGAAACCAGCGGATAATGTCAAGATTAATATTGCTGAGTTGAAGAGTTTGCAAGGTAAGTTTGAATTTGTGTTCGTATTTGTAGCAAGCTATGTTGTGGGCGTGTCAAGGGGCGTGGTTATCGTAGATCCGCCCATTTAAGGGTTTAGAGTGGAAGGGGACATCCAATGGTAATATTTGACCATTTTTTAAGTGCTACTTGCTCCCAAAAACTGATTTGATCAATAAAATATAATTTTTAAAGATTATAATACAGATTTCTCCTATAAATTTTTTATTTATGCTCATATCAACAAAAATAAACAAATTTTGTAAAAAGTTTGTAGAAATTGTGTTAAAAACAAAAAACTGTAAAAAGTATATTTACATTCTTAACAGTTTCTAGTTTAAATTGACATTTAAAGGCAGTTAAATCTAGCTAAAATTGACATTCTCAACGCAGTTTTTAAGACAGTTATTTTTAGTTTAAATTAACATACTTAACAGTTTGTAGTACATTTTAGTTTAAATTGACATTCTCAATACATTTGAAATTGAAATTCTTAGCAGTTTTTAAGACAGTTACATCTAGTTTAAATTGAAATTCTTAACAGTTTCTAGGACAGTTATGCCTAGTTGAAATTGGAATTCTTAAGACAGTTAAATTTTGCAAAAAGTTTGTATAAGTTCTGTGTAAAACAAAAAAAACTGTAAAAAGTATATTTAAATTCTTAACAGTTTCTAGGACAGTTATGTCTAATTGAAATTGACATTTTTAAGACAGTTAAATTTTTTAAAAAGTTTGTATAAGTTCTGTTAAAAACAAAAAAAACTGTAAAAAGTATATTTACATTCTTAACAGTTTCTAGGTCAGTTATGTCTAGTTTAAATTGATATTTAAAGACCGTTAAATCTAGCTAAAATTGACATTCTTAACACAGTTTTTAAGACAGTTATTTTTAGTTTAAATTAACATACTTAACAGTTTGTATTAAATTTTATTTTAAATTGACATTCTTAACAGTTTCTAGGACAGTTATATCTAGTTTAAATTGACATTCTTAACAGTTTCTAGGACAGTTATGTCTAGTTGAAATTGACATTCTTAAGACAGTTAAATCTAGGAAAATTGACATTCTTAACACAGGTTTTAAGACAGTTATAATTAGTTTAAATTGACATTCTTAACTGTTATATCTAGTTTTAATTGGCATTCTTAACAGTTTCTGGGACAGTTATGTCTAGTTTAAATTGACATTCTTAGGACAGCTCAATCTAGCTTAATTTGGCATTCTAAAGACGGTTATATTTAGCTTAAATTGACATTCTTGGCAGTTTTTAAGACAGTTATATTTAGTTTAAATTGACATTCATAACAGTTTCTGGGACAGTTATGTCTAGTTTAAATTGGCATTCTTAAATCAGTTATCCAATTGTAATTCTTAAGACAGTAATATCAAGTTTAAATTGACATTTGTAAGACAGTTATATCTAGCTTAAATTGACATTCTTAACACAGTTTTTAGACAGTTATATCTTATTTTAATTGACATTCTTAACAGTTTCTGGGACAGATGTCCAGTTTAAATTGACATTCTTAAGACATTTAGATCTAGCTGAAATTGACATTTCTAACACAGTTTTTAAGACAATTATGTTTATTTTAAATAACAATACAGTTGTTTGTAGTTATATCTAGTTTAAATTGACATCTTAAGACATTTAAATCTAGCTAAAATTGACATTCTTAACACAGTTATATCTAGTTTTAATTGACATTCTTATGTTTCTAAGACAGTTATGTCTAGTTTAAATAGACATTCTTAATTCAGTTATCTAATTGACATTCTTGACAGCTATCTATCTAAATTTGGCATCCTAAAGACGTTTATATCTAGCTTAAATTGACATTTTTAACACCGTTTTTAAAACAGTTATATCTAGTTTAAATTGACATTTTTAATGTCTAGTTTGATCAAACATAGCAAGCTATGGTATGGGCGTGTCAGAGGGCGTTGTTATGCGTAGCTCCGCCCATTTCAGCGTTTAGAGTAGTGGGGGGTAATATTTGACCAATAAGGACCGCAAGAAAGTTTTTATGACATTTTTAGAGTAGTAGAGGGGGTAATTTATAAATAAGAACGTTTATAATTATTTTTCGAGTACTATTAGAAGATTTTATTACAGATGTAGGTATAGATGTCAACTTCTTAGACTCGATGAACGAAGAACTAAAATTAGCGGAAGAAAAGCAAGATTTGCAGCAAAAATTGGACAGCATGGCAATTTTACTCGACAAATTGCAGCAGTCTCAGTACCAAAGGTTGAGCCAACCTCCCCCCTCCCAATTAAACAACTGCCTGCCTCCAAACGAGGAGGAGATACAAATTGCGGAAAACGTTACGGAAGGGTTGACGAATATCGCTAAAAGGGTAACCCCTGGGGATATAGTGGCCGTTCCGGGTATAAGGAAGGCCTTGGGAATGACCTGTAATGTACCCCCAGAAGATGTGCCAGATTTGGAATCCGAGTTAAGACAGTTTTTGGAGAATGAGACTAATTTGGCACAGAGTCCTCTAAGGGACGATAAAACTATTGAGGAGATTTTAATGGAGTAATTTTATTGAATTTTTCGACGTATCGTATTTAATTTTATTGTAATTTTAAGCCAATATATATTTTATTGCTTATATTTTGTTTTATTTTACCCTTTTTACTACATATTTCGATAAAATCCAGAGGGCTTCTACAAAGTGTAAGTTCATTGGTTGAATTTTTGACATCTGTCAAAAACTGTGACGTGTACAAATGGCGGAAAAAAACACATTAAAAATTCAATAACAATTTATTTTATAACGTAAATAGAAAAACACAAAAAGATGAGAACAGTTTTTTGGAAAGTTGTCTAGCTTAAATTGACAAAAAAAATTACCATATGTTTAAAAAAAATAAAAACAATCTCTAAAATCATAGTAAGCTGTCGAGTTTAACATAGCTCCGCCCATTTTGGCTTATAGAGGTTGTAGAGAGGCGTGGTTGCAAACAGCCCCGCCCACTTAGGGCTTCAACATTGGTTGAATGTTTGACATCTGTCAAAAACTGTGACGTTTACAAATGGCGGAAAAAAACACATTAAAAATTCAATAACAATTTATTTTATAACCTAAATAGAAAAACACAAAAAGATGAGAACAGTTTTTTGGAAAGTTGTCTAGTTTAAATTGACATTCCTAAGACAGTTAAATCTAGCTAAAATTGGCATTCTTAAGACGGTTATATCAAGCTTAAATTGACATTTTAACACAATTTTTAAGACAGTTATATCAAGTTTAAATTGACATTTGTAAGAAAGTTATTATATCTAGCTTAAATTGACATTCTTAACACGGTTTTTAAGACAGTTAACTCTAGCCTAAATTGACAATAAAAATTACCTTAAGTTTTTTAAAAATAAAACACAATCTTTAAAATCATAGTAAGCTGTCGAGTTTAACATAGCTCCGCCCATTTTGGCTTATAGAGGTTGTAGAGGGGCGTGGTTGCAAACAGCCCCGCCCACTTAGGGCTTCAACATTGGTTGAATGTTTGACATCTGTCAAAAACTGTGAAGTGTACAAATGGCGAAAAAAACACATAAAAAATTCAATAACAATTTTTTTTTTGATAACGTAAATAGAAAAACACAAAAAGATGAGTTTTTTGGAAAGTTGTCTAGTTTAAATTGACATTCCTAAGACCGTTAAATCTAGCTAAAATTGGCATTTTTAAGACGATTATATATATCTAGCTTAAATTGACATTTTAACACAATTTTTAAGACAGTTATATCAAGTTTAAATTGGCATTTGTAAGAAAGTTATATCTAGCTTAAATTGACAAAAAACATTACCTTAAGTTTAAAAAAAATAAAAACATTCTCTAAAATCATAGTAAGCTGTCGAGTTTAACATAGCTCCGCCCATAGAGGTTGTAGAGGGGCGTGGTTGCAAACAGCCCCGCCCACTTAGGGCTCCTACATTGGTTGAATGTTTGACATCTGTCAAAAACTGTGACGTGTACAAATGGCGAAAAAAACACATAAAACATTTAATAACAGTTTATTTTATAACGTAAATAGAAAAACAAAAAAATATATAATTATATCAAAAAGACGTGAATTTCGTTTTTAACGCGAAAACACTTATGTGATTACTGTAGGGGCATCTCTACCAGTGAATTTTTGTAACTGCGACATTTCCAGCGCAATATTTACCAGGGGTTTAAGGATATCCTAAAAATAACAAAATAAAGTATGTTTAATGTTATAACTATGTTGTTTATACCTGGGCATCATTTTTGAAGTTTGATTGCTCGTAACTATCCACATATAATCTTACAGTGGCTCCACTACTACCTGTACCGGAAAGTCTAAAGACTAAACGGGAGCCATCTTCAAATAAAACTCTTAATCCCTAAAAGATCAATTAAAAATCTCGAAACTATACAAACAAAATCATTTTACCTGGTTTTTGGCCACACTCTTATCAATAGGGTCAACATACGAAAAATTATCTCCCACTTTGACCTTGTAGGTCTTTCCCAGAGAACTAAACTCCCTACCAACAAAACCACTTGATGTCAACATACTTTCCAGTGTTGCCATCATGTCGTTCGCTCCCTTGCCTTCACATTCCTCATAGTCGTATCTAGTGAAGAAATTTCTGCCATACTGGCACCAATGCTCATTCAAAATTTCCTCCACCGACATATTTTTGTGCTCTATTATTTGTAGCCACGCCAAAACAGCCCAGATACCGTCTTTTTCTCTTATATGGTCGGAACCAGTTCCAAAGGATTCTTCTCCGCAAAGAGACAACCGTTCAGCGTCCATCAGATTGCCTTGATAAAAAAATTGGGCGTGGTTAACAATAGCTCCGCCCATTTCGGTATTTACAGTAGAAGGGAGGGCAAATGGGCGTGGCGGGATGATATCATTGGAGGGGGTTTAAGGTTGTACTTATTTACCAAATAACATTCTCAAGAGTTTCCAGGACAGTTATGTCTAATTTAAATTAACATTCTTAAAACAGCTAAATCTAGCAGTCTAAAGACGGTTATATCTAGCTTAAATTGACATTCTTTTCACAGTTTTCAAGACAGTTATATCTATCTATCTTTTAATGGACATTCTTAACACTGTATTGAGTTTAAATTAACGCTTAAAAGGACAGCTAAATCTAGTTTAAATTGACATTCTTAAGTCAGTCATTCCAGTTTAATTACTTCCTTAATATTTTTTAGAACAGTTTTTATTTAAAACTGACCTTCTTAAGTCAGTTAAATATAGCTTAGATTTACATTCTTAACAGTTTTTTAGAGAGTTATATCTAGTTTAAATTGACTTTCTTAAGGCAGTTATGTCTACTAGAGACTAGAGTTTAATTAGATTTTTTAAGAGTTTTTAAGACAGTTATATCTAGTTTAAATTAACATTCTTAACAGTTTCTAGGACAGTTATGTCTAGTTTAAATTGATATTCTTAAGACAGCTAAATCTAGCTAAATTTGACATTCTAAAGACGTTTATATGCACTCAGCTTGAATTGATATTTTTAATAACAGTTTATAGGACACTTATGTCTAGTATTAATTGACATTTAAATCTAGCTGAAATTGCCATTTCTAAAATGGTTAAGTTAAATCTGGTTGAAGTTGACATTATTGAGACATTGTCTAGTTTAATAAGAATTTTTTAACGGTTTTTAAGACAGTTATATCTTGTTTAAATTAATATACCTAGCAGTATCTAGGACAGTTATGTCTTGTTTAAATTGACTTGCATAAGACATTATAAAAACAGTTATAGGTATTTACCTTAAATTGACATTCTTAAGACAGTCATGTCTACTAGACATTGTTTAGTTTAATAAGAATTTTTTAACAGTTTTTAGGACAGTTAAATCTAGTTTAAATTGACATTCTTAAGACAGCTAAATCTCGCTAAATTTGGCATTCTAAAGATGTTATATCTAGCTTAAATTGACACTTTTAACAGAGTTTTTAAAGCAGTTAACTCTAGCTTGCTTAAATTGACATTCTTAAGAAAATTATATTTAGCTTAAATTATTATTTTTAGAAAAGTTATTTAAGCCATTTTTATGATGGTTAAATCTGGTTAAAATTGGTATTTTAAGGACAGTTATATCTAGCTTAAATTGACATTCTTGAGACAGTTATGTCTACTAGACATTGTCTAGTTTAATAAGAATTTTTTTAACAGTTTTTATGACAGTTATATCTATTTTGAATTTAAATTGTTAAGGCAGTTAAAGGTTTTTAAGACAGTTTTATCTAGTTTAAATTAACATTCCTTTAATGTAGCTGAAATTGACATTTTTTTAATAAGTTTATATCTGATTGAATTGGCATTATAAAACAGCTATATTTACCTTAAATTAACATTCTTAAGACAGCTAAATCTTGCTTAATTTGGCATTCTAAAGACGTTATATCTAGCTTGGCAAAAGTGGGGCGTGGTTAGCAATAGCTCCGCCCATTGCGGTATTTACAGTAGAAGCGGGGGCAAATGGGCGTGGCGGGATAATAGCAGTGGAGGGGGTTTTACGTATTCACCAATAATGATGATGCTTTAAGAGTGTTTTATGGTTTATGATCGAATTGGTGGACTTACCGAAATATTTCCAACCAGTAGGGGTTTCGAAAAATTCTTTTCCCAACTTTTGGGCAACTCTATCTACAGCACCTGCTGTTGGCATACTGCGGGCAAAACCTTTTACACCGTTCTTCTTAAAATACGGAATGCACTCCAAGTTATTTGCTATAACTGCCAAGCTATCGCTTGGTGTTACGAAAAATGCGTTTTTTCCTTAAACCAGGCATTATTATATGTTTTTTTTCAATATTATATAAATGAGTACCTAAAATCATGTTTCTATCACCGTCTCCGTCAAATGCTGCGCCAAGGTCATACGAGGTGTCAGCTTTGACCTTGTCAACCAAAGATTTAGCATAAGTGAGGTTAGGGTCGGGGTGTTCCCCGCCAAAATCTTCAAGAGTTTCTGTATGGGTGACATTTTTATTGACGTCAGCCCCCAATTCCTCAACAAAAATCCTTTCCACGTATCTACCAGTTACACCATGCATAGAGTCGATTAAAATGTTGAAAGGTTGGTTTACGAGTTTTTTAATTTTACCAAAATCGAATATATCCTTCATCAAATTTACGTAGTTTTCTACAGAATCGATTACTTCGACCACAAAATCTCTTCCATCAACCTGTTATATGAATTAAAGATATTAAAAACCAAACTTTTCGTTTTAAAGAAAAACTCACTTTAAATGTGGTAACTCCTATGGTCTCAATTAAACCACAAGTCTTTAGATCAGGTACATATTTAAACTCTTTAATTTTTTTACTAAGTTCGAATATTTCGTTTGTAACGTTATCAGGGGCGGGTCCGCCATTTTCACAATTGTATTTTATACCGAAATCGTTGTTAATGCCACCTGGGTTATGTGAGGCAGTCAAAACAATTCCACCTAGAAAAATATGTTGAAAAATATTATTCAGCATATTTTTTTATTTTACCTGTTGTTTTGTTGCTTCTAATAAGACTTGAAACAGCTGGAGTGGAAATAATACCGTTTTGCCCGATAATAAGTTTCGAGACCTTGATACAAAATAAATTATGTTATTATTAACATGAGATAAGATAATCTATTAATTTTTTTGTCTATGGTGGTTATCTCTCTATTTTTTGTAACGTCATTGGTACGATGGATTGACATATAAACGTCAGTTTGACGTTATGTAAAAAAGTAAGGTTATAAGCTGAAAAACATACCTGATTAGCTGCGGCTATTTTAATTATGTGTGAGATGGCTTCTTTTAAGTAGTATCTACCGTCTCCTCCTACTACAATTACGGAGTTTTTAACCTTACAGCCTAAAGCGTTGAAAATACTTTGGACGAAATTTTCGGTGTAGTGATTTTGTTGGAATACCTTAACTTTCTTACGTAGCCCACTAGTGCCGGGTTTTTGGTCATCAAATGGGGTTGTGGGTACTGAAATTGACTTTAATTCTGCCATGATGCCTTAAAAAACACTATTTTACTAATATTGAATTGTAGAATGTTTATTTATTAAAATTTTAGAAATAAAGTATATTTACCTTAATTAATGGTTAATTTTAAGTTTGACAAGGTTTTTGGCCTGCTTTTTATACGTAAAATCAAAAATTATAAGGTTTGATAAAATTTTAAACTTCAATGACATAAAGGTCATATACTGCGCATGCGCTAGTTATTAACTACCAAACATTGAATTATTACGACTTAATATAGCATTTTTAAAATAATATAGAACAAAACATGTCTATTTGTTTATTGTTTATCTAATAAATTACATATATCGGTTGTGTATGATAAAAATATATAAATAATTCCTCTGTAATCTGGGTTGCCTACGTACAAAAAAATCTACAGGTTGTTTAATTAATATAGCGATGACACTGACAACTTATTTATTTATTATTTTTTATACACATATATAATATAATATACAAGTATATTAAACATGTATAACCCAGAAACTGGGAAAGTTGAATTTGAAGATCATGAAACAAAAAAATTAGACACTTATGATTACCACGAAAGATTATCCTTTAAAGGTCGTTGGGCAACACCTGATCAAAACTTTGAATTCATAGTACACTTTTACCCTTACAACAATTCAGTGGAAATATACGATTTAACGCATGGTAGAACATTCATGAAAAGACTAAGAACAAACGTAAGACATCATGACTTATTTTTGGGGAATAAATTGAGTATATATAACAGACATATTAAACTGATATCTTTCGCAAATGACTTCACAAGAAACAATATTGTTGAGATGAGATCACTATGCATACTAAAACCAATTCTGAAATGTCATCAGTATGGACCCATTCTTAAGGTGTTGGAAAAACAAGATCTAAGAATAGCAAAGTTGACCATGTGCGTTATATCTAGAAAAGATGCCCTTCAGTTTTACCATTACTTGCGGGGTAGAGCTATATGCCCGTTTATGGTGGAACATCTAGGTAAATTTGTTACATAAAACTTACATATACGCTAAATAAGTATATTATGTATTAAATATAATATTAGGTTGCCAGGAATTCGTAGGTATATTTTGTTGTTTAAAATGCAGATGTCGGCGTTTTTTAGAGAACTCAAATATAAAAATGGTTGATTTTAAGGTTATGTTTGTGCAAAAATTATTTTTTAATAATTTCTTAAAAATGTCCAAACTTAATATAAATTATATTAGGTAAAGTTATCATTAGTTAATTCTGCACCTACAAATGTACTTACCGAATTGGATCCTTTGGCAAAACATGAAAATGCAACGATTTAGTTCTTGAATTTTATTTGCAATTAAAAACACGATAATTCACCATGATAACTTTGGTTGAGTTTCTGATTCTTTAGCGTATATACTCGACTAAAACAATATTTGCAGCTTCAGGAGCATCTCTGGGGATTGAAATGGTAGGACAAGATGCAGTTAGTCGTTTATACTCGATATTAGGCCCTCGTACTCCCGCTGAAGGCCGTAAGGTGGCGCCACACACCTTAAGAGCGATTTATGGCCACGATAGAATAGTGAATGCTCTTCATGGTTCAGTACGCAGAGATTTGGTTGAAAACGAGTTGAATATATTTTTCCCCGAAAAACAATTACCTCCCACTACCACGGCGGTGTATGAAAATAGCACTCTGTGCATTGTAAAGACCCACATCTTAAAAGATAGGCGTTTGGGAGAATTGATAACTTACATAGGCGAATCACATTTTAAAATAACTGCCATGGATTCATTTTATCTCACTATGACTGACGCTGAAGAATTTCAATCCAGGTTTGTTATCTATCTATATATTCCTTGGTCTATGGTGGATAACCATAGACCAAACAATGCATAGATGGATAAAATTCATTGACATTAAAAACGTAGATACAGAAAAATCGTTCCGGATTTTATGAAATATGTAGAACCCTTTATGGATGGTTACTGCGTTGCGATAGAAATTTCCGGTAGAGTACCAGATATGAACGTGTGCGACGAATTGAGGAAGTTTTTGGGGCCCAAAGACCCAGTGGTAGCCAGAGAAATTGTCCCTTACTCTTTGAGAGCACGTTTCGGTATAGACAGGTACAAAAACGCTTGTTACGGATCTGATTCCAACACCGAAGCACAATACGAGTTGGAATTTTTCTTTAAGATATTACGCAGAAACCTACACTGGTAAAATTTTTTAAAAATAAAAAACTTGCAAATTTTTGATCTTTTTTCTGTCTATGAATTTCTAAGTCAATGGTTTATCTTTTTTCTGTCTATGAATTTCTAAGTCAATGGTGGTAAACACAAAACTTAATAAACTAAAAAATTAGTTAAAGATATTTTTCCCTGAAAAACAATTGCCAACTGACCACTAAAACTGACGCTAAAGAATTTCAATCCAGGTATTTTCGCAAATGTATTTATCTATTTATTCTTTGGTCTATGGTGGATAACCTTGGACCAAATAGAATGGAAAATAAAACGATATTTTTATTATATGAACAATTAATAATTTATTAAAATATACAAGTAGGTAAAAAAATCTGTGTATATAAAGATATAAATCTAGATATTTTACAAAAATTAATATATAAAGCGTTTTAGACTTATTTTTACCCTTTTGTGCAAAATCAACCAAAATAATATTTTATTTGGTTGACATTGTATAAAATACAATACAAATGCGTTTTATATCATGTGTATGATATTTTACGGTGTATTTCGTTCAAAAATGCAAAAATAAAAATACTAACCACAAAAATGCTTATTTGTGGATGGTATTTTTATTTTTTTGAACATAAAGTTTAAACGATAAACTAACATGAGATTCGATCATCAAAATATACAAAAAGGCATTATTTACAAGGTAATAATACAAAATAATAATATTAAAAATAAATAGGTAGTGTTTGAATAAAAATTAAACATTTTTTGAGCTTAATCGTTGATAAAATTTTTTCACTGGTTTCCTTAAGTAACTATTTCACTAAAAAAAAGCAAAAATTATATTAGTTTGCATAGCAAACGCAGTTAATATTATTGTTTAGTAAAAAAAACAACAAAACCCAAATTTGTTAAACTGTTAATAAAAAAACATTAAACATCAAACTTTACGTGAATTTTTCAAAATTGAGCGATTTTAGAGTTTCAAAAATAAATTGTGGCTGTAGAACCATTAACTGAGTCCTCTAATAGTTCAAATGCATCAAAATCAGTATAAGATTTTAAAGATGTCGTCCTAATGTAAAAAATGTACAGATGTACAAACAAAATACGTCCTAATGAAAAAAAATATATTTTTTTTTATTTGCTTACCTAGAAAGTTCTCTGCCACCAATTAACCCCGTTCTGGACCTCGACCTTTGCAGCTGGGCCCTTCGTTCAGCTACAATTGTGAAAAAAAAAATATTTTTTTTTATTTTTTAGAAAGCAAGCATAAAAAATAAAAAAAATGTAAAGAAACTTAAAATAAATAAAACATTTAATTATCTAGTCTTAAAATCTACAAAAAATTAAAAAAAAATAGTGCAGAATTTATAAAAATAAAACAAAAAATTTTCTGTTTTTTTTATATTTGAGAAAAACGTAAAAAAAATTGCATAAATTATATTTTTTCAATTTTCAGAAATACAAAATCTTTTTTAATTTTTTTTACGTTTTTCACAAAAAAAATCATAAAATTTGTACTAATATCAATTTTTTTTTATCTTTGGGGTTTTTTATTTTTTTTTGTAATAATTGCACTTTTTTAAATTTTTTGTATTTTTATGCAGTATTTTTTACGTTTTTTAAAAAATAAAAAAAACTGGTATATATGTACATATTTTGGTATATATTTTTTTACATCAGTTTTATCAATGTAAAAATTCTGTAAAACGTAAAAAAATAGCATAAATTATATTTTTTTAATTTTCAGATATACCAATTTTTTTTTAATTTCCAGAATTTTTATATATTTGTTTTTTCGAAAATGTATGCAATTTACGTTTTTCTCAAAAATACAAAAAATTGAAAATTTGTATGTAATTTCTTTTTAATTTACAAAATTTCTACAAATTTGTTTCTCTGATGTATGATATTTTACGATGTATTTTGTTCAAAAATACAAAAATAAAAATACTAACCTTAAAAATGATGGTTTTTGAACTATTTCAGGTTTTTTATTATTGAAAAAAACGTAAAAAAATTGCATAAATTATATTTTTTTAATTTTCAGAAATACCATTTTTTTATTACCATATACATATGTTTTGCAATTTTTTTGTTTCTCCCAAAAATGAAAAAGAAATATAAAATTTGTATATATTTTTTTATATTTATAATAGATTTTTTTTAATTTCCATAATTTTTAAAAATTTATTTTTCCGAAAATGTATGCAATTTTTCTTACTTTTTCCTCAAAATATATTTTTTTAAATTTATTGTGGTTTTTTTTATTTTTTCAGAATTTTTACATTTGTTTTTCCGAAAATTCATGCAATTTTTTTACGTTTTTCTAAAAATATATAAATATTTTTTTGATTGGTTTCAATCAATATAAATTATCGAAAAAACAAATGTAAAAATTCTGGAAAAAAAAGGACAATTATTATTATTATTATTATAAAAATATTGTTTTTATCAGTTTCATCAATATAAATTTTCAGAAAAACAAATTTGTAAAAATTCTGTAAAATAAAAAAAATCCACAATAAATAAAATAAAAATTTTCTTTTGTTTTTTCAAAGATGTATGAAATTTTTTTACGTTGAAAAAAATATATACAAATTTTCCGTTTTTTTTTATTTTTGAAAAACGTAAAACAATTGAATAATTCTCAGAAAATGTATGCACTTTTTGTTATCTTTTTCTCAAAATTAAAAAAAAATTGAAAATTTGTATTTAATTTTGTTTTAGATTTATTGTAGATTTTTTCATTATTATTATTTAACTTGTATACATACATATATATTTTTTTAATTATAATAGATTTTTTTTTATTTTTATAATTTTTACAAATTTATTTTCCCGAAAATTTATGCAATATTTTTTACATTTTCCTTAAAAATTAAAAATATTTAATAATATTAAAGTAAAAATTTTGGAAATAAAAAAAATATACGAATTTTCAGTTTTTTTTATTTTTGGGAAAAACATAAAAAAATTGAATAATCCGTACATATTTGTTTTTCCGAAAATATATGATTTTTTTTTAATTTATTGAATTTATTTTGTTATTATTATTATTATTAATGTTAATGTTAAAATTCTGTAAATTAAAAAAATAGAAAACATTAAAAAAACGTGCAGATATTACAAAAATAAAACAAAAAAACTTTTAAGATAAAAAATATATATAAATACAAGTTAAAAAAAAATATATATTTTTGAGGAAAATGTAAAAAAATTGCTTAAAATATGTAAAAAAAATACAACAAAATTACAATTTGTTTTGTACTCTATACCTACATACATACCTTCGAGTATTTCCATACGGCACGCTTTTTTCAACAACAAAAATTATTCCTCCCACCAAAAAAAAAAAATAAAAAAAAAAACTCACCGCCAGCTGGTCTATGACCTCGAACTCTTCTTTGCTCCCTACCAAAGGCCCGACCCGTTTGCAATGCCTCCAGTAAACTGCAAAAAAAATAATATTACCACCTGAAGAACATTATTAAATATCACATGCACCATTCAACAAACAAAAACCATAAAATATTTGTAAAAAAAAAAAAAAATCTGACTTAAGTCTAATTATCTATCTACGTATTCTTTAGTCTATGGTGGAACCCTAGACAAAACAGAATATAGATGGATTTTTTTCCTTCGGGACTTACCTTTGGTGATCGATTTTTAGTTTTGATTGCGTTTTATCGAAAATTCAAATAATAATAACAACTGCGAAATTCCTTTAACGAACGAATAAGGAATTTCGAAAATAAAACAACTTTCTTTCTTCATCGTTTCTGGACGATTTTACGTTTCGGGGTTTTTTATTTTAAACCCGAAATGTACATGGACAATTTGCTTACTGATGTAGTTTCTAGAATTGCAGAAAACACACAGAACGTTACAGTGGGGAAGACACTATAATTTTTTATCGCATTTTTTAAAACAAAAATGATTTTTGACAAAAAGCATGCAGATTAAAAACAAACCAACATTCAACAACAAAAAACATGTACATCCATTTTGCCCAACATGTCTCACTATAATTTTGTTGAAAAAGTCCTTTTTTTTTACAAAAATCGAGGTCCAAAATTTACATATCTTTCTGGGAAAGATAGAAATCGAAAAAAAAAGTCCAGTTTACAGGAAAATAAAAAAACATCAAAGCATCAGAAAATTGAAATTAAAAATGCTTCCATAAAAATTGAGTGTGATTTTCGTGTTGCATGCATGGGAAAATTATAATGGGATATGGTGGGCAGAATTTTTTTTCGATTTTGTAAACTAGTGAGATGTTATTGCATTTTTAAATTCCACGTAAAATACTAAAATTTGATTATTTTTTTATTTTTAAGTTTTTGAGATATTTAATTTTTTCAAAAATTAAATATTATCTCAAAAACTGTTAAAAAAATCAATGAATAAAACCTGTATAAGGGTTAAAGACTCACCTATCCATAACTCCTTCTTGAGTTTCCGGACGATTAACGTCTATCAAACGTTTTTTATTCGCTTCCCGTTCCTCCCGATCTTTTTCCTGCTTCAAACGCGCCAAGCGAGTTTTTTCCTTCTTTTCCTCCATTTCTCGTTCTTTTTCGTTGTCCTTTTGGGCCTCCTGTACGGGGAAAAATATTTTCACCCTGTGTATATTTTTTTTCATATAAATTACTTACAATAAATTGATCCTTAAAGGTTTTTACGTCGCTGAAGAATTCCTCCAAGGTGTATTTTTGTTTGTCGAAGCAATAATATTCGGATAATTCCGTGTACAAAATGTCCATCTTTTTGAACATTGAGTGCAAAATTTGGCATTGCTCTTTAGCGGCACTAGCAAAGGACTCCATAACCTCCAAAAACAAGTCGTCAGAACTCTGAGGCACCCTGTTGTTGGTTAAATCGGTCTGCAAGTTTTTAATGCTCGTCTCCATTTGCTTTAGAGTTTTCTGTATCGTGTCTATAGACACTCTGCTGGCTTTATCCACGTGTGATATCTCCTCGTAAAAATCTTTGAGCTCGGGGAGTTTCGTGTTTACCGAGTCTGCGATGTAGTGCAGTAAAGTGTGCTTGTTGTGCACGTCTTTTGTTCCGGACAGTTTTGTTAAGAAACTCATCTCAAAAGCGTACGCTTGGCCGTTTTTGCTGCCTGAGTTCATGTAGTTACCCAGCAGTAAAATGAGTTCGAGCATTTTCGCGAATTTTCGGCTTTTTTTCATTTCTTCGCAGGCATATGTTGCAGCCACAATATCCTGCAATATGAAAAACCTGTATGTAAAAATTCTGTAGATTTGTATAATTTATTTAACAGAATTTTTACAAATTTGTTTCTCAGAAAATGTATGCATTTTTTACATTTTTCTCAAAAATAAAAAAAAGAAAATTTGTATACATATATATATTTTTGTATAGTTTTTTTGAGTAATTTTTGTAATATCAATAAATTAAAAAAAAATCTGATTTATACATTTTTTTTTATTTACGGTATTTTTTTTTTCAGAAAATGTGTGCATTTTTTATATTTTTCTTAAAAATAAAAAAATTTGTGTAGTTTTTCCGATAATTTATAGAATTTTTTTACGTTTATCTCAAAAATATAAAAAACAGAAAATTTCTACACCTATATAAATATTTTTGTATAGTTTTTTTGATCAATTTTTGTAATATCAATAAATTTAAAAAGTCTGATTTATACAATTTTTTTTATTTACGGAATTTATACAAATTTGTTTTTTAGAAAATTTGTAGTTTTTTGATTAATATCAATAAATTTAAAAAAATTGATTTATATAATTTTTTTTAATTTACGGAACTTTTACAAATTTGTTTTTCAGAAAATTAATGCATTTTTTTACGGTTTTCTCAAAAATAAAACAAAAAAATTGTATAATTTTTTTTTTGAATTTATTGTTTAATTCCCGGAATTTTTACAAATTTATTTTATTGTAAATTTATGAATTTGTTTACGTTTTTTTCAAAAATAAAAAAAACTGAAAATTTGTACTTTTTTTGATTAATTTTGTAATATCAATAAATTAAAAAAATATGTTATACAATTTTTTTTTATTTTACAGAATTTTTACATATTTGTTTTTCCGAAAGTTAATGCAATTTTTTTCTCAAAAATAAAAAAAAAATTGTATAGTTTTTTTAAATTTATTTTAGATTTATTTTTTAGTTTCCAGAATTTTTACAAATTTGTTTTTCAGAAAATGTATGCAATTTGTTTTAGGTTTTTCTTAAAAATGCAAAAAAAAACCGGAAAATTTCGATTTCCAAATTTTTGGAAAAACAAAAATGTCAAAATTGTATGGGCAAATCAGAAAATTTTGTTTAACATTTTTGTAGGTCTACAAATTTTCTGATTTTTTTTTTAGTAAACCTAAAAAAAATGCATACATTTTCTGAAAATTCTGGAAATTAAAAAATAAATATAAAAATTGTATAAATCAGAAAATTTGTATATATTTTAACAAAAAACTATATACAAAAATTAAAAAAATTGTAAATATATATATTTTTTTCATCAGTTTCATCAATGTAAAAATTCTGTAATTAAAAAAAATTTTTATATACAAATTATTAAATATTTTTTATTTTTGAGAAAAACGTACAAAAATTGCATACATTTTCGGAAAAACAAATATGTAGGTATGTGAAAATTATGGAAATTAACGAAACATTGTATAAATTAGAAAATTTGTATAACATTTTTGTTTTTAAATTTATTTGATTTTACAAAAATTAATCAAAAAAAACTACACAAAAATATAATAATAATAATGCTTTATTGAACTATAGTTCAAAGGCTATTGACCGTAGTCCTTCAGCCGACAAAAATATATATGTATAGGTATACAAATTTCTGATTTTTTTATTTTTGAGACAAAAAATGCATAAATTTTTTAAAAAACATATATGAATGTAAAAATCCTGGAAATTATTATTATTATTATATTATTATTTTATTTATTATAGTTTTTTTTTAATTTTCAGAATTTTTACATATTTGTTTTTCAAAAAATGTATGCAATTTTTTTACGTTTTTCTCAAAGATATGAAAAAATTAGAAAATTTGTATATAACGTTTCTTTTTAATTTTCGGGACTTTTACATATATGTTTTTCCGAAAATTTACACGTTTTTCTAAAAATAAAAAAAATGTTAATATTCTGTAATTAAAAAAAATCTATAATAAATAAAAAGAAATACAAAAAATTCCGTAAATTAAAAAAAAATTGTATAAATCAGAAATTTTGTATATAAAGAAAATTTTTATACCTACATATATGTATCCAAATTTTGGTTATTTTTTTATTTTTGAGAAAACGTAAAAAAATTGCATACATTTTAGGAAAACCAAATTTTAAAAATTCTGCAAAATCTGTTGAATTTTTACATTTTTTTTTTAAAATTTACGCCATTTTTTACGTCTTTCTATAGAAAATTTGCATACATATGTATATATATTTTTTCAGCAATGTAAAAATTCTGTAATTAAAAAATTTTCTGATTCTTTTTATTTTTGAGATAAACGTTTTTTATTTTTATCATTATTATTATTATTACGTAAAAATTCTGGGAATTAAAAAAAAAATCTAAATATTGTATAAATCAGAAAATTTGTATATATAATTTTTTTTAATCCATTGATATTACAAATTTTTTGATTTATACAATTTTTCTTTAATTTCCAGAAATTTAACAGATATTTTTGTTTTCCTTTTAAAAAAATTTGAGAAATATTTGGAAAAAAAGAATTTTTTTTTTTTTTTTAATTTAAACACTTACCGGTTTGGTATCGTTCACCATCTCCACGTAATGATGCTTAAAACTGAGCGACTTAAGCCTAGGCAAAAGCCTTTTAACTTCAGATATCTTTACGCAAAACTGCTCAGCTTCGGTTAAATCTTTGTAGTGGTCCTTGTGCGTTTGCAGCTTTTGCAGCTGATCAGCAGGAGGCAAGTACTGAAAGGAATTTTTTGTTAAATTACAACTACAAACCTTTTTTTTTGACCTACTTGTATTAATTGTTCTGTTACGTTGTCGGTTAATATTGTGTCGTCACATCTTAAAAGGGCTTTTTTGATGTCATCGTAAGGTACGTGTTTCAGGGAACCCCCCAGTAATATACTAATATTTTGGGCGGTCTTTCCATCGAGAACTTTAAGTTCCTTTACTTTCTTCAACGTACCTGTCATGCTAGACCTAAATTAATAACGATAATTACACGAAAAAAAAATTTTTTTTTTCTTACTTATCAGTGACATCTTCCAAAGTCTTTGGGAGAGGCTTGGATGAGAATTTTTTGGCCAAACCATCTAGAATGTCTGGATCAGCCAATTCTTCTTCTTTTGCCTTTACCCAAAACGATTTCTCTGTCAATTTTTGCGGTAAAATCTGCAAGAAACCTTTACAAAAAAAACACACACAAAAAAAAACTTTCTTACTGTTTTCCAGTTGGCTCTTTTTAAACCCTTCGATTCCCATTTTTTTTTCGGTTTCAGACCATGAGGCAAAACGTTGCCCGGGCCCACCATCCCTGGGAGCGGCACCATACCGAATGGTGGGGGTGGGGGACCCATTCCAGGAGGTGGAGGGGGGCGTGGCCCCCCTGGAAACGGTGGTGGAGGGGGGCCACCCATTCCAGGGAAAGGAGGGGGAGGTGGTCCCCCCATGCCTGATATAAACAACAGAAAATCAATAATAATTTCCAAAAACGTTCAAAACATTTTAGAATGTAAAAAAACAATTTAAGAATGCCAAGACTTCAGAAAACCACTTTATAGTACGTTTGGAGTTAAAGTGTTATACATCAAATTAAAGGTTATGAAATTATCTACAAAAAAAGTAGAATGCATTTCACCTATAACGAACCGTTAAGGAAATAACGGCCCACCAAGAAAAATACTGGTCACGGCACCAATGTGTTATTCAACTGATTCTAAGAACGTCAAAACCACATACAACACTGTCAAAACATACTTAAAAATGTCAAAATTAATTGAGAATGTCAAAACACATCTAAAATTATCAAAATCCCATATAACCTAAAAATGTCAAAAACATACTTAAAAAAACCATATTATTATACGTTTTCCCAGGGTTTGGAGTTAAAGTGTTGTATGTCAAATTATAGGTTATGAAATTCTCTACAAAAAATGTGGAATGCATTTTTCGCCTATAACAAGCCGTTAAGGTAATAACGGCCCGTTAAGAAAAATCCTGGTCACGGCACCAATGTGTTTTTCAACTGATTCAAAGAATGTCAAAACCACATACAACACTGTCAAAACATACTTAAAAATGTCAAAATTAATTGAGAATGTCAAAACACATCTAAAAATGTCAAAATCCCACATAACTTAAAAATGCCAAAAACATACTTAAGAACACCATATTATCACACGTTTTCCCAATGTTTGGAGTTAAAGTGTTGTATGTCAAATTATAGGTTATGAAATTCTCTACAAAAAATGTGGAATGCATTTTTCGCCTATAACGAGCCGTTAAGGAAATAACGGCCCGCTAAGAAAAAATACTGGTCACGGCACCAATGTGTTTTAAAACTGATTCTAAGAATGTCAAAATACTGTCAAAACATACTTAAAAATGTCAAAATACATATAAAAATTTCAAAATCCCATGACTGACATTTTAAATGTCATAATATAAAAAAAAATATTCAAAATATTTATTCACTTACCGGGCATAGGGGGGGGTGGTGGCCCCCCCATTCCGGGCATAGGCGGCGGGGGCGGTCCCCCCATTCCCCCCGGCATAGGTGGGGGTGGGGGGCCGCCCCCTGGTGGCGGAGGGGGCCCTGGAATTTTTACTTTGCTTAGTAGAGCCGGGTCCAATTTACCCCCAGACGTATTATGGGCCGCTCCGGTACTGTACAGCTCCAATTTCGCCTCTAGCTCGGTTTTTTCCGAAAGTACTTTATCCAGTTGTTCTTTTAGTTCCTCCAGTTTGGCGTTGTTTTCTATTTGTATGGGGCGATCTACGAACGAGAATTTAAAGATTGCGATTTTGGGGGAAACGTTTTCTACCTTTTAACTCCAACATCAGTGGAGCTAAATCGATGTCCAAGTGGTTCTTCTTGAAGTCAGGGTCCATACCGCTTTTATGCAAAACTATTTGCGACACACATTCTTCAATGATTTTGAAGTAAGCAGGTCTACAATTAATCATGTTAAAGTCAAGTTTAATGGGGTAGTTAAATTTTTTCTGACCTATATTAAAGGCGTTTTGTAATTTTAAACATTTCTGTGAAATCGGAATTTCAATTGAGTTTACCGTTTTCGAGATATTTACAAAAAAAAAATCTCCTAACTACGTCACCAGGCTATTGACAACGTTGCCAGCTTTTTCTATGGTTGCCAGTGTGTTTAGTTTAAGATTCTCACGATAGATGGCGCCACGTTATAATGTTTTAGTTTTAAAACCAATTGATCTATAATTTTAGTTGAGAAGAAGAAGAAGAATTGATTTTTTGACGTTTCTTTTTTTCGGGTTATGTTTTTTTTTAATTTAGATTATTGAAAATCAATGTTATTGTTATGTTATTTGTAATTGATATTAGATAAGTGATTTATTAATAACGGACTCAAAGCAGAGGAATCTTGTGGAATGGTTGGTTACATTGAACATTGGAGCTTTTAAACAAATAAGGTACAAAAATGTACTCTAGAGCGTAGTATCTTCGAACAGTCCAAAAGTTTGTCATACATTTTTTAAATCTTACAAAAGGTTTTGATGCTCATCATCAGGGATGCAAGTTTTATAAAAACTATACACAAATATCATAAATACCATTGTTAACTTACATTTACTGTTATTTTTTGTAAATTTATTTCATTCATTTTCAGCTTTATTTTGCCACTTTTTTCTATGAAATATATTAAACTCTGCTTTAGACAGTTATTAGGTACCTATTTATTACATTTTATTAGGTTTCACACGGTGTTTCAATGTGTAAACCTATCAATAAAACTTTTAATTTCAGAATTAATGAAATCATTAATGAAATCATTAACAAGACAACTTGACAACAGGGTAATTTTCAACCAATAGAAATCTTAGAATGTTGGTCACATGGCGAGGTTTGTGACGTCATAAAAATTTATATTTTTTGTAAATATCTCGAAAACGGTAAACTCAATTGAAATTCCGATTTCACAGAAATGTTTAAAATTACAAAACGCCTTGAATAAAACCATAAAAAGTATAGGTCAGAAAAAATTTAACTACCCCATTCATCAAAACTTCGACCACTTACTTTACGTTAATATCGTCTCTGATGAACATTAAATGTTGCAGGATACTGAGAAAGTAAGGCTCAGCCGTGGTTTCCAAAGTCGAATTTTTAAGAACTTCAAAGCAGTCGTTTATATCGTCCATGTCCAAACGAACTTTATCGAAGCGTTCGTGAAGTTCGTCGCTGTCGTTTTCGCGCATGCGCTCGAACGTGTCCATTTGGGTCTTAATAATCGGGTTTGTCTCATTTTTAAGCTCAACTAAAAGTTCTCTTAGTACTGGGGATTCTTACGGAAAAAAAACGAGGTACAACACTCTTATACTTAGGAAACGTCTAACATGTTTTCCCACTGTTTTATACATCAAATTAAAGGTTTTGAAATTCTCTACAAAAAATGTCGAATGCATTTTTCACCTATAACAAGCCATTAAGGAAATAACGGCCCGCTAAGAAAAAATCCTGGTCACGGCACCAATGTGTTTTGCAACTGATTCTAAGAATGTCAAAACCGCATACAACACTGTCAAAACATACTGAAGAATGTCAAAATTAATTGAGAATGTCAAAACACATCTAAAAATGTCAAAATCCCATACAACTTAAAAATGTCAAAAACATACTTAAGAAAACCATATTATTATACGTTTTCCCAGTGTTTGGGGGTAAGTGTTGTATGTCAAATTATAGGTTATGAAATTCTCTACAAAAAATGTCCAATGCATTTTTCGCCTATAACGAGCCGTTAAGGAAATAACGGCCCGTTAAGATAAATCCTGGTCACGGCACCAATGTAATTTGAAACTGATTCTAAGAATGTCAAAACCACATACAACACTGTCAAAACATACTTAAACATGTCAAAATTAATAGAGAATGTCAAAATACATCTAAAAATGTCAAAATCCCATATAACTCAAAAATGTCAAAAACATACTTAAGAAAACTATATTATTACACGTTTTCCCAGTGTTTTTAGTTAAAGTTTTGTATGTCAAATTGTAGGTTATGAAATTCTCTACAAAAAATGTGGAATGCATTTTTCGCCTATAACAAGCCGTTAAGGAAATAACGGCCCGCTAAGAAAAAATCCTGGTCACGGCACCAATGTGTTTTTCAACTGATTCAAAGAATGTCAAAACCACAACAACACTGTCAAGACATACTTAAACATGTCAAAATTAATTGAGAATGTCAAAACACAACTAAAAATGTCAAAATCCCATACAACTTAAAAATGTCAAAAACATACTTAAGAAAACCATATTATTATACGTTTTCCCAGTGTTTAAAATTAAAGTGTTGTATGTCAAATTATAGGTTATGAAATTCTCTACAAAAAATGTGGAATGCATTTTTCGCCTATAACGAACCGTTAAGGAAATAACGGACCGTTAAGAAAAAAAACTGATTTTAAGAATGTTTTACCTCGTTTATTTCTCGATTAAACCTATGTTATAAATTACTTACTAAGTTTGTCAAAAAGTCCATTTCGAACAATTTCGTTCCTCAAATGCACACGAAACTCGAAATCTTCCGTCTGACTCAACAAAGCGTTCACAAATTGAAAACATATACTCTGAAAATAAAAACACCCTGTACGGTTTTCTAAATTTTTGGGGTTATGTATTACCACGAAATTGAAAATCTTTTTTTTGCTAAACTTTGGGAATTTCATTTTGACGCACACTTAAACATTACACTAGACGTTTGACAAAATACATTTTTCGTTTTCAATTGATTAAGTAATAAAAATATAAACAACCAGGTGTAACCACATGTTGCTTTAATATGTATGTAACATAAAATAAAATGAAGGTAGTGGTGGAAAAAATGCCGGAAAAAATTGTTGTGATGTAAATACTGTGTACAGTGTGTATAAAAAAAGTATAATTTTAAAAACATGAGTTTTGTAGAGAATTTAATTCTACTAACCTGAACATCTGGGTTATTTGTTTTAATTCCATCAGAAATCCATTTAAATCTTTCAATATCTTTTTCTTCAGCTACCTCAGTTATTGCATAGAGGCATTGTTCTTCTGTCATAAGACAGGCAGCTGCTAAAATCTAAAAACATTTTTTTTTATTGGAGAATAAAAAAAATTAAAAAAATTACTTACTTTAACAGCTTGTATCATAACAGCTGGGGTGTTGGGGTTTAAACATTTAGCCACTATTTTTAAAGCTTTGTTAACATTTTTGTTGGAATTTTTTGAGTTGCCTTCATCTATTTCTAAAACGGTTTTTAAACCCCAACTGTTGTTCATAACTTTTTCCAGGCATCTTAGACACTCATGTTGCAATTTCATATCATGGCTAGAAAATTATAGAATTTTTTTTTTCCCTCAAAAACGATTTTACAATTAACTTACAATTTAGAGGCTATGTCCATAACTTTATAGAGTATATTTAGGCCTGGGTTGCCAAAATCTACAACCCAACTAACAGGGTTGTTAGTAACTGATACTCTCAAAGATTCCATACAATTTAATAACTTTGAGGTTTGAGTTGTCTCTTCCAAACAATATTTCGTCAAATACTCTATGTAATCACCAGGTTTATCAAATTTATGTCCTGTTTCTTTTTTAGCGTTTTTTCTATTCATTATAAGCATTTTACGTTTTTGATCTAAGGGCATTTCACGTAAAGGTTTCTTCTTTTCGTCACTAAGATTCATATCATTCTAAAAATGACGTAAAATAAAAAAATGGAAAAACTTCATGTAAGTATTAGAAAATACCAGAAGTTTCTCCATTTCCACTTCTATCTCTTTTTCGCTCAAATTCATCATTAGTTGGTCATCCTGTTCCTCTAAATCGACGTCTGAATTTGACCTGGCATTCACAGATACGGGCCTGGAATTGGACCCCCCCTTTTTGGTTGGACCCGGTTTGAACCATGATTCCAACTTAATAAATAAAAAAATACTGAATACTTCTGTGTGTCTTATTAACAATTATTTTTACTAATACAATATTGATTACCACTTGGTATTTATTTCAAGGTTTTTAAGATATTTTTAAAATTATTATGAATGTTTTTTTAATGTGGGTGTTTAACTAAAATTTATTCAATAGTTTACCTTAAAGGTAATAAAAAAATGTGGATAAACATTTTGTTGAATATTTTTTTACCTTAAAACATAAAAACCCGTAAGGAAATCCAGCACCAAAAGTATAACCACTATTATGACTCATTATTAAAAACAATAATAATAATAATAACAATCAAAAATCCATTTTTTCACAATTATTACATACTGCGTTTAAATTTTTGTTGTTGTTAACACTACACTTACTATTTAGTAGTAATTGAACAAAAAGATGTTAAAAAGATAAGAAAACAAATATTTGTTAGCTGATATGATGCTAGGTAGGTATAAATATCATCACTTAACTTTTAATTTTATCAATCTTAATTAAAAACAAAAATGACTAAAAGAAATGGAATTTTATCACCAAAATTTTTAAAAATTATCAAACAACAAAAATTCATTAAAATTATGATACCCAGTGGTTAAAAAAATATATAAAATCCACAAAAATACGTACATAGCTATAAACAGTCATTTTCTTAGTTTTTTATTAACAAAAAACACTTTTCACAAACAACATTTTTTCGTAAATAACTTCAACGTTTTGGCAACAAAATTTCACCACAAATCATTCAAAATATTAGGTATGCATTTATTAATAAGTGTTATAAGTTTAATGACATCATTCTTATAAACAAGTGTGACTTAAATTTTGGGAGGGGGCAATCAGCTGGTTTAAAAAATACGAATAAAGATATAACACAGTAGGTAAGTTAAATTGCCAAGAAAATGTATTTTTTTACTTTTGATGTTTATTTAATTAAACACAAAAGTATAGTGTTGACCTTGGGCTCATTCCATTGAAAAACTATACCATACAAAACACAAACAACAAAATGTTGTTTAATAACACTAAAATCGTAAAAAAACATAAAACTCACCCCTATAGTTTTTCTACGGAAACTTTCCCTTTTTTTCTTGATTTTGATTTTATTTTCCATTTTAAATATGTGACAAACGTTTTAAAAGTATATCTACAGTACTACTTATCTTAACATAACACATACCACAGAAATAAAATTAGATAAATAGAGATAAAAAAGATTATTTGTTTTTATCATACCTAATTCAATATTTTTTGTCTTTAAAGTCGCATAAAAACTACTTTATGCATAAAAATGACTAATTCACCACATATTTGATAATATTTATATATATAAATTACCAAAATACTTAATTTAACAAAAAATGTTATCTCGTTTATACAGGTATAACAATCTTATATTTATTTGCTCAGCAAAGTAAATATGCTTAGATAAAACAATAAAAACATTATTATCACCTCATGCAGTCTGTATATTAATAATAGTAGCAAAAATAGTATTTTACTTACGAAAGAACCAGATTTCGCTTTTTCGTGTCTTGACATGTCTGTACATTTAAATATCACCTCAAATCCTTCAAATCAACCTAAAAAGTAACATTTCGTTGAAATGCAATCGTATTCTTGCCCATAAAAGTATTTTTTCTGTGAAGTTAGATAAACATAACCTAACAAATCGTATTACGTCACTTGGACAAAAAACTATGCATTTTGCGGGTGATTTTATTAATTTTTACTTACTTCAACGTTAATTGCGGGTTTTGCGATAATTTTCATCGATTTTTTCCTATTTTTTCATTGTTTATATCGTTAAACTATCCAATGACAACTTGTTGCATTAGACGTATTCAGGTTTTTTTGATATTGTTTTTTCTGTTGAAAATGTAAAATAAATTAATTTTGCAACATTTATTGAATTATTTGCGTATTGTATGCAATATTACAACATAATAAACATAAGAGATAACACTTTTTATTACTTTGAAGGTTTTTATTATAATATTTGGGGGCCCCCATACAAAATTAATAATAAGCATAGAGAAATTTCTCTATGTAGGTAATAAATCTAAAATATTTTCGCCTGAAGGCATATAATTAAAAACCGAATTCTTTGTCTGAATTATAATAAAACAAACCAAAATACATTATATTAAATCTAATAAATTAATCAAATATATTAGCATTATTTAAATTAAAACGGTTAAAACATTAATAAAATGATATGTGCACTGAATTATCATTAATTATCATTTAAATGGAGCAAATTATTAATCGGGCAGAGCCGTACTGTGATATTTAAAACCACGCGACAGTGGTGTATTCAGGGAATTTACAATCGCAACAATCAACAAAAACGTCAATTTGAGAAGGTTTAAAGTGTCAAAATGGTTGTGGAAAAGTTATTGATGAATAATTTGGTAAAAATTGTACGAAATTATTCGGGGACTGCTCAAAAAATTACAAAAATTCCAAATTTGAGTCGGGTGAATATGAATTCGAAGCAAAAATATTGCGTTTTTGGTAATGTGCTGCAATTTCGTATGGCTCATACGGACATTGAGGTTCCCAATTGGGATAAGTATAGGCGAAAAGGTGCTAAAGATCCTGAAGTGCCTACAAGTTGTTCTGAGGTCAAAAGCAAGGTTTTTCAGTATATGCTTAGTGGAAGTGCTATTACAGTCGCCCTCTATGGATTAAAGGCAGAAGCTTTGAGGTTTGTATTATGTATCATTGTTGTGTACCTACTGCTTAACATTTTGTTTAATAACTTGGTTGTTTTTTAATTTTTTTTCAAAAGTGAGATGTTATTTTAAAGGGTGGTTTATCATGATGACAAAAATGTAAAAATAATTTTTTTAAGATTTTTATTTTACGAGATATAATACAAAACGTTTCACGGGGCTATGTCACTTGGACCACTCAACATTTTCAGCTGTAACTTTTTTATTTATTAATGTATTTTCAAAAAGTTGACATTGTTTTGTAGGAAACACTTTCAGTTTTTCGAATATGATTGTGGGTTAAATATTTTTAAAGATATACTAAGATTTATAACAGGGTTAAAAATAAAAAAAAATGTCTTGTTTTTAAGATATATTATGTTTATGGCTGCTTCTGAAGAAGTGCTGGCAATGGCAAAAATAGAAGTCAAGTTGGCTGAAATACCTGAAGGTAAAAATGTTACCTTTAAGTGGAGGGGGAAACCCTTATTTATTAAACACAGAACCCAAGAAGATATTAAAAGAGAGCAAGCTACTCAGCTTTCAGAGTTGAGAGACCCAGAAACGGATGAACAAAGGTATTTACCAAGTATTTACAGTAAACAGTGTTAATCTGAATGAAGAAATAAATTGCATACAGTCTCTGTAAATATAAATTGTACCTATTAGATACGATAAATACACATTTTAGTAGTGATTAACGTGAAAAGTGTAACATTTCAATTGAGTAATAATCGTCAAACAAATAAGTCGTCTAAATTTAAACAGCGTTTAGCATTATTAAAAGCGTTGATTAAGAAGTTAGAAACCTCAAATATAAAAATGGATGATTTTAAGGTTATGTTTGTGCAAAAATTATTTTTTACCAATTTCTTAAAAATGTCCAAACTTAAATATAAATTATGTTAGGTAAAGTTATCATTAGTTAATTCTGCACCAACAAATGTACTTACCGAATTGGATCCTTTGGCAAAACATGAAAATGCAACGATTTAGTTCTTGATTTTTTTTTACAATTAAAAACGCAATAATTCACCATGATCCCTTAGATAAAATACACACACTAACGTAACTATATAAGCATTTAAGCGTTGAGTTTCTTAATCAATGATATAAGGAATAATCAATCGAAATCTAGTACTAAAAGTTTTTTATTTTTTTTCTTGCAACGTAAAACACAAATAGGATGCGCGATTTTGTAAAAAAAATACCTATTTATTTAAAAATGATGTATAATCTGTGCTTTAAATGTATTGTTGACAAATATTTTTTCCAGATGTCCCAAACCTGAGTGGCTAGTAGTTATAGGCGTGTGCACACATTTGGGTTGCATACCTATACCAGATATGGGCGACTACACAGGGGGGTATTATTGCCCGTGTCATGGTTCACATTATGATGGAGCTGGAAGGATAAGAAAAGGACCGGCTCCAACGAATTTGGAAATTCCCGTCCATGTATTTAATGATGATGGGATTTTGGTTGTTGGGTAAAATAAAAATATTGGAATGTTGTTGAAATAAATATTTATTTTTTATACTAATAAATAAAAAATACTGAATGTTGATTGAATAATTTATTATTACACTTATTAATAATTATGGATATTTACAGGTTTGTCAAAAAATAAATAACAAACAAATATTTTCCAAATATTTACAAATAAAACAAAAAACTGTTTTATGTACAATTGATACCACTTTTTCACTACCTTGATTCACCTTTTTATATACAATTAAATAAAATATAATATCGATACAAAATCGACGTAAAGTTTGTTCACAAACTGTCTAAAACAAACTAGTTTGTTTTAGACAGTTTGTAGGAACAAACCTTTGATAACTATAACATATAAGAGATCTATATTTTTGAGTGCATTTTTTCAACAATGTACTCTTCTGTTTATTAATTATATAATATAATACAATATTGGAATAATTCATCATAAATAACACTTAAAAATGTACAGTTTTTTATGATGATGTAATAATTAATAAAAAATAATAAACAGGGTGTAATAAAAAATATGTGTATAGATAAAAGATAAAATTGATGTTTACACCCTGTACAAGAAAATGTCAATAAAATCGATCAAAATATAATATTTAATAAGGGAAAATGCTGCACAAATTCTAAAACAATTATTTGGAGATCATAAAACTTTTTGGTCATATTTTCAATAAAAATTAGTAAAATTCAATTCAAATTTGTTGTGGCAACATTTTCGCCCCAAAAAAATTCCCAAAGACTAGTTGTTTTAGTACATTAAATTAAATACTGAAAAATACAATAAATATTTTTTTCCAAGAAACAAAATCACAAGTCAGTACTACATCCTCTAAAATTTAACGTTCACTGAAAAAAATCGATGATACATAACCTCACTAACTTGGTCTTGAAGCAGTGCTGACAACTACCACAGGTTTAACCAAGTACTGGGTAACCGGTAGTACTTTACCGTTTATTTGTTGATTGGTGGCGATAAAGTGGGTTTGCATCAAAGGGGTTAGGTCGGTTAACCCCTTTTGTACTATAGCCACTTTTTGTAGTACCAAACCCTGGTTAACCGGGTAACTAACCGGTAAAACCGACAGCTGAGTGGCTTGTACAGATTGGGTTGATGATACCTTCAAAGAAATATATTTTCTTCAATCAATAACGAAAAAAGTAAAAATCGTAGAAAGTTGGTTTTGGTATTTCTGGAAAGCCCTATTAATTAACTACAAAAAAATAATTAATTTTTAAAAATCCATCGAAAATTGACAAAGTTACGCAATAAAATGTCAAAGCATGTAAAAATTGTATAACCCCCTGATAATTCTTTGAATAACTCTTAAACTAAAAAAGATAGAAAAAAAAACAAAAACATTTCCAGAAAATAGAAAAACCAACCTTCAATATGACGTAAAGTTTAAATTTCCACCCCAAAAAACAAAAAAGTTACAGGGCATAGAAAACTCCCCTCCTCAAAATGCATTTTCTTCAATAACGAAAATAGTAAAAATCGTAGAAAGTTGGTTTTAGTATCTCTAGAAAGCCTCATTATTTATGTACAAAATAATAATTAATTTTTAAAAATCCATCAAAAATTGACAAAGTTACGCAATAAAATGTCAAACAATGTAAACATGTTATAACCCCTTGATAATTCTTCGAATAACTCCTAAACTAAAAAAGTTAGAAAAAAAACAAAAACACTTTCAGAAAATAGAAAAACCAACCTTCAATATGACGTAAAGTTTAAATTTCCACCCCAACAAACAAAAAAGTTACAGGGCATAGAAAACTCCCCTCCTCAAAATGTATTTTCTTCAATAACGAAAAAAGTAAAAATCGTAGAAAGTTGGTTTTGGTATTTCTAGAAAGCCCTATTATTTAACTACAAAAAAATATTTAATTTTTAAAAATCTATCAAAAATTGACAAAGTTACGCAATAAAATGTCAAACAATGTAAACATCTTATAACCCCTTGATAATTCTTCGAATAACTCCTAAACTAAAAAAGTTTGAAAAAAACAAAAACACTTACAGAAAATAGAAAAACCAACCTTCAATATGACGTAAAGTTTAAATTTCCACCCCAAAAAACAAAAAAGTTACAGGGCATAGAAAACTCCCCTCCTCAAAATGTATTTTCTTCAATAACGAAAAAAGTAAAAATCGTAGAAAGTTGGTTTTGGTATTTCTGGAAAGCCCTATTATTTAACTACAAAAAAATAACTAATTTTTAAAAATCCATCAAAAATTGACAAAGTTACGCAATAAAATGTCAAAGCATGCAACAATTTTATAACCCCTTGATAATTCTTCGAATAACTCCTAAACTAAAAAAGTTAGAAAAAAAACAAAAACACTTCCGAAAAATAGAAAAACCAACCTTCAATATGACGCAAAGTTTACATTTCCACCCCAATAAACAAAAAAGTTACAGGGCATAGAAAACTCACCTCCTTCACTGATGTAACCGATGCTGTTGTAGTTTTAGCGACAATTGGTATCATTTTGTCCAACCCATTGGTTTGAATGACGCTTGGACCCTCCGACTTTAAAATATCATTGCTGGTATTAGCTGCAATTAACTCCGGCATTAATTTTGCGATCTCTGGTGGTAAAGGTGTCGGTAATTCTTTACGCAACACCAAAATTCTTTGCTGGTTGCATATTTTTTCCCGCGCTAGTCGCTCTATTTCGTGCTCAAGATCTCTTTCCCGCCTTTTCAGTGATTGTATGTATCTCAGAGCGTGATGCAAAATACTTAAATTTGAGGTTTTTTTCTCGTCTTGGTTTTGAGGTAATTGTTTTTTCAATACATCAAAACATTCTTTGAGGTGCGCTCGCCTATGTTTTTCCAACTTATTATGAACTTCACGGGTCCCTAGAAGTAACAGTTTTTGTTTGATTTTGGAAAACAACACATAATATTAAAGCTACATCATCTGGCTTTAAAATAAAGTCAAAATTATCGATGCATCATTTTTCGTTTTCGAGATATACCCGAAATTGTCAGAGCCTGTCTTTTTCAACTATCGTGTATGTATATCTCAAAAACTAAAAATAAGATATCTTAAAAGTTATATTATCTTCTGAAATGCAGTTGATGTTTTTTAAAAGCGTAAACATCAAACTTCAAAATGGTGTATAATTTTTTTAAGTATATTAAAAATTGCGATAGTTATGCAATAAAACGTCAATCAATGGTGTTTTTGACACTTCGTTATAATTTGGTGAATATCTCAAAAAGTAAAAAAAATAACAAAAATATTTTGACATTTTTAAAAAGCCTAAACTTCAACCAATCATTTAACGTATAATTTTTCAAAATACATACAAAATTAAGGTAGTTACGCGAAAAAATGTTAAACCTTATTTTATCAAAGCAGTACCTTTGTAACCCAGATGTTTTCATAAATATCTCAAAAAGTAAAAACCAGAAAAAAATATTTTTGACATTTTTTAAAAGCCTAAATATTAAGGTTCAAAATGGTGTTTAATTTTTTTAAATACACTAAAAATTGCGATAGTTATGCAATAAAACGTTAACCCATGATGTTTTTGACAGTATGTTATATTTTGGTGAATATCTCAAAAAGTCAAAAAGATAAAAAAATGATTTTGACATTTTAAAAAAGCCTAAGCTTCAACCAATCATTTAACGTATATTTTTTCAAAATACATACAAAATTAAGGTAGTTACGCGAAAAAATGTTAAACCTTATTTTATCAGAGCAGTAACTTTGTATTCCGGACGTTTTCTGGAATATCTCAAAAAGTAAAAATAATAAAAAAATATTTTTGACATTTTTTGAAAGCCGAAAGTTTAACCTTTAAAATAATGCCGCATTCGTTAAAAAACACCAACGCATATAAAAGTTATGCAAGAAAATGTTATTCTGTCCCTAAAATGACTTAACCATAAATATCTCGATTAAAAAAAATCGCAGAATAAAAAAGTTGACGTTAAAATAACCCCAAAATTAACCCCCGAAAAATCCCGCTGAAAACTTTTAACTTACCAGCTCTGAAAGCCATTGGTGGAATTTTTCTTTTTATTTCATGAGTCTCATCGATCACCAAAGGGTTCATTATGTCAAATGAGTTGTGGAGGACCCTGTGACGAGGGTGGGTCACTACAGTGCTGGAAACATGTTGGTCTTGCTCTTTTTTGATAAGGTTGGGAGCTATAAGAGGGCCCTAAAATTTTTTATTGTATTTTATTTTATTTTTTGTTATTTTTATATTACCTGTAGGTTAATATTTGATGAAATAACAACAGTTTGCCCATTTTGATTAAAATTAATGTTTTTTGCTGTCAATTGAGGTGCAGCAGTTATACGGTGTACCACAGGGGTCTTGTCTGCACCCACCTGCACATTGGTGGTCAATAATTTCTGTAACTCCTTTTGTTTTTCCTGCTGTTCCAAGAATTCTGCAGCCTCAATTAACGTGCTAAGACTCATCTTTGATTTTTATTTTGATTTCTGCAAAAAAAAAACAATTTTTCTTGTACGTTTTGCAACATAACTGGCAACGCCGCGCTAAACAAAAACGCATCTATGACCACGTGTTACAAATGTGCGCAAATCGCCTTATATTTCATCTTGCGCACCATGCTAAATAATCAACAGAGCACTGCAAACTTTGCAGTGCAAAGCAGGGACACGATTCTCTTTTGTCAGGTTGCACTGCTGCGTTGCCGGATCGCCGTGAAAATACCCGAAAGTGGGTGTTTTTTATTGATGAATTATCATTTTTATCCAATGCAATGTAAAGAATAATTAATTGTTGTGTTGTTTAAGTATATAAAATAATCACGTTTTTTATGATGAAAGTAGGGCACCAATTTATTGTAAACAAATAAAATAACCGTTAGTTTGGCAACACGGCCTGTTTAATGAATTAATCATGGTTATTGTAATTAACTGCTTTGTTTACAAGTCGACTTTAAAAAATAAAAATCATTCTTTTTTTATTGAAGTGTATAATTATTATTATTACGTAATTTTTACGCTAAAAAACTGCAGATACACGCATAGCTACACAACAAACTGGTTTACTTGTAGAAGTAATTTTAAAACAAAGAAACACCCTTTAAAATGCAACAAATACAATGGAATATGTTTTATTAATAATAATAAACGTCCCCAATATGATTTAAAATGGCTTTTGCACCTTAAAACCCCTCAAAAACCCATAAAAACAACAATTTTCAACTTTAGGAGTGGCGTTGTACAACCGGCAACGTTGTAATTTATATCGATATATTTCAACGTGTCCATAGTGGAATAACGGAATAAATATACACATAAAAACGATTATTAGGCGCTTATTGTGATAAAAATTAGCAAATGTATGCTTTAAGAGCTGTAAATTTCTCTTTTGCTCCTTAAAAGTAGCAAAATTAGTGAAAAGAAAGTAGTGTATTGCATCGTATTATTCGACCAATCACGTTCAAGCACATGGGTGACATCACGAGGTTTAACCCGGGCATACAATTCTGTATAATGCATTTAAAAACGAATTTATGCATTATTTTACACTTCTAGTGACTTTAAATGCATTTATTTTGACTTACCCGAGGTTTCTGTGCAGGTTTTACGTAATTTCGACGTTCGTACGACTTTTTTTTGACGTTTATACGCCCAATCAGCTTGTGCGACTTTCACTGCAACTTGATCAAACGTAAAACGTCACTGATCACAAACTTGGACGTTTATCGCCGTTTTGACCGTTAATTGACGCTAATCAGCCCCGCACACGTTAAAAAACCGTTATTTTCGCCGACGCGACCCCGAAATTAGCGCGTCAAACCCGCGAAAACGCGTTTTTTGCCGTTCAAAGTCGCCGAATTGTTTTACTCATTTGTTGTAGGGGTTTTTCGCATCTGGGGTGGCTGGTTTCGAGTCGATTTCTCACCGCCAACTTGACGCAAATGAGTGTAACGCCACAGGACACCCGCTTGTTTTCGGGTGGGGGTATTGGGCGGATAGGGAGAGCGGTGCAACTTTTGATCCTCAACGATTTAGGTGGTTTTTACGATTTTTTGCATTAATTTCTTTAAAAAATCATAGTTTGGAAACCTATCTTTCAAATTTTGATTTTTTGGTATCAAAATGAAGGTAAAAGTGTGTATTTTTTGTTGATCACCTCCAAAATATTCCTTTCAATGCAAAATTAATCCTATAATGATTTTAGTAAAATCACCAAAATTTACGTCGTTTTTTGTAGTGCTTTCGTAAAATATTTATAACTGACTTATTTTTGGACCAAATTATATGTTTTTGGTATAAAAACGTAGCTAAAATATTGTATTTTCACATAAAACAACCAAAATCTTCATCGGTATTACCGCAATTTAAAAAATGAACCCTGCAAAAACCACTAGGTATATTTTGTCTATTTTCCAGCGAATCTAAACCATATCACGTGATAAATCGCTTAACCGTTAACAAAGGTCAAAAAGTAGAGAAGGGGATCACTACTTGCGACCAGCCGGCTTAGACAATCAGCTAGAGACGCTTGTTTGACCGCGTGCCATCGTTCTTGTGTGGTGCGCAGGGAACATGCGCGGGAGCTCCAAAGTGTGCCGCTTGCGACGTTGCCGGGTTGTGCTGAAAGTAGCAGATGCAGGGAAAACCACCTAGGTTACTACATAGAGCGTGTAGGAGATCTATATCGCGTGCAAAGTGCAGTGTGCAACATGTAGTATGGATTTTTTCGGGATATGAAATAAAAATCTTCGATAAAACACATATAAAAATGTTTTATTGTAATTCACACTCTTTCACACTTACATTTAATTAGATAAAAAACAACAATTAAAATAATAAATATGTACTATATATATTTAATACGAAATATATAAGAAAAAATACAGTATGTATAACATAAAAAATCTAATATACCTAAAATATAAATTTGGCATTTAGTGACTTAAAATTACATTTTGAAAAATTCAAATATTTACAAACATAATTAATAATGATTATACTCGTTTAAAATACTAATTTATAAGTATGCAGATAAAAAATTGACATTTTTTCGATAATAATTTCAAAAAAATAGGAACTTAATGAAGTTAAAGAACACACAAGGTGTTTGTGATGATATATTGTTACGATAGCCGCCTTAAAATTTCGTTCGTTATATAGGGTTGTATAAAATAAAATAAAAATAAATAATGTAAAAATTACTGAGTGATTTTTGTTTCAAAGTTGTCCCCATTCAAACTATTAACGATAGTATTTTTTGGGTTCAACCTCTCATTGAGTCAACGTTTCTTTTAGGTCTCTTATCCTTCCTATGTTCCAAACTGACAGTTGTACTTTGCGTAGTATTCCCTTTAAAATTAAAAACTTAACAATAATGCAAATAAATGCGAAGACACCTAAAAATATTTACCTAGACTTGAATTTCTAGAGGTCAGACTGTTCTGACTGTCGTGTAGTCTACTAGACGACGGTTTGGCATTTCTATTTTCCCTCTCCCACGTAAAATTTGACACGTGATTTTCGCTGGTCGGGCAGAGCGTCTGCGAATCCGAAGTGTGACTGGATTTTGAGCTCAAGCCGATTTTTAAGGGCGTAGGATGATTGGAAGGAGTCCTAAAATACGCCCCTGCAAAAAGCGAAAAAACCTCGATATGGCAACGTCGCACGAAAAAATGTACAACACGAAAAATATGCAGAATTAAATTCTCTACAAAAAGTATAAAACACTTTTTCTCGAATAATTGATAGGAAGCAAGATATTTAACATGTTAGATTTAAGTCATTTCTACGTAACTTTTATATATACTGCTATAATTTCGAAAATACGTATCCTACAGAAAAAAACTTAAAAACACAAACTATAGAAAATTCAATTCCCTACAAATAATTATATAATACTTTTTGTCGAATAATTGCTAGGAAGCCAGATATTTAACATGTTAGATTTAAGTCACTTTTAGGTAACTTGGTATATACCCGCTATAACTAAAACTTAAGAATACAAAATATAGAGAAGAATACAAAATATAGAGAATTAAATTCTCTACAAAAAACTACTTGACACTTTTTTAGAAAAATATATACCGCGATATCTTTGAAAATACGTATCCTACTGAAAAAACGAAAAAACACAAAATTTATAGAATTAAAATCTTTACAAAAACTTTTTCTCAAATAATTGCTAGGAATCCAGATATTTAACATGTTAGATTTAAGTCACTTTTAGGTAACTTGGTGATATACCGCTGTAACTTCGAAAATACGTAACCTACAGAAAAAATGTAAGAATATAAAATATAGAGAATTAAATTCTCTACAAAAAGCTACATCACACTTTTTTTACAAAAATATATACCGCGATATTTTCGAAAATACTTATCCGACAGCAAAAATTTTAACACAAAATTTATAGAATTTAAATCTTTACAAAAAGCTATATAACACTTTTTCTCTAATAACTGATAGGAAGCCAGATAATTAACATGTTAGATTTAAGTCACTTTTACGTAACATGGCTATAACTTCGAAAATACGTAACCTACAGAAAATACTTGAGAATGCAAAATATAGAGAATTAAATTCTCTACAAAAAGCTACATAACACTTTTTGTCGAAAAAGCACTACTTACCACTGGAAACTTCACTTTGCTTCCAAATTTTCAATCTATGGGCAATTTCGCTGAAATTGGGTCTTCTTATCGACTGTTCTGCCAGCATTCCACCATCAAGGCGTAACAGTAACTTGGGGCATGCGTCGGACACGGTAAAAGTTTTCTTGACCGTATCAAATTGATAACCTCCTGATTATTGTAACCGTAATATGGCTGAAAATATTTACATGTTATTGTACACACCCTGTATAAAATTACACAACATACCTGCACCCCGTAGCTGTATATTTCCCACAATACTACCCCGTAAGACCATACGTCACTTTCGGTGGTGAATTTACCGTATAAAATGGACTCAGGTGGCATCCATCTAACAGGTAACAAAGACTTCGACTGCACTCTAAAAAGCAAGTTTTTGACATTAATAAAAAACACCCTGTACATTACAGTACAAACCTATAATAGTCGCAACTGTACATGTCTCTGCTCAGACCAAAATCACTGATTTTTACTATTAAATCCTTTGAAACCAAACAATTTCTAGCCGCCAAGTCCCTATGCACATAATGATTTCTCAGACAAATATTCCATACCTACAAAGAAATGGTAAAATTGTGGATATCTCCTACGGTTATAATGCGATTTGCAAATGGTTTTGAATTTTCTGAAATTGTGATGTTTTGGCTTCAAAATGCTTAAAACTCATTAAGATCATCAAAAAAATAAATTAAATGTGACGGTTTTTCTGAAACACTGCTAGAGTCAATATGGGATACTAACACGATATCACATTTCGTTCAGTATCTCGAAAAGTACAAAAAGTAATAAAAAACGGTTTTAATATTTTTATAGCTTATATAATTCAATACAATTTTTGTTTAAACAAAAATAAAATCCCACGAGAAACAAAAAAGTTACATCGCTTCAAACTCCAGACGCACTAAAGTAAGTATGATGGTTTACCACCAAATGACATTTTTTAAGATATCTCGAGATATAACCGAGATATTCTTATTGGTTTTGAAGTTTATTAAAGCCTAATAATTTGGCTTTAAATTGATTGTAAAATATATAAATCGGAATAAAAACAAAAAAACTACAACTATTTATTAAGAAGTACACCAAAAAATCTGACATAACTCCACATTTTTCAAGATATCTTGAAAATTATTGAACGATTTTAAAACGCAATACATATAATTAAAGCTATTAAAATTCCCTACAACTTTTATTTTAAGATAAATAAAATCAAACGACAAATAAAAAATATACAAGGGGTTTTCTAAAAGACTCACCTTGAGCGATTTGTATTGCTATGTGTAAAAATTGATCGTGGGTTAAACATCTTCCTTCCGAAGGTGAGTTTGCTATTAAATATTCGTGTAGGTCACCTTCCGACATGAATTCGAATAACATACACATTGGTTCTTGTTTTACTACGACTCCCAGTAGGCAGATTATGTTTGGGTGTTTTAGTTCTGAAATTAACTCTATCTCTCTTTGGAAGTCTGCTTGGGTTTTGGCTGAGGCGTTTTCTTTTAGGGACTTTACCGCCACATAGGATTTGATGTTTTTTGTTTTAAGCTCCCCCTTGTAGACTTTGCCAAAAGCGCCTTCTCCCAGTTCCTCCAAAAACCTGACTTCTTTGTAGGTATATTGAGGAACTGTTCTCAGTCCATTTTTGTTGGAATGGTTTCTCTGAGGTGGCATATTTTTGGGTAGTAGGGTGTTTAGTTCTATAGGGCTACTAGGACCTGCGTTCCCATATATATTTTTCGTTACCTGAGGAAGGGCCTTCTAAAGAAAGATTTTTGATTTTGGATGACAATGAAAATGTAAAATATTTTTCGAATGAATCACTCTAGCATTATGTACTTACGTTTTGGAGGTTTCTCGTGCTTTTGTTTTTTCTTCTGCAGTAGCAATATGTTACTATAACGCATATAAAAAAAATAATTGCTAATATAATAGCGACAACGTACATTCCGAAAATATATACTGAAAGAAAGAAAAAAAATAAAAACTGCCCCAACCCAACCCTGTATATTTACTTACCACATTTGTTTATACCACACGGTTCTTTTCTATCTTGTTCAACATAACAGAAAGGTTCCAACTCAACATCACCAGGATTTCTAAAATTTAAAAAAAAATACAGAATGTGTTAAATAATTTTTTAACATTGTACTTACCTACAATAGTTGTGCCCTGTTAACTCAGGGTACTTAGAGGTGGGTATTTGAAATTGATGCGCCCATCTTAAACATTTATTATTATTTATGCTTGTGTCTTGAATGCCCCTGTATGAACTCCCAGTGTCCCAGTAACATTTGTCCTCTGAAATAATCAAATAGACATTGCCACATGTGTGTTTTGTCTACTGGTAGGTAGATGGCGTTACCATAGAGTAGAATTCTTACCTTCATAGCAACTTTAAAGTGTGGGGTTTTGTCTTTAAATTGCTTAAAAAAGTATTAAAATCGACCAAGAAATAAATTAAATACCAAAAGCCTGCTAGAGTCAATATGGTTTACTAACACGGCATCACGTTTTGTCTCGTATCTCGAAAATTACGAAAAATAACAAAAAACGGTTTTCATAATTTTAAACCTTACATAATGTACTACAATTTTTGTTATAACAACATTAAAATCCCCACATCAACAAAAAAGATATAACGCTTCAAAGTCGAGATACACAAAAGTGAGCATGATGGTTTGTCATCAAACGACGTTTTTAATTGTATCTTGTAAAGTATTGACGCGATTTAAAATTTGTTTTAAAATCTTAAAAGGTTATAAAATTTACTACAACTTTTGTTAGTAGAGTATTAAAATCCCGAAGTTAACAAAATAGTTAGAGGTTATTAATTGTGGACATCGCGCAAAATTGGACTTTTTAAGATATCTCGGGATTTAATCGAGATAATTTTATTCTGTTTGAAGATTATTGAAGCCTAATGTTTTAGCTTCTAATTGATGTTACAAATAGTGTAATACTTACCTTCAATTATATTTAAATCACCCACACCCAGACTTAGGCATTGAGTTGACGTTTTTTTCGGTTTCATTTGGAAGTTTGTAGCATTCTTCTAGTTCCATTATTAAATCTAGCAGTAAAAAAAAATTAGTAGTGAATCGACGATTAAATATGGGACATACTTAGGATAGGATGTCTTTTGGCGATGGCGTATTCTTTGCTACACAAATCATTTTCAAGTAGAAAGCAGTCGTCTCGGCATATTCTTCTAAGATGTTTGCTCAGTATACCCCTGTATTTTTTAAATTTCTCCTTTTTATCTTTAGTGATTGCTCTTAGTTCTGTCATTCTTGACGACTGATATTTGTTGATTTCTCCAGGGTTGTTACATATGGGGAAAGCTGAGTAACACATGCTGGGAAAAGCGAACTTGTTACAACCCGATGTAATATCGCTAAAAAAAAATACAGTTGGAAAAAAAAAATATTTTTTTTTTTTCAAACTTACTTAGATTGTTTGATAGTTATGAAAGCTTTGTGTATATTTTCTTCAATTTCTGATTGTGTATAGGGTGGCTCAATATAAACATACTGATCCTCCAAGTAGTACTGGCAAGTTTTGCCCTTGTACTGTTGACAGAACGGTTCACTGCCGTTGTACAAAGTAGGGTTAGAATTGAACTTTGGAGTATTAGAGGGTAAATCAAACTCTATAGGTGGTGAAAAAGTGTTTGGTTTTGATATTGTAGGAACGAATTCTGCGTTTTCTGTGTTTTTAGATATCAAGTTTGGGATGAATGTGGTTATCTCCCCCTGTAGTGAACTGAAAGTGAATATGGTAAAATACTGGAGAATATATTAGAAAAAAAATACTTTTGCCCTATACTTTGGTCAGTTTTAAAACTGCTCATATCAGATGTACCTGGAAAAGAATTAAAACACTCTATAGTGAACACTTTTTGTATATTCTCATTCTTACCCCACGTGCTAAGTTCAGGGTTAACTTTAATATACCCCTGTGATTTAATTTTGTTGTTTCCTTGAGTGACAATACATTCAAAGTACCCTTGGTCAAAGTACTCCAATTTTTTAATCTTTAAAACCGATTTAAAGATGTTTCCTTTTTGACTTATTGTATTGTTGACTTTAATTCGGTTTTTTATCTCTATAGGTGCCTCATTTTGCCGCCATTTTATCGTTATTTTGTTGGTATTATTTAAGTCCAGCGTCTGAACTTCGCAAGTTAGTTTTAGTAACTTTCCTGGATCTCTAGTGATGTTCGTTAGTTCTTTAACGAAAATTAATGTCCCTGTACGTAAAAAAAAAATTTTAAAAAAAAATAGAAAAATTTTGTTGGTTACTGTACCATTGGCTGAGGTGGAATTCAAGTTGGAAAAATCTTCATCGTAATCTTCGTTATAGTCTTCGTCATCTTCATCACCTGTTGTAACAGTGGTGGAGACTAAAAAATGACACGCACTGTATATAAATAAAGCTTAATAATGTTACACATAAGTTTGGCCTTTATACATAGTAGAAATAAAGCTGATATTTGCTTGTACAACGATCTCAAAATATCTTGATAAATTTAGATTTCAAGATATACATACTACATTCGTTATTTAAAATATTTTCTCTAGCGTCAGTTGCTCAATTTTTCGATTCGGAAATAGTGAAACTAGGTAAAAAAATTAAGTGACGTATAAAATATGAGTGTGAGTGATTTTATTGGGGTTATTAAAATGTTTATATAAAATAAAACGGAAAGTGATATTTTGAACATTTATTTATTTATTCAAGGTAATTATTAAATTTAATTAAAGTGATTTCAAATTTTTTATTTTTAAAAAAATGTTTAACAAAATGTTAATTGACATAATAGTAATACTTAATACATATACTATACTCAAAAATTATCTATAAAACTGTGTTTAACCAACATATTTTTAGAATTAGAAGGTAATTAAAAATTAATAATAGATCGAACCAATAGTAAATAAACAAATTTTACGATTTGACTGAAATTCTGTAGAAAAACTAAAAAATCAAAATTTAAAATGTAAATTAATTGAATAAAGAAGATAGATAAAACATAAAAGAGATTTCATAACAATAAAAATGTCAAGAATATATAAAAATGAAATATTAAATAAATATTTACTTTAATTTTAAAGTTAATTTACAATATTTATGATTGATTGGACAATACCTACATCAAAAATTTTTATAAAATAATGTAAATAATCGACAATAATTTACCTATACATACGTAAAATCAAGTCAAAATATTTATTTAATTAATTTATTTTTGTTATTGCTACCTATTTTCTTACAGAGTAGGCTGAAAATACCTACGAAAAATGGACCAATCGCAGCGTGAGATCGTAAACAAATGCCTATCAACGATATGTCATTGTCTGGATTATTGAAAAACCTAATAAACATTGCTTGAAATAGATTTAAGTTCGAAAATATCAGTTTCTTGGTGAATTTTAAGGAAAGAAGTGTTAAAAGTGACCATTTTTTTTATAAAAAAAAATGTCGAAATCGAATAATATGTTGAGGACCCGTAGAAGAGATAACAACGTGAAACCTAACAGAAGGTAACATTAAAAGAATGTCATAAAGTGTCTTCAAATAGACTGGGCCAAAAAAATTAACTTTTTTTTTTTTTGAAAAGTATATCGTAAATATGGTTTGGGGTGACAAAAAAAATTATTTTGTTAAGTTTGAGTCCATAATATTAATATTAAGAGGTTTATCATCGCAATTTTAATTTTTTTTCCTCAGCAAGTTTTTGTCTCAGAACTCCCAAACCATTTAGTTTAACAAAATTGACTCGAATATATTTTTTTAAGAAAATTAAATTCTCTACAAAAAAGGTTAAAGTGAAATTTTCGTCAGATGAACCATTTCCTTAAAATCATGCCTTAAATATTGGTATAGTTTTACATTTTGATGTTTTAAATTGGAATTTTGTAATTCATGGAAAAATCAGTATCCATAAAAAACCAATAAATATTCTTATGGGAAATCAAATGCTTTACAAAAAAAGCCTCTCAATATTTTTGGCTAAATTCACTCAATCAAAAGTTATTCAAGGTTAAAATTTCGTTTTGACTTCAAATTTAACCTTGAATAACTTTTGATGGAGTGAATTTAGCCAAAAATGATAAAAGACTTTTTTTGTAGAGAATTTGATTTCCCATAAGAATATTTATCGTTTTTTTTTTTCAGGGTACTGATTTTTACATGAATTACAAAATTCCAAAGTTAAAAGATCAAATTGTAGAACTGTATAAATTTTTAAGGCATGATTGTAAGAAAACGGTTCATCTGACGGGAAATTCCAATCAAACCTTTTTTATAGAGCATTCAATTTTCTTCAAAAAATATTCTTAAGTCAAATTTGTTAAAATCAATGGTTTGGGAGTTCTGAGACAAAAACTTTCTGAGGAAAAAAAAATTAAAATTGCGATGATAGACCTCTTAATATTAATATTATGGACTCAAACTTTCACAATAATTTTTTTTTGTCACCCCAAACCATATTTTCGATATACTTTTCAAAAGAAAATACTTAGTTGATTTTTTTGGCCCAGTCTATTGTATATTTTTTGGAGACACTGTAATATCATGTCATTAATTTCCATAACATTACTAAAAATTTGTCTATAAAAATTGCATTTACTTAGGTAGAAAAATCATTAATAAGCTTGAAAATAATGTTTAATAAAACTAATTTTTTATTATTTATTAATTGATTTATAGGGATACCAGACAGAATTTAAGGTTAGTTAAGAGTTTAGGATTTTCACTACTTTTTTCTTTTTTAATTTCAAATTCTACTTCATATACCTACAGAAACAATTTCAATAAAATCAAACTACTTATATTTATTGAAATTGTTCTAGTTTTGTTTGTTTTTACTTTTGTTTTGCTGTAGCTTTTTTATAAAATTGAATATAGTTGTGGTTATTTTTTTTTCTGTGATTTTGACAGCCTCAATTGATTACGACTGGAAGCATTATACTTTTAATTTTATGTGGAAGAGAGATATAAGAATTTAAAAATAACTTCGCTAAAATAAAATTTCAATGCGGGACAGTTTAAAGCGAAATATCAAATCAAAATAAACATAAGACAAGTGTAGAAGTGTTTTTAGGTTAATTAAAAAATGTCCGAAACCACGTCGGATTTGTATCCTATTGACTACATGTTACCCAGTGCAAGGTTACAGAGACGTTTAAGAAAAAAAAAAGGGTACAACTATATTTTTATGGCAGTTAAAGCGCTTCGTTTCAAAACCAGATAAATCAATTTTAACAGGAAATTCATTATATTTGGAGATAAAAAATTTATTTTAAAATAAAAAAAACATTGTGTCAAATGCTTATAAACTAATATTGCTTGCATTGGATTTTTGAAGAGCCTGTGTAGTAGAATTTTTTTTTAATAAAATAATAATTTTCATTAAAAAAATAATGTTTTTTTGTTTAACAGGTTGGACAGAAAATCTTCCAGGGGAATGATATATGAAAATGAAGAACTTAGGTTAAAAACAATTAATATAAACGCAGAAATAGAAAGAGGTACAGTAATATTAACAAAAAAAATTGCATATGTTTTAGTTACATTGTTTTGTCTCCATATTAAATATGTCAAGGTTACTTTTGACCCAAAAAGTACAATTCTACGAGAAATGTTCATTAATAAACTCCCATATAATTAAAATTGTGTTATTTAGAATAAAATTTGTATTTCTTGAAAGTCTGCCAAGTATTTAATAAAAATCTTATGTCACGGCCGAAAAAAAATATATTAATTTCGCGATATTATGGCAATGTTGCCAAACTTCTCAAATATACTTAAAAAAGTATCAATTTGTTATACAATTTTGGGGTGATGATTTTTTTAATTGTACATCTGGCAACGTTGCTAAAATCTATAATTATTCAAGTGAAGTATATTAAACCGTAATGATGCGTAACTATAAAAACAGTAAAAAAACAAATTATTAGTTTTTATGGGTGTCAAAAAACAATTTAATTTTAGGGCAATATGACATTAAAAAATTGAAACGGGAGAACGAGCTACTAAAAAAAGAAATATGGTGCCTTAGAGACGAATATGATAAGCTGGAGAAAATTATTAAAGAAAAAAAAATTGATTTTTCCTCGTCTTCTAGTAGTGATAGCAGTAGTGATACGGTAAGCTAAGAATGCATTTTTTCACTTAACTAAATGGTTTTTTTTTTTAGGAAAGTTGCAGCTCGTGTAGTGAAGATGGTGAGGAAGTTGAAACGTCGCAAAATTTGGAAAACGTACAAAAAACAAACCTGAAAAACATACATCAAGATTTCGATAGTCTATCTGTGGTACCAGAGGAGCCTAGTAGTGAAAACAATTCGTTACCAAGAGATTTTGATGATTGCATTAAACCTGACCAAAGTTACCCCATATACGAGAATTTAAAAAAATCCCAAACACTACCTTTGGACAGACAGAGCAATTTTTTTTCGAGTATTAAACCTTGCAAAAGTTTCGAGCAAATTCCATTATCACCCGGTCAGTTTTACTGTCAAACAAATGGGCATTATCCAGCTACAAGTCAAAATTCGGATAACACCTTGGTTCTAAATGGTTTGGAAAAATCTTCAAGTGATCTCATCGTCAAAATTGATAACCAAGATTTTGACCAAATCAACTTTTCCAACACTCCAAGTCGTAGTACTTTTAGTAATGGAGGAAATCTGGAAGATCTTCTAAACGATATAGAATCTATTTCTCAGGTAATGTAACACACAAAATCTGCAATACCCTTATGGTATACAATCTACATTTAGGAGATACTGAAGATAACAAATTTGCAGAAACAAGGTCAAAATATTTTGGAGGAAATACATCATCCAAACATGGATAATTTAGTAATGGAAAATGGAACAAATGATGAACAAAAACCATATAAAAGTGAATTAAACGTAGTATTAATGCCGAATGCAATGCCTTTGATAGGTTTTGATAAATACAGAAACATACAAAAGTAATATAAAATCTGTTGCAATATTTTTACTCATTTTCCAATTTTAGGAGTTTTGAAAGTTTAAATAACCAACCCATAGAAGATTTATCGGCATCCCAGCAAAATTTATCTTTAATTCCACAAGATGTTGATAGCAATCCGTTTTTCTTTGGTAATTTCAAAGATAACTATGTTAACACAGACTACTTTAGCATGAGATATATTCCCGAAAATTATGACGGTTAGGTTATATCAACACCCAGTTTTATTTGACAGCTTGTAAAATTTTTATTTTTAGGAAAAACCGCTCAAGAACAACTTCATTCCTCAGGGCAAGTTTCCAGCGAAAATGAAGAAATTTTGAAATTCAAGACCAGTCAAGGCAAAGAAAATACGGAAAATGTGGAAAAAAAATCGCCCAAAATGAGTTTAACGAAGAAAGTGTCCATACATTTCAAAGGGAAAAAAGACAAGACGAAATCTAGCTCGAAAACCAGTCAAGATTTTGATGCAAAATTAAGTGATAAAAGTAAGAGTTTTCACCAACAAACACCCAGTATAGAGTCGAGAAATAAAAGCAGTGAAATTGGCAACACTGTTGAACCCAACACTCCAAATAGTTCGGATAGTAAGACCAGCGTAGACAAAAAATTATCAAATGAGAAAAAAGATGCAAATGAAAAAATTTCAAAGGAAAAAGACAAGGACAGAAAAAGCATATCCACAAGTCCAGATAGAAAGCAGAAAGAAGGAGGTAATAAATAGTATAAAGAATAACAATAGAATATTATACTGTCTCTTTGTAGATCACAAAAAGCACAAAAAACACAAAAAATCTGATAGAACAAAAGGCAGAAATTCTCTAGCAGTTGAGTCAAGAATTTACAGAGATCGTTCCTATTCTGTTTGTACGGATAGATCTTTGGACCATAGAATGAATTTAGGCGGTAGTTTTATCATGTATGATGATTACAGCGACAGAAATACGTTAAGTAGTTGCGAAAGTCTAAATCCTCCTAGAAAAATGTCAACTATAAGTAATGTTCCTTTAAACGGTAAAGTGCCATGGTGCGGCTGTTGGGGGAATGGTTGTCTTTAGGCTGACTTAAAATATCTTTATTTGGAGTTTGCACAGTCCTTTTTACAATACCAAACTAAATAAGATCACACATAATACATTTTTACGAATATCAAGCTTAATATTGGCGGCACAAAAAAATATGCATTATGAAAGTTGTAGATCTATTAATTATCTACAAAAAAAGTTATAATAAATTTTTACGTAAAATTAACCGTTACGGATATATCGCACTTTGAAGTATTCTCAGCAGATTGGTGCCATGACCATTTTTAACGGTTCGTCATACGGAAAAAAACATTTGACATTTTTTGTAGATAATTTCACAACCTACAATAATCTTCAATAACATTTGACATCTGACCAATAGCAAGCTAGATACAAGCAAAAAACTATGTGGCTATAATTTATTTCGTAAAAATTTAAAATAAAGTGCAAACCCCTAATTTTTTGTACAAAATTTCGAAAGACTTACTTTTTATACCGGCTTATAAATGTATTTGTAATAATAAATACCATAAATTTTATTGACTTTCTTTTCAATGAAAAATCCCAGACATGATTTGATATAAGGAATTCTATTCAATATAAAGCACTCGGGAAATACGTGGCGAAAATATTAAATCCATGAAATATGAGCCTTATACACCCCAAGACAAACTTATAATTATTTACCGTACCCAACTAATATAATAATAATAATAATAAAGCTAACAAAAAATGTGTATTTTTACCTATTAATTCTATTTTTATTTACGGTAATCCGCCCGGAAATAACGACTTCCTTTATACTAAAAAACGCTAAATATTCCACCCAATCGTTTATTTTTATCACTTAACACGAAAAAGTAATTAAAACAGCTACTTACCCAATTTTATAGCTATTAAAGCCACTAATATAAAGAAGACTTTATTCATGTCGATACAGCCGCCAGAGAAATAAAATTCAATCCCGTAGCATTTAAAACAGTCTTAAAACCATCTTAAGTAGGATTTTTCCATTTGAAAACAGTTATTTTGCTACCAAATTCAGTAAATTGAAAAAAAATGCCGTTCGTAATACGGTCAAAAGGTTTATTAACCGGTTGACAGTTAAAACCATGTAAAAATCACTGTAAAATCATCGGAGCACTAGGAAGAACACCGTGGAACACTTAAAACACGTTTAAAATTGATTTTTCATTAAGAATCAGTGAAAAAATCGTAAAATTTGCTGTATAAAAATGTTATTGTGACTGGATATGACAGATAGAGACAACTAAAGTGTTGCCAACATAAAATTATAAAAACGCCTTGACAGGATGTTGAATTTTTATCGAAATAAACGAGATTAAACTAAAATATGCATTTTAATCAATAGAGAATCAAATTTTTTCAAATTTTGAAGTGTTTTTATTTCTTAAAAAGGTTTTTTAATGATTTTATTAACGCAATATTTACGTTTGTTGTGTTGGCATTACTTGGGTTTGTCCAACGCACACTTTGTTTTTTATTGTTGATTTTTATAATTTTTTTTTGATAAATAAATAAAAGTTTTTACATTTAAACACTATAAACAAACAAAAAGTGTACAAATATATAATTCTATGACTCATATCAAGTTTGTATGCTTGTTAACATTGAATTATCAATAAAAAACACTTTTTGCAATGATGTCAAGGTTATTCTAATACAATCATTAAATAAATGCAATTTTTCTATACATCCCAATAACCAAAAAAACCCTAAAATTGTATAAATGAATAAATCCCATTGGAATTTTTTTCAAGCAATTCTGTAAATATAAAGACGCTCAAGGTCATTGTAAAACATATGACATAGTAATGACGTCACGTTTAAATATGGCCGAGCCCTAAAATTTGGCGAAAAATGAATTTTATACTTTTTATAACTCAAAAGGATTTAATGTAGATACTCGATTGGTTGATATTATTTTAAATAGGTGAGTGTTTTTCTAATTCAATGCTTTATTGGTTTATTTTGTTGGGTTATTTTTCGTATTTGTAACGTAAAAATCAAGGAAAAACCTTTAAAATCAAGGCTTACTAGATTGTAAAGAACTTCGATGTTCCAATTGGTTAAAAAATGCGAAACAAATGAGAGAAAAAAACAATCATCTCTGCAATCATGGTAGGCTAGATATATTTTTAGCTCAGTGACATATTTTCGTATTTTAGTTATTTTTAAGGCGATTTTAACGCAGTTTTTTGCAGATTATTGTGTAAATGAAGCTTATTTAGGAAAAATTACTACAAAATGCCAGTTTTAAGTCCACATAGAAGCTCTAGCAGCATTTCGGGGTCATATAGGCCCTCATATGGGTCTTTAATAGACAGACCAATATATTCATCTACGTCAGGTTATTCACCAAGAGTGAAAAGTTATAGTGAGAGATATAGTAGCAGAACTTACACAGATGAAAATGGGCGTAGAATATTTTCAAGGTAAATATACATTATAAACATAATATGTATTATACCTTATTCTATATCACAGATCAGGTTCTATAACTGAAGATGGAGTTACAACACGATTTCGTGAAGAATCCAGGGAAGGTTCAGCTCCTAGAGATTATACAAGAGATTACCGAGACAGTTATATAGATTACCCTCGTAGAGACAGTTCCCTGTCTCGCGATAGAGTCTCATCTTTAAACGTCATCGATTCTGTTGCCGAACTGAGAAACAAATACTCACCAGCCAATTACGTGCCGGCCATTTTACGAAAAAACGACAACATTTCTAGATCAAAATCTATTAACGATATAGGTAAGTGTGAGGTTGGAATTTGACGTTTGATATATTTCGAGGTTAGATTTTTTGACAGTAGTTTAAATGTACCGCATTTTGACGTTTCTGTGTTAATTGAGGTTAGATTTTTGGTTTTTTAGAAAGTTGCTATAACTTGCTCACTAATAGAGGGGTCATTTTGTTGGTAATTTATTACTAAATGAATTTGCTTGAATTTTTTCTATATTTTTACGTTTCAAAAACCACTATTTTGTGAATAAGCTATAGAAAGTAGTTCAAATGTATCCAACGTTGCCATATGTACTTTTGACGTTAAAATTGGACGTTTTATGTATTTTGAGGTTAGGTTTTCCAACAAGTAGTTCAAATATTTTACATTTTGACGTTTCTGTGGTAATTGAGGTTATAAACTTGACATTTTAGAAGACGTTTAATAACAAATTTCCAAATTACTGTTTTTCTGCAATTTTTACTCTTTTAGATTTTCGCCCAAATTATTCTTCTTTTCAAACGCCTATAACTTTTTTGTTTAGTAAGATAAAACCGTAAATTTTGTTGGTAATTTAACTCTTAACTAAGCTCCGCTTGCAATTTTTTTCCCTATTTCACCCCAATACCACTATTTTGTGAATGGGCTATAGGGAGTAGTTCAAATGAATCCAACGTTGCCATATTTACTTTTGAGGTTAAAATTGGACGTTTTATATATTTTAAGGTTAGGGTTTTTTAACAAGTAGTTCAAATATTTTACATTTTGACGTTTCTGTGGTAATTAAGGTTATAAACTTGACATTTTAGAACTAATTTCCAATTCACTGTTTTTCTGTAAATTTTACTCTTTTAGATTTTCGCCAAAATTATTCTTGTTTTCAAACGCCTATAACTTTTTTGTTTGGTAAGATAAAACAGTAAATTTTGTGTTATTTTGTTGGTAATTTAATTCTTAATTAAACTCTGCTTGCAATTTTTTTCCATATTTTACTGTTTACTAGTAATTTACAAAAAACTACCTTAAAACCAATATTTTGTGAATGGGCTATAGGAAGTAGTTCAAATGATTCCAACGTTGCCATATTTACCTTTAAGGTTAAAATTGGACAATTTATATATTTTAAGGTTTGGGTTTCCAACCAGTAGTAGTTCAAATATTTCACATTTTGACGTTTCTGTGGTAATTGAGGTTATAAATTTGACATTTTAGAAGTTCCGTTTAATAACAAATTTCCATTTTACTCTTTTAGATTTTCGCCAAAATTATTCTTGTTTTCAAACGCCTATAACTTTTTTGTTTAGTTTGATAAAACAGTAAATTTTGTGTTGTTTTGTTGGCAATTTAATTCTTAATTAAACTTTGCTTGCAATTTTTTTCCATATTTTACTGTTTACTGGTAATTTACAAAAAACTACCTCAAAACCACTATTTTGTGAAATGTATCCAACGTTGCCATATTTACTTTTGAGGTTACAATCGACTTTTTTCTGCAGGTTTGCCGCCGATTGAAAGCAAAACTTCGAAAAAAAAGGTAAATGAGTTGAACGAATCGCTTGAAAACGGTGTGCTAACTAATAAAAATACTAACGATAACATTGACGAAGAGGACGACAACGGCAACAGGGCGTCGGTGGCGGAAATAAGAAAAAAATTCACCGATAAGTCCGAGAGAAAAAGTTGCAGCCCCCCCATTGAGATTGAGGGGGCCAGCGTTAAAATATCGGAGAATCGGTTTAAAAAATTGGATGTCCCCAAAAAGGTTGTCAAAAAAGTCACTAAAGTGACCAAAAAGTCACCAGAAAACAATGAAAGTAAGTGTAATGGTGAAACTTCAAATGTCACAAAATTAGAAGTCAAAGAAGACACAAATGAAGAAAATGGGGTGTTAAGTAATACAATAGAACAACACAGTAGAGTTAACAATTTTGCCTCATACATACCTTCAAAGGACCTTCAAAATGGTGACAAAATAAAAAACGAATCAAACTGCACAGTAAATAAAGATGATGAAAAATTAGAAGATGTCAATGCAATGCAAACAAATGTAAGTGGCTTGTAGTCGTTTTTTTATGTCTAATATTACTAAAATCTTAAACTTAACATGTTAATAAAACTTGCGACATCCTTTAAAAAATCAATCTAAAAGGTTTTAAAACTAATTACAATGTTATGTGGTTAATTAAAATATTAATATTCCATATCACTTCAAATAAAACCAGCAGTAGTTCATATGCACCACAACAAACTTCACCGAAAACGTCAAAAGTAGCACCAACCTCATAATTCTAAAGTACCAACACAATCTACACTGACCGACGCAGAAATTGCGTTCAATTAATATTTATTCAATAAAATCGACAAACTGGTAACAATCGTTTTTTTTTTTCATTAATATTATCCATTGACATTTATCTGTCAAATTAGTGTTGTGATGTCTTTTTAACAAAAAAACTAGAAAATGTTTGAAATAAAAAATGTATTTATCATTTGAAAGATGCAAAGGAAAAACACGCCTCTTTTACTCAACTCAATATCCAGACGTCAGATTTTAGTAAGTTTGTAATTTAAGATTGTGTTTAGGGGGGGTGTAACTTTTTTACTGTGAGGGTTAGAGGGAAAATTTTGCTTTTATTTTGTTTGCAATTTTATGCTGAACAAATGTTTAGCTTACAATTTTTTTGTATTTTTTGCAGTTTACAAGATATTCGCGAAAAACTAAAAGAACGTCATATATTTAGAATACGTGTTTTCAAATGCCTATAACTTTTTTATTTAGCGAGACAGAACAGTCATTTTTGTTTTATTTTGTTGGTATTTAAATACTGAACAAATCTTAACTTGGAAACTTTTTTCTATTTTTCACCGTTTTCGAGTTATTTAAATACTTGTAGGTGCACTAACAACCACTATTTTGGGAATTGGATATAGGAAATGTTTTATATAAACTTATCCAAACTTTCTCTATTATTTCACTACAACGAATTATTTATTTTTAAACTCAAGCCGTTTATTTTTATCATTACATGTGACCAATCTATTTTTAAAACATTAGTAGTTTTAAATTTTAATTTAATGATTGAATTTTAACTTTTAATGGCAATTTAATGAATTTAGAAACTTGGGAAAAATAAATTAATTATTTCTTTATACTTTTATAGTACTTTTCGTTGATAAATATATTAAAAAAATGTTTCCAAAATGGATTATTACTTAACTGTAAACTATTTACTATTTTTGAGTTGGTCAATTTTTTTTACTTTATTGGTTTACGCATGCGCTATTGGCTTTATTGACGTGTTTAGTTTCAAGAAGCCTTCAAGTGTCAAAAATGGACAGTGCCGTTGTTATTACACGTTGGTATGACTGATTTTTACGTACAGTGTCGGACAAAAGTTTAACGTCGACAAATTTTTAGTGTACATTGCAAAAATTTACGTTTTTCTAGGATCTATCGACCACTTCGACAAAATTATCCCGATCCACAGTATCGCCATCAAATTCTTCGAACAACGGGACATCGTCGCAGAGCGTCTTGGGGCGTCGCTCCTTAGAAAGGGCGTCCCGACGCGCAGACTTTAGCGACGACGATGAAATTGGCGAACGGCCACGCGATTTCAGGTTAGTCGCACCAAAACACGCCTTTAGGCGGGTTTTTTGTTTACCAACCGATTTCGACGAAATTTGGTGCGAGGGTACTTTGACATCACAAATTAAAGTTTTTGCATATTATTTTTATTAGGGTCATTCCATTAAAAAAATTTTGGTTCTAACTCGACAAGGGAATGACCCATATATTTTTTGTGAATGGGAAGGTAAAGATAACGCACTTTGGTATGGGCAAACCAAATTTCATGTTAATCGGTTAATTATTAACCAAACTGCATCACAAAAACAAAAAACGCCTTTAGGCGGTTTTTTGTTTATTGCCCGATTTCGACGAAATTTGGTGTTAGGATTCTTCAACATATTAAACTAAAATTCCAGTAAACATTTTTTATAAGGGTCATTCCGTTAAAAAATTTCGTGTTGGTAACTCGGCAAGGGAATGACCCATATATTTTTTGTTGTTGGTAGGGTGAAGATAATGCACTTTGGTATGAGCAAACCAAATTTCATGAAAATCTGTTAATTATTAACCAAACTGCATCACAAAAACAAAAAACGCCTTTAGGCTAATTTTTGTATATTGGCCGATTACGACGAAATTTGCTGTAAGGATACTTTAACATAATAGATTAAAATGTATTCAAACATTTTTTATAAAGGTCATCACGTTGAAAATTTCGTGTTGGTAACTCGGCCAGAGAATAACCCATATATTTTTTGATGATGTGAGGGTAAAGATAATGCACTCTTATACGTGTAAACCAAATTTCATCAAAATCGGTTGGGTATTAACCAAGCTACGAGGCACAACGCCTTTTGGCGTGTTTTTTATAACATTGTCGTTTCTATGCAGTAGATCCAGTCCGTCGCCTTTATCGACAAGAACGCTGGGTCTCAACGGGTTAAAAAACATCGGTAACACCTGTTTTATGAACTCCGTCATACAATGTTTGAGTAACACCAGACAATTATCCGAATATTTGAGGAAAGATTCCTATATGAGAGATATTAATAGTTCCATGTCCAGCATGAAGGGAGCACTCATTAAAGGTTGGTTTTTGTTGTATCTATCCGTGTTTTACATGGTCTAAGGGCATCACCATAGACAATGAAAAAAATAGATGTATACAAACAATTTTTTTCCAGCTTTCACGCAAGTAATCAAAGAACTATGGTCGGAAGATTTATCGGATAGAGTGGTTAACACTGTAACCTTCAAAAGTCAAATTCAAAGATTCGCGCCTAGGTTCATGGGGTACGCTCAACAAGACGCCCAAGAATTTTTAAGGTACCTACTTGAAGGTTTACACGAGGACGTTAATCGTGTTAAGGAAAAACCCAAACCGATTTTGACCGATATAGACGAGACATTGAGGTAAGTCTGACAACAGCGCAACTTTGGTGATAGTGGAGTTTTTTCATTTAAATTTGGGGGAAATATAGCTTGTGATAATGGTAATAAACGCACCAAATTTGAAATATTTTGCTTTAAAACTTGGTGAGATATTAGGGTTTTTTGTTATTTCACTAAATTGGTGATAACTCCAAAACCACTAATTTTTTTGGGGTGAAATTTTATTTCAATATAGGATTTAGTGTTGTTTATATAATCGCCAAGTTTGAATAAATTTAACTGAAAGGTTTTAGAGATATTTAGAATTTAGTGAAATCGCGACGTTGCCATATCTACGGCTGTATCTCGCAAACCGTTCGAGATATTTTGATGAAATTCGGCATCAATGTAGCCTATGATACCCTTTAAATATACCTGAAATTTCGTTGTTTAAGTCGGTATAGTTTTTGAGGTATGACAATTTTTATATTACAGTGATAACCAAAAATCTGCTGAGGCGTGGGGACGTTACTTACGAATGGAAAATTCGCTAATTTTGGATCTTTTTGTGGGTCAGTTAAAATCTACTTTAAAATGCACACACTGTGGTCACTGTTCCGTAACGTTTGACCCATTTTGGGATTTGTCTTTACCTATCCCAACTAGAACAGGGCAACTAAGGTTGTCTCAATGTTTGGATTCATTCACTAGGGAAGAAACGTTAGATGGGGATGAAAAACCTGTAAGTTTTTTGTGGGAATATGTTCAATGAATTTAAAAATGTTTTATTTTACTTTATAGACATGTTCAAAATGCAAAGAAAGAAGAAAATGTACTAAATCTTTTAGTATACAGAAGTTTCCTAAGATATTAGTAATTCGTATCCTTTTTTGTGTTTGCTTTTTTGTCTTATAATAAAATCAATATTTTTCTTAATTTTTTTTAAAGATTTGAAAAGATTTTCCCCCACAGAACGTTTTAGAGGTAAACTTTCTGTAACAGTTGATTTTCCTTTGGAAGGATTGGACATGATGAATTATGCTGCTGATTCTGTTGCACCCTGTAGATATAACTTGTATGCCATCTCAAACCATAGTGGTACTACCTACAGTGGACATTATACTGCCTATTGTAGACATCCCTATAACATGCAATGGCATGAATACAATGATTCAAGGTAAGATGTCTATGGTTTTATCTATGTTTTATTTACTATGTCTATGGTTTTATCAATGTTATATTCACCATAGACTAATAAAACATAGATAGAAACGTTACCATGAACATTAAACATGTAGACTTCAAAAATAACATTCTTCCAGGGTTTCTTCTATTTCCACAAGGTCTATTGTATCAGGAGAGGCATACGTGCTATTCTATGAGCAGGAAGGTCAGAAATCTCACTTGTGAGAGTTTATTTTTTTTTAATTCTACTGTTATATACATTTATTTTTTTCTAAAAAGATCTAACACCCCAGCTTTTTTTTAATTACAAATTACGTGTATTTTTTATTACATAAACCCCCCCTAATTTGCCAAGTAAACTTTGCCTTTAGTATTTATTTATTATTTATCAAAGCTGACCATAATGGGCGTGTCTATATTCGACCAATAGAATGTCGAATGTATACACGTTTTTTTAACATTTTGGCCGGTTTATTTATTAACTTTTTGTTTTAATTTATTTGACATATTTATTTAAGAGTGAAATGTACTTAAAGTAATGTTATTTCTAGTCCAATAAGTTTGTGCAATGATTTTTCCAAATCGAAATTGTTTTGGGTTTTTTTCTTTTGGAATCTTGTTAAATCTAGTTGAATTATGTCTACCTCAAAATTATGCTTTGTTTAGATGAACAAAAAATGTAGACTCTATTTTTTATTATTTAATAATGTTACCAAACTAGACAAATCAGCACACAAGTGAAATGTTCGTAATTGGTAATAAGCTTTATATTATTAAAAAAATTGTTCTATTCTAGCACTTACTAATGAAATAAACTGTTTGCAAAAATTATGTGTTTTATTTATTATGTTTGTCTATGTTTTCAACGTCTAAGGTTTTTGTCTATGGTTTGTATGTCTATGTTGATGGAATTTCAAACGTCGCACTGCCGCCAACTGGTGAATTGAGGTTATGTTTGTACATAAAATGTCAAAATGTTTGAAAATAATGAGGATTTTGACTTTAATGATGTGAGTTTTGCCTGTTTGGAATATATTTTTTATTGTACAGATAATTTCAGGACGATAACAGTTTTAATAATGATAAAATAGACGAGATTTTGAGTAAGACTGAAAAAAATGTATGTGGAAATTTGGGTGATACAAGTTTAAACAAGTGTAAAGTGATAAAAAGGAAATTTCCAGGCCCTGCAGGGTTATTACCAGACCGAAAAAAGTCTAGTAGAATATTTGAAGATATACCAGACGAAAATTTAGATGATAATGAGTCAAATGTATGTTTAAACAGGTTTTTTTAGATTGGATTTCTGTAATATCCTTTTAGGTATTTGTATGTTCCCAAATGCCTCAAAATAAATTTAATGAGGAGCCGTGGATGAAAATGTTGGAAGATTTTGATGATTATCAATTTTTACTGGATAAATATACAATACATTGGATAAAAAGTCAAACACGATGTAAAAAATTGTATAATCAAAAAGTACCATTTTTGGTGGCTGTTATAGAAAATTTGGAGGTTACAAATGCTAAAATACCCACTATTAACATAACTTTGAAGGATAAATCTGGTATTGTGAAGAAATTTATTTAAAAATGTTAAATAACATTTTTTTTTGGTTAGGTTCAATTCAAGGCACAATTTTGAATAATCTCTATGAGGAATATTCAGATTTTCTTACTGTAGGGTCTGTGGTGATTTTAAAACAATTTGGAGTCCTCACAACAGGAGAAAATAACAATTATTTGACCATAACCACAAATAATTTACTTACGATATATTCCATGGAAATGGCCAAATCTTTGGATGATTTACACGAAAAATCACTTGGGGTGAAAAAAATTGTTGTTAATGAAGTGAGTTGTGAAGAAATTCTGAGAAATGTTAAAGAAATTAGTGAAAAACACAAAAAAATTATTAAACCAAATTTATCAAAATTAAAAGTTAATAGTTTCACAAATTTAAACCAAATTAAAACTGTGGAAACAACAAAAAAAGAAAAATCCATTTTTGATGAAAACTGTGATTTTTTTGATGATGATTTCAACATCCCAGATAATTTTGAAGAGGTTGCCTTAAGTCAAATTAGCACCAAGTCCACAGAAAAAATTGAAAAAAATAAAAAATCCGATATCATAAAAAATATATTTGAAGGGATAAATACTGATGATATTTTCGACGATTTTTGAGTTTATATTATTTTTTATACTGTTTTTTGTTAATAAAAATATTTTTGTATTTTTTGTTCTTTTAATCCATAGAGAGGTTCTTAAAATAAAAAAACAATGTGTATAAAAGTTTATTATTTTATTTATTCAAAGAAAATTAAATAATAATAAGTAACAAATAATTAGTACTTTAACTATCACAGAAATATTATTTTTAGCAAATAGACACCAAAAACAATATGTGAAACAAAGAAAGGAAAAAACGTACAAAATTTTTTAGTTATACCTACATATTTATGTTAAATAGCTGAGTTAATATATAAATAAATTTACTATACAGGGTGACCTTCACAATTTTATGTTTAATTTGAGAGAAAGCAAAAAATAGCGATTAATTTAGATGTATTGTGTGGAACCCTGGTTAGAATGGCCCTATTATTTTGTTATTAAATTGATTGAAGACTCCTCGCACATATATCGCGTTATTTCCAAAACGGTTGGTATTACGTAAAAAATGCATTTTATATTTTTTGTAGAGAATTTTACGGGGTACATTTTATGTATACTACATTTTGACCTCCGATGTAAAATAAGCGAGATATACGCGAAAGAAGATCTTCGAACCAAAAAAATTAACGGGGCTAGATTTGAACCCTTAACAATCGGAAGCGTTAAAATCTACCCCGGAATTGTTGGTGCTTGAATTGGGAGTGGTATTTGGGGTGCCCTTTTTGCCCCCCCTTGCCAGTCTATCCAATTCTGCTGCCGCGTCTGACCTCATAGAGTTTTTATCGGTTAAAGACTCGTTTCCGGGTATTTTTGAGTTGTTTAAGGAGTTTCCGGGTGTACCGGTTTTTTTGTGGAGGAGGGAATTGAAGAAATTCGCCAATACACCCTCCCCTCCAGGGGAACTTACCACTTTTGAACCGTCCAGCCTCTTAGGGGTACCTTGAATACCTTAAAAGAGAGTTTAACATTTTTCCGTATTATACACGGAAAAAAAGACTTACCTGGTATGGGTGATACCCTTATGGGGCTTTCGCCCATTCTTGCGGTGGGCTGAGGCCCACTTCCGAAAGAAATTTGCTGTAACCTCATCAAAAACGCTTGCTCATCTTCGGCTAAAATTTCCGTTTCTTTACCAACAGTTTTTCTCGTAGCCGGTTGAACAATTACGTCCCTGAATACGAATGAATAAATTGACAACTAAATACAGTCAATTTTAACAAAAAAAAGTCAATGATTTGGTCGAAAACAAATGCTGATGATAAAAAAATGTGTTTACTAAACTTAGAACTGATTTTGTCCAAGAACAGTAAATTATAGAAAAAATTGTCAGGAACTAAAATTGTAGAGAATTTTACGTTCTACAAGTTTCATAACAAGGTTAAACGACTTTTGACGCATAGGAAACGAGATATTCGCAAAAATGATGTTTTTACTAAACTAAGAACTGATTTTGGTCAAGAACAGTAAATTATAGAAAAAATTGTCTCCTACTAAAATTGTAGAGAATTTTACGCTCTACAAGTTTCATAACAAGGTTAAACGACTTTTGACGCATAGGAAACGAGATATTCGCAAAAATGATGTTTTTACTAAACTAAGAACTGATTTTCACCAAGAATGGTAAATTATGGAAAAAATAGTCTGTCACTAAAATTGTAGAGAATTTTACGTTCTACAAGTTTCATAACAAGGTTAAACGACTTTTGACGCATAGGAAACGAGATATTCGCAAAAATAATGTTTTTACTAAACTAAGAACTGATTTTGGGCAGGAACGGTAAAATATAGAAAAATTGTCCGGTACTAAAATTGTAGAGAATTTTGCGCTCTACAAGTTTCATAACAAGGTTAAACGACTTTTGACGTATAGGAAACGAGATATTCGCAAAAATGATGTTTTTACCAAACTAAGAACTGATTTTCACCAAGAATGGTAAATGGTAGAAAAAAAGACTGGTACTAAAATTGTAGAGAATTTTACGTTCTACAAGTTTCATAACAAGGTTAAACGACTTTTGACGCATTGTAAACGAGATATTCGCAAAAATGATGTTTTTACCAAACTAGGAACTGATTTTCGCCAAGAACGGTAAATTATAGAAAAAATTGTGTAGTACTAAAATTGTAGAGAATTTTACGTTCCACAAGTTTCATAACAAGGTTAAACGACTTTTGACGCATAGGAAACGAGATATTCGCAAAAATTATGTTTTTACTAAACTAAAAACTGATTTTGGCCAGGAACGGTAAATTATAGAAAAATTGTCCGGTACTAAAATTGTAGAGAATTTTACGTTCTACAAGTTTCATAACAAGGTTAAACGACTTTTGACGCATAGGAAACGAGATATTCGCAAAAATGATGTTTTTACCAAACTAAGAACTGATTTTAACCAAGAACGGTAAATTATAGAAAAAATTGTCTGTTACTAAAATTGTAGAGAATTTTACGTTCTACAAGTTTCATAGTAAGGTTAAACGACTTTTGACGCATAGCTAACGAGATAATCGCAAAAATATGTTTCTCTACGACTACTTAAGAATAGTAACATTCTAGTGTAATTTTTGATCATAAAAAGGATGTTTTTCTGCAATACTGTGCGAGAATATTCCTACTCTTGTTTAAGAATGGTCACAAGTAACGACATCTCCTGGCTGTTTACTAAACGTAAAAAATTTAAAAATATTTAAACATTACTGTATTATTTATTAATTAAAAAATAATAGCAGTTGTATAATTAAGGTTAAGGCACAAAAAATTAGTTATATTTATTGTTTTTCAAATATACAAATCAAAATTATAATAAATTTGATATTAAAATAATAAACCAGTTACCTACCTACTATACCGGCTTTGAAGTTTTGACAGATTCAAAAAGTTTTAAAAAAGACCTTTAAAATGTAGAAAAAGAATGTTGACATAGATTACTTGTAAAATTAGTTTTGTATTTGTTACAATGTTATTTTTTTTTATTAGTTAGTGTAAATAACTATTTTTAATTATAATTAAGATTTAGGCATACCATTCGTTTAAATTTATTATAATTTACATTATAAAATTGTGACAGCACAAAATGGTTTGACAATACAAAAAACTTAAATGTCAAATACTGCTTGGTTTCTTTTCTCTGTTTAAAATTATATAAGCGTTACTATTCTTACGTAGTCGTAGAGAAAATAATGTCTGAAACACGTTTGGAATAGCATATTCCACTCTCGTAAAACCGTCTCAAATTTTTCCTCGAGCGGAATATGCTGTATTCCAAACTTGTTACAGAATGTACTATTTTACTAAACTAAAAGCTGATTTTGGCCAGGAACGGTAAAGTATAGAAAAAAATGTCATAAACTAAAATTGTAGAGAATTTTACGTTCTACAAATTTCATAACTTTTGACGAATACGAAACGATATTCGCAAAAATGATGTTTTTACTAAACTAAGAACTGATTTTGGCCGAGAACGGTAAATTATAGAAAAAATTGTCAGGAACTAAAATTGTAGAGAATTTTGCGTTCTACAAGTTTCATAATATGGTTAAACGACTTTTGACGCATTGTAAACGAGATATTCGCAAAAATGATGTTTTTACCAAACTAAAAACTGATTTTGGCCGAGAACGGTAAATTATAGAAAAAATTGTCAGAAACTAAAATTGTAGAGAATTTTGCGCTCTACAAATTTCATAATAAGGTTAAACTACTTATGAGGGATAGGAAATGAGATAAACGCAAAAAATGATATTTATGTTGAAAATTCCTAAATCTTGTGACAAATTTAAAATTTAAACTCTCTCACCTGTAGTAATCATCTGGTTTGCAGGTTTGCATGTTTTCGTGTAGAATCGATATTTTTTTCATGTTGTCCCAACCGGATGGTATAAAAACAGCATCTTTTTCAACCACCAATGCTGGTGTGTGGAAGGGAAAATTGTATATACGGTGGGTTAAATATTTGTAGAGTAAATCGCAATTTTTATCCTCTTTTACCGATATATAGAAGCAAGCAGCCCCGTACTGAAGGCAGAATCTAAAAAAAAAAAATTTTTAATTTGGAAAGTTATGAGTACAAAGTGTCAATTGACTAATTGACTAACATTTCGTTTTTAAAATGCTTGCTACTATTACTTGGGCATACAAGAATTAAATGTTTTAAATATAAATAAAATCTATAAAAAAATAAAACAAAAATTCATTTTAAATGCTTTTAAAACGTATTTTATGAGTAAATATATAACTTATGAGTACAGACTGTCAATTGACTAAATTTTTTGGCCAATAGGGCGGCATTATTCAAACTTGCTTCAATTGTTTAAAATCGCCATCTTAAAATCGGCAAAATTGTTATTTATAACAAGTTATACCTAGTGATTGCTTTAAAAACGCATTATTACCGTTATAAAAATGAGTGTCGTGTTTGAGCAAGTTAGAGATAAATATTTTAGTGACGATGAGTGGGAAAAACTGCCGGATGCAGAGAAAAATAGGCATAAACTGATGTACGAAAATTACACGAACTGCGATGAGGAATACAGTTAGCTTTTTGTCGTTTTATTACGATTTTCGGCCGCTAATTGTCGAGTTTTAGGATTTTTAATGCCCGTACCGGAATTTTTGAAGAAAAAAACACCAGAAGTTGCCGCAAAAAAGAGAAAAGTAGACGATAACGATGTTTTTAGAAAACCCTTGTTCAGTGTTAAAAGTTTTGAAGGTAAGTTGTTTTATGTTATAATTTATATTATATAGGTAACACTTTTATGAGGTTTAAGTCACTTAGAAATGCCGCCAAAAACTGATATGGATTCTTTGGTGACCTAAAAATGATATTCACCAAAATCTTATTTGAAACTTCTAGAAAATTCATGATTTTTTCTTCAACTGTTTGTTTATTTCAAAGTTTACTTTGGCATAGTACACATTTGACATTGATTTTTTTCGAAATATTTGAAAAAATACACATTAATTTACATTTTAATCCAAATTCTTGCCTACCTAGCTAAATTACTGTATTTTGAGTAACAAACATGTCTTGTTTTTAAAAATAATTAAAAATATGATATTTATATTTGTCTCCTGTCATCTATTATCTGTTAACTTGATACCTGTCAACTGTCATTTGTCACCTGTGTTGTTTGTTTAAGAAATTTATACAAGTCTGGCAACACCGCAATTAAATTTACACAAATTTGGCAATTTCAAATTATTACTGAATATTTTGTTGGATCAGGGGGTACAAGGATTATAATTAATAATAGCTTTGTTATCTATGAATAATTTATACACATTATTATCGCCGAACATACATTTTACTGCCGAGGCGATAGCCGAAGCAGTAGATTGTGTGCGAGGCATTTAATAAGCTTTTGTCGCCAGGTTTTATGTAGGTACTATTTCTTTTTTAAGCATTTAATTGAATACATATTTAATTAGGTAAATGCCTATTATTAATTAAAATTTCTTATGATTCTGTCACATTATTTTTAGGTTAACTAATTAACTAGTTTAGTATTTAAAATATTAAATAAATTTAAGATTTACTAAAATAAAATATGTTTAACTAAAATAATGCAACAAGATACTAAACTGACCAATATTTACTTAAAGAAAATGTATTTAAACAAAAATAATGCAACTTTTGTATTTTTGTACAAACAGGTAAAAAACCTAAAAATTAAATTTTGATTCGTTCCCAAGGCGTACTTCCTACATTAGAATATTTTACCGAAACTGTTTGGTATTTTAAACGCCATGAACGCTGCAACCAGTATTACAATCTATACAAATAATTATAATTGAAGACCCTATAGGGTCCTATAGAAGCCAAGGGATACCAGTGACATTAAAAAAATGTAGTTATGTACAGAAAAAGATAGTAAATGGTACATTTTACTTGGTAATAATTAAATTCTAGCTTAGTCATAAGATAACAAACAATTTTGACTCCAAGTGTTTTTTTACTTTAAACATGATTATCTCAAAATGTACTTGTACCTTTTGACTTCTAGGGTCCTCAATTCTTATATTATAACATTTGTATCATTTTATGTATGCGTAGTACGTGTAAAACATGTATACTTGGTTGCATAAGTAATTCAGGTAAAATTATAAAGCATAAACTTTACTTCTGACGTCACTGCAAACTTATCTTTGCCAGACTGCGAAAAAATTCTGTA